TGTGAGCATGTCTCAGGAAGTCTCTGCAGGTAAACTAACATTATCCACAGGCTACCATAGGTTCTCTTCCACAGGACAGCTACAGGACAGCAAAGTCCAAGATTGTCTCCAATGTCTTCTTGCCTTGGAACAGGATGCAGTCAACCAGGAAACAACTCATCAAGATGTTTCTGCAGGATTTTCCACTGATAGGTGCTATCGTCTCCCATCAAGAAAGCAGACTTTTAAAGGCTAATATTGGAAAGGAGAGAAGGAATTGTTGGAGGGGAAGAAAGACAAAGAAAGGCAGGATATAACATCTTTCCCAGCTGCCAGCCCTTTTCACTAGTTTAAAAGCAAACTCACAAAAGAATGGGTACCTTTTCCTGCATGTCATCTTTGTTTCCCTGTCCGCCAGATTCACTACTTACACCAAATAGCAGCCACCATAAAACTCTTCTCAGTAGAATGCTATTTGAATTGCAAAAGCAAGACTACCCAAAAGCATGTAATCTAGTAAAAGTAGATATGATAGTGTTACAAAGCAGTTTCTGAAAAGTGAGGTATTTGCAGAGAGGAATATTCCTCACAGACAGAACCCAAATGCCATCTCTGCTCCCTGCTCAGTTAGGGAACAATACCATGAGGAGCTCTGTCCTCACATGTCCCTGCTAATTTTACAGAAAAGTAGCTCTAGTGATATTTTTTGTGAAACTGGAGGAGGGAAATTCCTGGTCCCAGTTCCACAACGTGAACCACAAACACTTTAAAAAGCAACTTGTGTGAATTCTCTTCTGGGGTGTTGCTGAATATTTTGCTTTTGAAAAAATGATCCATAGACAAAAGCATTTCTCTAGAGGACTTAACTTTTTCTCTCAATGCAGAATTTTTCTTGCTGTGAATCAGTGCTTTCTTGTTTTCCTCACAATTTTCCACCTGCCTTGAGGGTTGCAACAATGTGTATTTGTCTCCTGAGATTTGCCATCTGCCCTCCCCTTAACCGGGTTTCAAATGTCTGTCCAGGCTTCTCGCTGCCTTGCCTGAGGTCTGTTCAGCATGAGCCTAGGACGTCCCTCACTTTACTCCTGCCGCTGGCTTTGTTTGCATGCCTGCACTACTGCAGGCTTCTCTCCTGGGACTTACAACAGTCCCCTCTAACTTCCTCTCCTGCTTGCTGATTCTTCATCCAATTGCTTCATAACAAACAGGCCTGATTTCTCTGGCACCTTATTTAACACACAGCCCAGGTTAGATTTCCACCCAACACAGTAGGCATTTCAACAGAATTGTGTCCTTGCAATTTATTTTCCTGATTTTTCTAGAAAATACAATTACTTTTTACCTCCCTGCTGATTCTCTGGAAAGCATTAAACTTTGGGTAGGAAGATCTGGTCTCAGCCCTTCCATCTCCATGAAGTGATGTGGAGAAAATCACATCTGCAGTACAGGTGTGGCTGTCTTGGTTGGGTTTTTTCAGGCTGCAAGAAAGAGAATCCAGTTCACGGCCTGAATGTACACATGGTTTCATGGGTAACTGAAAGGGATTCATAGTCTCTGATGTGAGAGAAGCAGAGTAGCTCAGTCTTGGAACCAGGGACTTCAGCATTCTCCTTGCATCTCAGTCCCAATGTCTCTGCAGAAGGGATCTGGGTGGGTACTTTATTTACCCTTTATCTAGCAGCCTCCTGATTGGATAGACCAGATAGCACAGTTGGCTTAGCTCACAAACAGGTGTAACTGACCAGAGCATCTTTTTGGGGAAAGCACTGCCTGAGTCCTTTATCCCCCAAACGGGTCTGTGGCCATAGCCAATGCTTGTGGCAGCCTGCCTGGAGGGGATTCTTGCAACACTGACTCTCATGCTCCTTGAGACAAAGATCCAGTTGTCCAATAAGTTAGGAAACAGCCCATATTTCACCTTTCTTTTTAGAGATTCACAGTACACAGTCATAAACAAAAGGTGCAGAGAAACCCCATAATAAACAAATCTGTTTGACTTGGCTTAAGGCAGCATTGTCAGGTATTCATGTGACATTAATTGATACCTAATGGAAAATACTTTGACAAGTGCTGACTTAGACATCATGAACCGCCTATGCCATGAGCTTTGTCGTTGTCTACTAAACCAGTAGCTCCCAATTCCTGTGGATCAGAACCACCAGGGGACATTCAACTAAATAGAAATGGCCGACTGTAACCCTGGAGATTCTGATTTACTTGGTCTGGGGAGAGGCCTAGGGATCAGAATTTAAATGCTTCTCAAGTTACTATAGTTTTAAATAATAATAGTCCTATATGTCATTGTATACATAATAAAAGCATTTCTTGAACATATAGTATGTGTCGAGCACTAAGCCAGTGTAACTTCATTTTTAAAAATTTTATCCTTAAATCTATCCTGCCAACCAGATATTACTATCACCAACTTAAAAGTAGGAAAACTGTAGCTGCATGAAGCGAGGCAATAAGTCCATGATCACACAGCTTATGTGTTGCAAGGCTGAGAAGCCAGGGCCTTTTGACTTCTACACATGAATTCTTCGGTCCACACAACATGTTTCTCCTGGGAAATTTCCTCCTTTGGTCTGGAAGTTCTTGTTACTGGTGGGCAGTCAACAAACCACTGTGCAATGGAAAATTGCCATGAAGGACCTCCAAGGCCCCTTTCAGCAAAAACATTCTAAAATTCTGCAACTCAAGGTTGTGAAGAAAAAATACTACCACACAATAACTGCATTAGGTCGTACCCATGTAAAGACTCGATATTAATCCTCCTTTGTTATGCTTAAAAGCACTTCCTAATTAACACTGCACAATTTTTGGGTGTCTAATCTTCAATGAACTCCTTTGCTTACAGTTTGGTTCCGCTCAACCTAAATTATAACAGCCATTGCATATGCAATAACCTGCAAAGCCAACACAAGAAGGAAATTGGCTCCTAAAAATAGTTGAAGAGCTAATATGCTATCTATAGATCCTAAAATACAGCTCCCAACCCAAGAAAATGTCTTTGCACATCAATGAAAATGCATTCCACTGAAGAGCTGCTTTCACTAAGAATCAGGGTCAAATCTTGTTTGCACACGGTGTTCAGATCTTACACAGGATTCAGGTATTGGCTGCAGCTAAGAAATTCCACACGACAATGAGAAAAATTTCTGTGATAATTTTCTTACCTTCCCTCAAATCAAGAATGAAAAAGTCTATCACACATAAAAGCAAGGCCATGTACTCCTGTTGTTGACCTCCCTGGAATCCGCATTGGGATCATTACACCAGCTTTCAGACCACAAAAGCCATTTGGAAGGGCTTGACTGCCACCTCTTGGTCAAAATGAGAATTACAGCCCAAAGCAAGGGCCCAAACAACCTGTGCACTGCCCTGAGCCGCCATTTTTATGGCAGAAATGCTTAAGTCCTTTGATTTGCCCTGATAAGCTAAAATAGAAGAAACGTGTTAAAATGTCTGGCAATAGCACTGGTTTGGAATAGGTTATTTTAAGTAACTGGTTTGCCAACTTGAACTTATTTGCTTATGTGTACCTAGTTTCAAAAACGCAAGTATTCATTGACTGTTTTGAAGAAAATTATTTGTAATGCCAAGACGGGGCCTAACTACAGGGCTGCTTCCTCTATTCCCTATTTCCCCAACTAACTTCTCTTTTTCTTCTCCTTCCCTTCCTTCCTACAACACCTGTAAACTTTTTGTTAACTTTAAATTCCTTTACAAAGAAATTCCGATCTCCACTCCATCTGTTTCTTACTAGCTGTGTTGCTTTGGGAAAGTCTCTTAACCTCTCTGCTTAGCTTAAACATCCTAAACATCCTTTGTAAAGAATGAATTCTACATTTTTAAAGATGAAGGCAACAAATAATAACATGGGAGAGAGAACATGTGGCCGCAAAGCCAGATCTAATCCTCTACAATATAAATTACATGGCATCGTCTGTAAAACAAATACATCCTAACTCCAGTGAAGATTTTAGGTCTAAATTTCAGTTGGCAGACATTAGAGGGGAGCTGCAACAAGCTGAATGGCACCACCCTCCCCCCTAGTGCATGCTGCATTTGGGCACCAGGATCCCCTCCATCCCTGAGTGCTGAGGATGTTGGCTGATGATGGCTTTTCCAAAGGAATCGAGCTCAGCTAAAGGCAATTACCTGCCCCATATTGCAGCCCTCTGAGGGGATGACTGTATTAGAAGATTCACTGATATGAGTAACTCCCGCCTTATTTGGGGATCGTACTGAAGGACCACCTAACTCTACATCTCCCCTGCTGAGGCCTCACCTGCTACTGTATGGCAATTCAATTTCTCCCTTCACCCAAGCCTGGGCCCCTTACTGACTCACAGGTTGGTTAGTTGTGATCATAAGCACCTCTCCCAGTAAATGAGCTGCATACAAATCTCCATCCCAGAGACCATTTTCCAGAGAACATTCCTCTGCAGTATATTCCCAACACAACAGCTAGAGGGCCCTGTCCAAAGTAAGGCGTATCATTACTCCTTTGTTGAGATTCCTTCAAGGGTTCCCATCTCATCAGAATCAAAGCCTTGGCTTGGGTACTCCACACCCATTACCTTTTGGACCTCATCTTCTCCTCCTTCATCCTTAATCATTCCAGCTGCACTGGCTTTCTTGCCATTCCTCAAACACACTGGGCATGCCCCTGCCTCAGGGCCTTTGCTGGTTCTCTTGTCTCCCTGAAACATGTTTTGCCCAGTTATCTGCATTGCTTCCTCCCTCACCAACTTCAAATCTTATCTCAAATGTTGCCTTGGTGAGGACTTCCCTGAACCTCCACTTAAGCCTATCCAACTCCATCTTACCCCAGAGCTCACACCCTTTGTTCCTAACGAGTGAGTTTCCTCAGTGGTTGTATCAGGATCTCACACAGAGCACATTTACTTATTGATATTGTTTATTATCAGCCTCCTCTCCCAGAATGCAAACTCCATGAGCACGAGAACTGTCCTTCCTGCTCTTTTCACTGCTGTGTCCCCATAACCAAGAACAGTAGCCAGTACATAGTTGCTCCACAATCTGTATTTAGTGAGTATGTGAGTGAACAAATGTGACAAAGGAAGACTATGGGTGGGCACTCAAAAGACCTGTGATCTTTAGGGAAGTGCCTTGAACAGCATCTGCTTGTCTTCAAAAGAAAAATGGGAACAATTCTTATGTTATTTTTGTAAGGACTATGCAATACATTTGTGAAAGCATCATATAATAAACTGCTAAGTAAAGGTAGGATGTAATTTTGATTTTACCTGAATTCTTCATCAGTGAGCTACTTAATTGTTACAATGTATAGATAGCTACCAGATTCTCAAAAAGTAAACATAAAACATTCAGGCACAGAAAACCTTGAAAATGCCTGGTATTCAAATAAAATATAAAGATTTATTATAAAGCCATACACCAAATGTACAAACTATGAAAAACATCTTTTAAAGACTTAATGAAAAGAACAGGCTTTACATTGTAAATTTTATAACATTTGAAGACTTCTTTGCTACCATAAAATTCTGATAAAAATTCATTCCATAAAAGTGTCAAATGTACTTTGTTTATATAAAACATATTCTCTCTTTAAATGCAAAATATGTCTATTACTAGCAAGTAAATAGAATCACATTTCCACACACTTCTTAAAATGAGGTAAGAAAATAAGCTTCTCAGCTGTTTACATCTCTCACTGAAAGTTCAATGCCATCTTGACCATTTCTTTATGTGCACCCTTTCCCACCAGGTACTCAGTATTCTGCAAAAGAGCAGTAGCAATACCACTCATTTAAAATTCATATGTTGTCCCTATTTTTTCACAATTTCAAGAGCCAAATCAAAGCTATTGCTATCCTGATTCACTATACAGTTTTTGCAAATATTTTAACAAATATTCCTAAACTCTACAAGATTATTCATAATCCTTTAAAGCAAGAGCAGCAAATTTGTTCTGTGAAGGTCCAGATAATAACTATTATAGGTTTTTCAGGTCACTTCTCTGTTACACATTCTACTTTTAAAAAAAACCCTCTAAAATGTAAAAAAAAAAAAAAATTCTTAGCTCTGCTGTAATCTGCTAGTTTTTAAAAGTGAACTTTAAAAAAATAGAAGTCCCTAGTCTCTGAATTAGATTAGTCAAGTGTTAAAATGTAAACATCTTTTTGCAGTGAAATAAATCCATGATTTTTGACTGCAAAATAGAAAGCTGATAAACAGTAAGAAATGAATCCCATTCAAAGAGTGGGCTACATTTCAGGAATTCAATAAATGGCACTTCCTTATGGCTTTTATTTTGAAATGGATAATGCACGTGTCCTTTAGGGAAACATTCTTCTTACACAGCTAATCTAAAGTCTGTGAAAATGCTGGCATGCCTCTATGTGAAAGAGGTGGGTGCGTGCTCAGGCACTGCAGCGGCAAGTGCACACAGTGGAGGCCATGGTTCAACAGGGAAGTGCTCTCCACAGCTAAGGAGCCAGTGCAAACCAGCTAAAAGGTACACAGAACAGTCCTGAAGGATATTCTAATTTGTTTTTATCACATGTAGTGCATTGGGGGAAAACAGATTTGCATATGAAACATGTGAATATATATGAATATACAGCATGATTCATTCAGGCTCTTGATCCTACAACCTGCCTTCAACTGAAAATATCCAGCAGAAAATTCAGTGGAGCTAATTTGGACTCTGGTAGAGTAAAAATGATCTGTTTACAGCATTGTTTGACCTATTAGCTTGGTAATGAGAATTGAAACTGTGTGTGCTGCATGTCTTCCTTTCCTACCACAAACAGTGCTATGAATAAATTATGGCAAATAGAAGCTGTTATGAACTTACTTAGATACATCATAAACAAGTTGAAAGTCCCTGGAATGAACAATCCCATGTTACTCTACAAAAACACTTACAAATTCTAAAGCTAAGAAAGATGACTACTTAAGAGAAAAGCTCAATTACTCAGCGAGACCATGCCCACTTTTTGAGCTACAAAAGTAAGTTTTCAGTGGAAAAAGAATATCTTGATAAATAGCAATGACACAAAAATCACATGAAGCAGCAAAAAACCCATAAGCAATCTCCTGAAGGCATGTTTTGGTATAGAACAGATCATTTGAGGGCTAAGAAACACCAGTTGTTTTACTGACTAAACTGGGAGTGAGTGGCAGACTCAGCACATTCACAACTCATCATGTTTTTTCTTAAATGGCCATTTTGGGTGTTGCAATACATAGTCTGCAGCCTGAAGTACAAGGTACATAAATTCTTCTACATCAAAAGAGTAGTTGGTAAACTTTGGATGTTCCCCCAGAGTTGGGTGGTGACCCTGCAAAAACAAAGCAAAACACATCCATAAGTCACTGAGAACAAGAAAACTTTTACTTTACTTTGGCCAAAGTAACTATTCTAATTCATGCTCTACCTCAGAGGTCAGCACATTTTATTTTGGTCAAATCCAGATAACACATTTTCAGCTGTGGACCATACAGTCTCTGACAGGTACTCTGCCACTGACAGTCACAACAGCCACAGCTAACAACACATAGACAGAGGAACATGCCTGTGTCCCAATAAACTTTAGTTATAAAAGCAGGTGGTGGGCCAGAATGGGCCTGCTGGTATATAGTTTGCTGATCCCTCCTATGTATAATTTAATAGACCATTCTAGGCCCAAATTTCATGAAGCTGTTTCTTTTCTTTATAGTATTGTTTATGGCATGAATGAGGAACATAATGGGTTTACACAAACACGACAATTGTACATCAGCATCTTTACAATATTAAAGGAGCCATATACAAGTCCACAGGCATTATACGTAGGGCGATGCCAGGTGGGTGCCCTACCCACCGAGGAGTTGTCTGTTGTTTCTCAGGGCTCAGTCAAGTGTGACAAGGCTGGGTGTCCATCCTTGGGCCTCTCATCTAACAGACAGCAGGTCTATAGGGACCCCTTGGGGCCACTCCTTGTTGGAATCTGAGTCCCAGGTATGTCTTCGTCCAGGTCTCATCAGTAGGATAGTGTTGGAAACCACCCTGCCTGGTTTCAGGAGATGTAGCCTCCCACAGCTAAGGCTGAATGGAAAAGCCTTAGGGACATACACTGCTAAGGAGACAAAAACCTATCCCCTCTCTCAAATACCCCTGCTTGACCTGGGCAGATGACTAGTTAGCCAGTAGGGTAAGATTCCTTAAGGGAGGAACAACCTAAGACAGGCACAGTTGTGAAGGGACCATCAGGGAAGGACTGAGGTGACTTCAGAGAAGGGGTGACAAAACTTCACCCCTCAGCTTTGTTATAGCCTGAGTCCTCATCCTATCTGTAAAAACTCTTCTAATGTTTGGCTGCCTTGCTTTCCCCACCTGACTCAGACCTGAAACAATGCCTCTGGGGTGGGGGGGTGCAGCCCGGTGCTGGAATGGGTGTTTCCTGGGGGTAATCAGGCCAGAGAAAGAATGCATTAAATCCTGTGAAACTTGCTTTGCTAAGAATGCTCTCGAGCTCAGCATACTAAATGTTTAGGGTCCAAGCATAAAATGAGTTTGTTTCCCCAGGTTTTAACACCAATTGGCATCACTCTGTCTACAAGACCCTGACTCAAAAGGACCCTCAGATGCCAGAAATATTATTTGTAAACCATATCTCCTTTCTTTGATATTTATTCCTACACAAGCTAAACTCAATAAAAGCCCAAGGTAAAAACTGCTCAGGGTTCTTCTCCTCTGAGATTAGCCAGCCTTTTCTCCCCAAGCAGATCTTGTCTTAGCAGTCTTATTTCATCCAAAATGTTGGGGGACACTGTGGGACAGGGTCCCCCTCGGGCTACTATAACAATGAACATTGTCCCACAAAGCAAAAGCAAAATGTCACTGGTTCGACTCCTGGTCAGGACATATGTCTGGGTTGCAGGCACATCCCCAGTTGGGGTGCACACAAGAGGCAACCAATTAATATTTCTCTCCCTCCCTTTCACACTCTCCACAGATAAATAAAAACTTTTAAAAAAATTTAGGACAACTTACGGCCAAGATGGAGACGTAGATAGACACACTGTGCCTCCTCGCACAACCAAAATAAGGACAACAAAAATTTAGAAACAAGAAAACAACCAGTACTGACAGAAAATTGAACTGTATGGAAGTCCAACAACCAAGGAGTTAAAATAGACTCATTTATCCACACTGGCATGAGGGGAGAGTCAGGTGGCTGGGCAGAAAGGGGTCGCTGCAAAAAGTGGTGCCTGACAGACCCCAGGCATGCAGGCAGCAGCGCGGAGACCTGGGCGCAGGGTAGCAGTGGGTGAGCCCACTGAGGTGGCGGACTGTGGACAGGCATGGCATGCAAGGTGGCTGGCAGACCGGGTGATCCCACATTTGCTCCCAGATAAACCAGGCAAAACTGGGGAGTAAGACAGACTACACAACCCAGAGTCCCAGTGCAGGGAAATAAAGACTCAAACCACTGATTGAAAACACCTGTGGGGGTTGAGGTTCCAGGAGGGACTCCCAGCCTCACAGGAGAATTTGTTGGAGAGATCCACAGGGTCCTAGAACATACACAAGCCCACCCACATGGGAATCAGCACCAGAAGGACCCAGTTTGCTTGGGGGAAGCAGAAAAAGGGACTAAAATCCAGCAAAGACCAGAACAAGTGCCACTGTTTCCTCTAGGACCCCTCCCCCAAAAAGAGCATCATAACGCAGCAACCTGGGTTGCCCGACCCTGGTGAACACCTAAGGCTCCGCCCCTCACTACATAACAGGTGCGTCAAGGCAAAAAAAAAAAAAAAAAAAAAAGACCCAAACGAAAGAACAGATTAAAGCTCCAAAAAAAAAAAAGAAAACAACTAAGTGACAAAGAGGTAGCCAACCTATCACATGCACAGTTCAAAACACTGGTAATCAGGATGCTCACAGAATTGGTTGAATTTAGTCACAATTAGATGAAAAAATGAAGGCTAAGCTAAGTGAAATGAAGAAAAATGTACAGGGAACCAATAGTGATGGAAAGGAAACTGGGACTGAAATTGAGGGAGTGGACCAGAAGGAAGAAAGAAGCAACCAAACAAAAGAAGGAAAAAACAAAAATTCAAAAAAATGAGGAGAGGGTTAGGAACCTCCAGGATATCTTTAAATGTTCCAACATCCGAATTATAGGGATACTAGAAAGGGAAGAGGAACAGCCACAAGTGGAAAACTTATTTGAACAAATAATAAAGGAGAACTTCCCCTATCTGGCAAAGGAAATAGACTTCCAGGAAGTCCAGGAACCTCAGAGAGTCCCAAAGAAGTTGGACCCAAAGAGGAACACACCAAGGTACATCATAATTACATTAGCCAAGATTAAAATGGAGAGACTCCTAGAAGCAGCAAGAAATAAGGGGACAGTCAGATATAAAGGAGTTCCCATCAGACTGTCAGTGGATTTGTCAAGAGACCTTGCAGGCAAGAAGGGGCTGGAAAGAAGTATTCCAACTCATGAAAAGCAAGGACCTACATCCAAGATTGCTCTATCCAGCAAAGCTTTCATTTAGAATGGAAGGACAGATAAAGTGCTTCTCAGATAAGGTCAAATTCAAGGAGTTCATCATCACCAAGCCGTTATTATAGAAAATGTTAAAGGGACTTATCTAAGAAAAAGATGATAAAAAAACATGTATAGTAAAATGACAGCAAGGGAGAGAAGGTACAGAAAATACGTAGCATAGACAGTAGATAGAAAATTGATGGGGGGGCAAGAATAGTATGGGAAATATAGAATCTAAAGAACTTGAGACACATGGTCATAAACTAAAGGGTGGGTAATGGTGGGGATGGGGGGTAGGGTGGAGGAGAATGAAGGGGGGAATAGAACAACTGTAATGGCATAATCAATAAAAAAATAAATTAAAAAAATGACAGCAAACTCACAGTTATTAACAACTACACCTAAAACAAAAACAAAAACAAACTAAGCAAACAACTAGAACAGGAACAGAAAGATAGAAATGGAGATCACATGGAGGGGGAGCGGGAAGGGGAGAGAGGGGGAAAAGGTATAGAGAATAAGTAGCATAGATGGTAGGTAGAAAATAGACAGGCGGAGGGTAAGAATAGTATGGGAAATGTACAAGCTAAAGAACTTATAACACATAGACATGAACTAAAGGGGGGAAATGTGGGTGGGAAAGGGTGTGTAGGGTGGAGGGGAGTAAAGTAAAGGGGGGAAATGGGACAACTGTAATAGCATAATCAATAAAACATATTTTTAAAAAATTTAGTGTGCATATTAGTATGGGGACATGGGTACCCAGAAGATGTTGCTGACAGTTGGGCCTTCACTGTGGGGTCCCTTCCTGAAGTAAGGATGCCATGTGGCCCTGTGACTGGTCTGGATGGGGAGAGACTTCTCCAGTGGTCCATAAGTGACAACACACAAAACAAACTGGAAACCTTTGGACATTTAGTAGGTCAGGTGACCCACCAAGGGTGGCCTGTGCCCCAGGTGGCAGTAAAGGTGAGGTAGTTCCACAGCCACCTGTCCCCAACACCCAAACCACCCTCCTCCCAGCAGCCCTACTCTCCCCATTCCCCTAGAGAGGGACCAGATCTCTCTAAGCCCCACTGGATGGGCATCTGGGCCGGGGTGTCCAACAGCTCTCCCACCCTGGGGGTGGACGTGCTGCATGTCTGACTGAGAATGGAGCACCAGCTAAAAAAATGTTGGTCCTTGTCTGAATCTCCGGCTTGTGCAGTTACAGTTACTTCTGGTTTAAATACTGTAGAAAAATAAGCCATCTCTGATGCACGGAGACCCACTAGAGTCTGCTGTGTATGGAGAAAAGTGAAGAGCTCCTCTGCGGTGAGCCGGGGAGGCTCTGCTGACCTGGCCATTGCCGGCACCAGGGCCTTGGAGGGCGCTGCCTGGGGCTGGGGCGCCCAGCAGTTGGGAAACTGGTGGCAGAGTTCCCACCAAGGCATCTCTGGGTCACAGCAACAGTCCTTCGGTAAAGCATGCCACCAGCACCCCACATTCCACTGCATGATGCCTGGGGCTCTGGGGCACCCTGGACTGGCCTCGGACCCTGCAGCACCACTCTTGGCCCATGAAGCCCACTAAGCAGGCATAGGCAGAACTGTTTCCAGGTCCCTGGGCTGTCCCCAGAGCTGAGGGGCCTCACTTGGGCACTGATACAGGGCCCAGGCCGGGGATTCTGGCTTCACTGGGACAGCGGTGGATGCGGTCTGCGGTAGCCACTCCTCTGGACCAAGCTCTACTATCTCAACTGGGAGGAGGCCACGCCAGCCCCACAAGATGGAGCCAGCTAAAGCCCCTTCGAAAAGAATCTCCAAGATGACATGGCCCTGGTTCCAGCCAGTGCTGCCAGGACTACACAGACATCGCTGGTCTCTGGGAAGACCTCCTCACTAGGGAGGGTGACCCTCTCTCCCAGGTGCAGCCCCTCTCTCACTCAAGCATCACCACTCACAGCTGGTAGCAGTGTACCTCCTCTGACAGCAGGCTGATGGCCTTGAAGTTACCACAAGCAGCAGTTTTCAGTCAAGAGAGCCCAGGAGACAGGGTCAATGAAACTGCTGCTTAAACTGTCCTGAACACTGGGTTCAGTGCCAGTAAAGAGGCGGCTCATTCTGGAGTCAGGGTACGTGGTGAGCAAGGCCAGGATGCTGCTGAGCCTCAGGCTGTCCATGTGCACAGGATTCTTGGACTTGGTGGGCTGGGCTGGCAGTGGGATCCCCCAGCAGCCAGGGGAGACACAGGTGACCAGGTGGAAGACAACCACGACAAGCGTCTTCCTTCCTCAGTGAGACACTACCTTGGGCTCAAAGCGAGTACTCATAGGCTACTCCTTGCAGTGAGGCATCTAGGCTTCCATCACTGCCTGCTGCCAAGATTATCATTGGAGCCCCAAGCTTTACACTTTGACCAGAACTTCCTGTGCTCCCTGTAACCAACCCACCAGGGCTGGACAATGGCCCTTTCCCAAGACCGTGAGGAAAGAAAGCAGAGCAGATCAGGCTCAGGCACAACCCTGCACCCCCCACCCCCACCTTGGCTTGCTGCTGCACTGTCTGGTCACTCTGGCCTCCTCCTGGAGTTACTTTCTGGCCCCCAAACCCTCCTCCACCCCTCAAGAGATTAATTTCCTCCTTCTTCCAATTTGCGAATATGAGATGGAACAATTCACTATTCCACAGAACAATTTATTCTTGGATTAAAGTTTGTAACAGTTTTTCATAACTAGACACTTAAAGCTTATTAAGAAGCAAAACCAAGGTGAGTTTTGCCATTTAAGTTTACCTTATCTTGAGGAAAGACTTTGTTCTGTTTTTGCCAAGTGATATAATGTATGCCTCTGAGCCTGGCCAGGTCCAGGTAGCAACGCTCATCTCCACAGTTGTACCTAAGGAACCAAAGGCATCCACATGTGAGGCTGCAGTTTTTGCCCAATCCACCTTCCACATAATTTCTTGCAAAAGACTGTAAACACTAAATAACACTGAGCGAGATTATAGGGTGGGGCAAAAGTGGGTTTACAGTTGTATGTGAAACAGTTTATTCTTATATTATTATTTTAATTGTTGTGTTATTTTCCATACAAACATCAATAAGCCTTCTTTTCCCAACCCAGTATTTTTATAATATTCTCATAACTAGATCACCTTAACTTTATGAAACAGTATAGAATGGAGACTGACGTTTATCAATGGGGATGACTATGAATTTTATATTTTCTCATAACACCTGCCTTTGCATGTGTTGACTTGGGGTAGGTAACACTTCCAAAGGTCAGAGGGCTAGTGAATCAGAAACTAAACCCAGGCCTGCGAAATTCCAAGGTCTAGGTTTTCTCAATTTTGTTTCTTTACTTCCTCCTTCCTTCCTTTGTTCTCTCTCTCCCTCTCTACCTCTAGGAGAAATAAAGACTTGAGATAGAATTCACAATTATCTGGCTATTTCTCTAACACATATATTTTAAAAATATTTTTTGCAGGGTGTGGAAGTTCATGACAATGTTTTTCTAAATAGTTGCCAATTTAAATAGTGAGTCAAGTCATTTTTAAAATGGAACCATAAAATCAAGATATTTGGATGCAAAGCGGGGAACCTGGTAACAAGTGGTGTGTCAGAACTAAAGAGGAGGCACAGTGTAGAATTATTAAGGGTGAGAAGGCCATGTCTCCCATAACCAGCCACCGAGGTCGGGGAGCCTTCAGGACAATCACTGGCACCCTGACACCTCAGTTCCCACGTGTGAATCGGTGAACACTGGGAGCTTGTTTTGGAGCTCTGTTCTTCGTGAGACACACAGATTCTCAAATGCTTACTTTTTAAAAATTGTGGTAGAAAATATAAAATGTATCATTGTAACCATTTCTAGTACAGAGTTCAGTAGTGGTAAGTGTATTTACATTGCTGCGTAACCCAATCTCTAGAGCTTTTCATCCTGAAAACTTAAACTCTGTCCCCATTAAACACTAACCACTCCTCTGCCCCCAGTTCCTGGCAACCACCATTCCGCTTTCTGTCTCTGTGAATATGACCATCCCAGGAACCGTCTATAAGTGAAATTACACAGCATTCGTCCTTATGTGACGGCTTATTTCTCTTCACATAATGCCCTCAATATCCAGTCATGTTGTACCATGGGATGGAATTTCCTTCCTTGTCAAGGCTGAATAGTATTCCATTGTGTGTATAGACCACATTTTGTTTATCCAATCATCCCTTGATGGACAGTTGGGTTGCTTCCACATCTTGACTGCTGTGAACATGGGTGTGCAACACACAGCTTCTCTTTTAACAGAGTAATTACAGCAAGTGTGGGAGATGCTCAGGTTAAGAGGTACACAGGAAGGAACCCCAAGTAAGAAATCACAGAGTTGCATCTTCTGCTGAGTTACAGGAGGAAGGGGAAGGTTTCCTGGCTATGTGAAATCCAGACTTCATATTTTATCTTTAGTTCCTTTTTTTTCTTTCCAGATGTGGCTTCCTAGAATGATTAAATATTTCGTTTTTTGAGTCTCTTAGTGAAAGACTCAGCATGCATGAAAAAACCATTATGAGGTTGCTGCCTCAATGTAAAACTGCCCCAAAACACTTACAGTTCAAATACAGCAGCCCAGTCTGGTAGGAAAAGTAAATGGGTAAGACCAGCTCCGTGCATTCCAATAAATATATCTGTGTTGTGGGTGATCCTTAGCTGATCCAAAAACCCAAGTTCCCTGTGTACATAGAGAACAACAAAAGCAAATGAAAAAAAAAAGAAAGCACTAAGTTGAGTTGAGCTCATGACTCATAGTTAAAACATTTATATGAATGTCTTTCCCAATTGAAATCACATTCACCATACATTTTTTTGCCATTTCAAGCCTACTCCGGTATTTAATAACTTAATGGCTCGATAATTTAACATTTTTTCTAAGTAAACTCTCTTTTTTAAAAACCTAAATGTATTTAACTTAGAAGGAAACTTTTATAGCCATCTTAGATGGAAAACCATTAACACATGACATAAACAAACCTATAAAAATTGATATAATCAAACTAAAAAGTATTATTCAAATCTAGGTAAATACCATTGCAAGGCAAAGAGCTTTCAGCCTGATGCCTGCTTTCTCTTTATAAAAAATTGAAACAAGCAAGGGTTGAAAAGATGTTATGGTATACTTGCACTAAACTGGAAACTATTTCCTTAAGATGATAAAGTGGTTTTTTTTAAATAGGAAATGAATTCCTCCTTGTGTGAGTTGACTTCTTCAATGACATCTGAATAACTAAAATTATCTTGATACAACCAAGCAGTTTCTTGCCTTTGCAACAGACTAATCCACAATTTTATGCATGCTAAGATTGTAAAAGTGCTCTTTGAATTCAAGACGCTAAAAGATGTGAAACTGTGAAATAATATCAGTGCCAAAAAAGTCTACCAAAGTGAGTCTCGGAAGAAATGCTGGAATGAGGGTAACACAAACATAATGGGATTAGACCTCCCAGTCCCACTTACCCAAACTAAAGAAAAATAAATAATCAAGATTATTTTGAACCTAAGAAGGGAAAGTGAATTTCCCCATAATCGGCTCCTTCTCTTTAAAGACCTGCCTTTCACAATACAACAAAAACCCCACACCCACACAAAGAAAGGGAGACAATGATACCGTGTGTCTCACATGAGGTACATGTGCATCAGTTTCCCTAGGACTGCCACTGATGCAAGGGAAAGACAGGACGTCATCCAGGTGAATAAATGCAGAGAATCACCAGTTACGGAAAATGTCTATGGCGTGGGCATCACCAATATCCATGTGATTACATTACTAACATGATCCTCAAGTTGGAAAGGTCTGAATTTATTGTCATTTTCCTTCATCTGAGAAACCCAGTCAATAGCAGAGCCTCAGAGGCACACACACCCTCACTGCTCTGTTCTGTCAGCCAGATGCCTGGCCACTTCTTGTTGCTATGTTTCTTCATGTGACAATGACGGTGGTCACCAGGGCACAGAAAATTCATAAAACAAGAATAACTTTGCCAACCTCACAGGGCTGTTGGAAGAGTGAGATGAGATAAAGCAAAGCATAATAATAAGTCTCAATAAAGGATCGCTGTTCTTTATAATTGTTTGTTATTTTTATTCAGTGTCCAGAGTCCTCAAGAAAAGAGCCATACCAGCCCCATGACTGCATTCCTACTTCAAAGCCTGTGAGCAGCTCATGGTGGGACCCCCAATAAAGATCTGTGTGAAAGAATGAATGTGTGATGAGTGAGGTGCAACACTGAGAAGTTTAAACCTGTCTGCATTAGATACTCTTATGCTGGGAAACGTACACTTGTTCTTTTTTACCACAGAAACTGTTCATGAGTTCAGTTTGGAAAACAAGATAATGATTGTGGGTGGATGAGGGTGGGAGACAAAGCTTTCACCTTTCCTTTGGACCTTTTCTATGTAGCTTGACTTTCCACCCAGGAACACACGCTACCTTTGTGGCATTACTGTTTTTACATCAACAGAGGTTAGCTAGACGGTGACAGGCATATTCTGTCTTGTGAAGCTTTTTACTTGTATCAGAATTTTAATAGCAGTGTAAATGCTTTATTAGATTTTTAAAACTTTCATATTGTTCTATGACTCTCAAATTATTCACATATAACTAATTTTAGGTCAAAAGTTGAAGCCCGGCAGTTAATAGGGCAAATTAGGTCTGCAACATTTTTTAAAAATTCAGAATTAGTTGCCAACATGAAAATTCAGACATTGCAAATGAAAATGTAGATTCATCATTCCTCTTGAAAAATGAGATGGTAAACAACATCAGGCCCCCAACAGCCAAAGAGCAACTGTGCCTGTGGCCTGACCTGCCACTCCATTCACTGCTGGTATCTGCTTGTCCCTTTCAGGTCTAAAGCACCAACAACTCCAGTTTGAAAATCCTTTCTATCTTCCATTAACACATCCAGAAAAAAGGGGGACAGCTTCTGCCCAAGGGTGCATATTACTTACTTATACTTGTAATCGACAATCTGGACTTCAAATGTAGACACCGTTTTCAGTGCGTTGACAAGCTGGGAAAAGAACAGAAACATTTAAAATTTCTTTTCCTTCTCTTCAGTTTTACTTTTCTTGGAGTCCTCGCATTTCTTATTTCTCATACAAAATATTCCCCATGTATTAAATATCCTTCAGGTCTATTGCTCGACTAACCCTTAACTGAGTTCAAATGTTGGCTCCACCACTTGGACACACCGCCTGCCAAATATTATGCTGCCCTGGGATGTCATGAGGCTGAGAGGAGAAAGTCCAGGGGAGCAGAGTGCTCTGGACAGCGGCTCACTAAATGTTAGCCATTGTTATTTCCATTTGCTAGTTATTCCCTCAAGTTTCAACATGTAATTTCCTGAGCACTTTGTTCCAGACACAATGTTAAGAATTTTCTTCTATCCATTATCTCATTTCAAATAAACCACAAGCACCCTGGGCCTCATCCTCTAAAAATACTAAACTCTTGGCAGGAAAACATTTTCAATATTTCTATACAGAAAAACAATTATTCTTTTAGCATACAGAAAGTAAAAAAGCAAATTAATCTATTATTAAAATCACAGCCATGGCTCTCACTAATTCAGAATTAGGCCACCTTAACCCAACACTGTAACTCCTGCTCTTCAGAAACACGTGTGCCGTGTTCCGCACCTGTGTCCCTCGTCTGTGGCATACAGAACGCACAGCATTGATGGCTACAAAAGCATCGCTGACTGTGCACTTAAATTATGCTGGCATTTTTTAAGGGTTAGGTCACTTAATCCTCATAAGAATCCTACCAAGGAAGTATTACTATTATGTGCATTTCATAAGTGATACACCAGAAGCTTAGAGAGGTTCAGTAATACTTCTTTTTACAGAGAAGTATTGTAACTTCTAGGGGATTGTAACTGCAAAGCCCCTACAGGTCCTTTCCTAACAAGGCCCAGAACCAAAGTTTTAACCTTGGAATGCCACTCATGACTAACACTGTGAACCCTTAACTGATCCCCAATGGAAGGATCAGATGTGACTGGTACCTGAAGACTGGGACCTTTCAGAAGTGAAGGTTCATTTTCCAGGAAGATCCAGTGCTGAAACCCCTTAAAGTCCCACCCCAAACCTGGAGCCTTCCCTCCCATCTCTTTGCCTTTCTTTTTCTCCAAAGTAGATGTCACAGTACTGGCTCCTGTGTGTGTTAGGCAGCATCCCTGGCTCGGTGACAATTTGGGCACCAGAAAGCAAGAGGCCTTGTGACCACTGCTGAAGACCCTGGAGCCAATGTGGATGGGCCCTGGAAGTGACTGGACTAGCCACTTACAGGCTTTGTCAGCTTGTGGCAAGTTCCGGCCCCTCTGGGCTACTTTCTACTTTCACTTTTGAGTAAGGAAACAGTGGCTGAGTCACCTCTTTGTCTAAAACCTCATGTGGACTGTGGAGTAGAGCCTCACCCTGGGAGGCTGTGTCAGGCACAGTCCCGGGTCTTGGATGTCTGTCTGGAAGAGTTCTCAATCAACTGCACTGTTCTGCTTTATAAAGTTTGTGGAGATTTAAGGTTGCGTATGCTGCCCTCTTCAGCCTACCCTGAAGGAGGTGCCCACAGCAACTGTTGGCATCCAGTCCCAGCCCTGAGCTACCATGTGGTGGTTACTGAAGCTCAGCCACAAGATCCTGGCTGCAGAGTGCAACCTGGGGTGCAGTCATGTGTGTGTGTGTGTGTGTGTGTGTGTGTGTGTGTGTGTGTGTGTGATGCCCACTCCCCCAACCCCCTCCAAGGGCACTGAACTCAGTCCCAAGCTCTTAGTTCAGATAGGAGCCCAATATTAATTATTTTTAAAGTAAATAGTCATTAATCCTTAATCTAAGTTACCAATATGTTTGATATCTTTTATTGTTACTTTGGGTAAATGGATAACTTAATATTGTTTCATAGTGATTTAAAATTTTTTTGGTAAAGTATGTTTGACAAACTTCCCAGAGCCCAGGTTTTAAAAGGAGACATTTTCTTAGCCTGGAAATGGATTTGGGTTGTTCCTCTGTAATGCCTCAAAGATTTGTTCTCTCTCTCCCTATAAAAAAAATTTTTTAACTAATTTGGCCTATTTAATATACTAAAATTACATGGAAAGATTTGTCAAGTAAAGAAATAATTCTAGTTGCTATCTTAAATATTATTGTTTATCTTAAATGTTAGATATTATTGCAATATATGCTTAAATTTCATTGTCAGTTGAATACCAAAGGCATTACTCAGAGGAAAGCCTGCCAGGTAAGAGACATGACAGAAAGGAGAGCACTTGGACAGCGTCAGGCTGGGCACCTGCTGTGGCTGGGGTGTGGCCAAGGCCAGCCCCAGGGCCAAGCCCAGGCCGTGGGGTCCAAGCTCCATGCAGACATGGGAGGGGCAAAAAGGTCCAAAGCAACCCCCTGGGGTCCACCAAGTCATGCCATCCCTGGCCCAGTAGAAGTGGACACCTAGTAATGGGACTTAATTAAGGGGCCCGAGAAGCACCCATGCACCTTCATTGACAGTTATTGAGGCTCACAGCATGACATGAGACAACAAGCTGCAGTGCTCACCCCAACACCTGCCAGCATACAATCAAGATCCAGTAATGCGCTTGCTCAGGAAAACAAACAACCCTGGGCAAAACCCCAGGAGCCCGCTGACTAAAAGGGCTGTCCCCCTTTAGGGCCACAACATTGTACATATTTAAATAAGGGAATCACTAGAGATGAGAATGTCCTAATCACAGGAAAGGATGGGGAAGGAAGTACCCACAAATAAACCCACCAGATGCCACAGCTGGTTAGTAATGACCAGGAATGGCAGGGCCCTGGGTAGCCTCAAGATTCTTTTGTTTCAAACAACGAACCCTGGGTGACAGCTGCTGTGGGACAGAGATTCACAGACTTTCTAATTGATACTGATGCTACATGTTCTATCCTAAATATCAAACAAAGCCCCTCTCCCCAAAATCCATAGCTATTACAGTTGTTGGGGGAAAGACACCCCCATGGACCCTTCCTTCAACCATTCAAATGTCATGTAGGGAAAACACTTTTTAAAAAGATTTTATTTGTTTATTTTTAGAGAAAGAGGAAGGGAAGGAGAGAAATATCAATGTGCCCCATACTAGGGACCTGTCCCGCAACTCAGGCATGTGCCCTGACTGGGAATCGAACAAGCGACCCTTTGGTTTGCAGGCTGGCACTAATCCACTGAGCCATACCAGCCAGGGCAGAAAATGCATTTAAAACACAACTTTCTATATATGCCTGAATGCTCTATTCCCTTGTTGGAATGAGATCCACCAACAAAATTAAATGCCCACCAGATTTTCTCACCAGAAAAAAATCAACATTAATGTCCTACCAGATCAAGCCTGTGCCCTCCAAGCTGTGCTATTACAACTGGAAGACAAGCCTCAACCAGAAATCCCTGAATAAATTCTACAAAAGGTAAGAGAAATGTCTGAGCTGACAGTGGCCAGGAAGAGCAAAGCCGATGACCTAGTAATAGTAAAACTTCATCCAGGTACTAAAACTCCAAGTTTGAAAAATACGCTTTGGAGAAACCTGCAAAAAGAAGGTATAAAGCCTCAGATAGCACCCTTTCTTTTCTCTTTTATTTTTTAGAGAGGGGTAGAAGGGAGGGAAAAAGAGAGGGAGAAAAATATCGGTCAGTTGCCTCTTGCACACGCCCAACCAGAATCAAACTGGTGACCTTTCACCTTACAGGACGATGCCCTACCAACTGGGCCACACTGGTCAGTGCAGATCACCACCTTTCTTAAATGCCAATTAATCTGATCATGTCACTCCCCACATAACACTCTAATCCTGCCCATGCAAAAACACCCAGCAATGGGAATAATAGTTTTGTACAGGACTTGAGAGCCAAACGATAGAGGATATATATATCGTGGCACCAAATCCTTTTACTTTGCTTTCAACTCGATCTGGAGACCTCTGCTAGTTTATAGTTCTGGACTAAAAAAGATACCTTTTACTGTATACCCCTGAGTCCTGTTTGCCTTTGAATGGGACAATCCAGAAACTAATGGAAAACAATAATATTGCTGGATGGTCCTTCCACAAGGTATAGCCAAGGAAAAACAGAAAAGACGCGAAGTGCTCAGAAATTACATGCTTCATGGACGCCTCAGTGTACAGGAAATACTGAAGAGATGAGTACGTCAAGAAACCAACTTAACTTGGGATAAGGTTCTATCAGCTGCCCTAAGGTAAGAGTAGTTCCCTACAAGCAAGCTCCACTGATCCTGCATGAAATGTTATATGGGAGACCCTTCCTTAAAAATACTGTAAAAAAATTAGATGCTGTAAATGTGTGCCATCTCTAGGTGTTGCTTTATCTGGCCCTCAAGACTTGGAAAAATCAACACCAATGGTCAGCTGCTACTTAATTAGAACAGAGTCTGTGAAGTCCCCCTAGTTAATTACTTTGCAAAAGAAACAGGACAACAGACCCCACCTGGCCAAGAAGAGAAGACACAGACAGCTAGAAAGAAGACCGCTTCCTCTCAAGAGTCTGTACCAGGCCTGTATAAACTTGAATTATCTATCCTAACTTGCTCTTATTTGGTTTTTAACCATGTTTTCCATTCCTGGTTATGATATTTGCTTATACAGGCCGAGTATTCTGAGCATATTTCTTATGCTTTCTTCACTCTTCCTGACTTACTGTCCCCTTATCAGCAGAAGTGGCTACAGCAGTCATCAGCTATGTTCCCCAAGACTGAGGAATGAAGAACGAAAAGGGGAATTTGTAAACTGGTCCTATTGTGATTCTAACAAGTCCCAGAACCATGACCCAGCAAGTGGCAGTTCTTGATACATTTTTGTGGAATAAATCTTACTGTTGTGACATCTTCCAGCCATGCTGTTGTACACATGCTGATCTTATTCCAGTTAAATACAATTCATGAGTTGATGCTACTGAAATCAGTTTGAGTCTAATAAGTGGTTCGTTTAGTGCCTTTCAATAAAAATCTAATAAATGAACTGGGCATAACCTTTTCTAAAGGCTAATAATTTCAAATCAAAACATTTACTGCAATGTGAAAAAATAAAGCACACCAGTTACAGAAAGTTAATATAATGACATTAAAAATACAGAGAAAAACTAACCTCATTTTGGTTTAGTATTTTCCGGTATTCTGTGCTCCGTGCAAGAATGGTGACTCTAATTTTCCCATCCTGTAATCAAATGGAAAAGGCAAAATGATGCTGTATGTGCCTGGACAGATGAATGAACACCTGAACCTAAAGTGGGATTTTCACAAAGAGATGAAACACAATAAGAGTACATTATGAAACTTTTTTTTTAAAGCAGGATTCCTTTTAAAGCATGATTCCCTCCTTCACAGTTCTCTTAGAGAATAAAATAAAATACATTTACTTTAGCCACAGGAGCCAAAACCTGTTCACTACACTTGTGTTTGGGTGGTTGGGTAGATTTTTTTGAGCAGATGTGTGTGACTCAGGTGGGGATTTGGTGGTGGAGGGGAAAAAGCACATTCTTCCACTATCCCTGGTTTATCTTTCATATAGGTGGCAGACATTTGATTTCAGATCACTCCAGTTCAGAAGGTGTTAATACAGAAAACACTGTCTTCTGAGTATTTCTTTTTCTAAAAAGGTGGTATTAATTTTTATTCAGGGTAAAAAGTCAAGCTCACCCTGGAACCCGTAATGCAGTCAGTCCTCACTTAACATCATCTCATAAGTTCTGTGACTTTAAGCGAAACAATGTGTAATGAAACTACTGTAAGTATAAGCTAATTAAGTTAAGTTCCTATGGCATCTCACCAAGGTTATAATGAAATGACATTGAGTAAAACAACATTATTTGACCTGCTGTGTATTCATTACCTTGGGTCCCTCTTGTGTGATGTTTAGTCTGTATAGTACATGCTGGGAAAATGCCCTGAATAATCCAGTATTTTGACAGCCAGATATCTACAATAAAAGCAATAGTTCATATTACAGTAAATATTTATGTATTACTATTTCAGGGGTTAGTTATATAAGTTATATTAAAACATTATCAAGAATAAATGTGAATGTCTGCAACAGATAACATTCTTACCAGAGGGGTATTATAAAACAGCCCGTATCTCATCCGGGGGAGTAGTGAAAAAATCGCCTCTTTAAAACAAACCTAACAATACAGGTACATTAAAAGGTTAGAAGAGACATGTACCCTTCACACCAAAACAGCACTTATAGTTACAGAAAAAGTAAATTTTAACTAACCTCTATTTTACATTAAAATATGTTGAATAGCAAACTATTTCACTCAAGTGAAATTCATGTTTTTGGAAAAGGTATGAAAAAGTATTTTTAAAAGCTGCAAGTTAATAACAATGAGGATTCCAGTTACCAAAAAAGAAACTAAGAGGTAAGAAATCAATGGTAATATTGGGCTGGCCAAAAAGTCTGTTATGTTTTTTCCTACAATGGCTCTAGTAGTGTTTAGTTGTCTGTAACTTCATTTGAAAAAAATTTGTTAGGTTGCATTGGGACAGCTGGCATGCCAACATGTATTTTTTCAAAAAACTTATCAAAATTGGTGAATTTTTGTGTAGCCATTTTAGTTTTGAAAATGGAAGAAAATACACAACATTTTTGGCATGTTATGTTTTATTATTTCAAAAAAAGGTAAAAATGTAACTGAAATGCAAAAAAGGATTTGTGTAGTACATGGAAAAGGTGCTGCGACTGATTGAACATGTCAAAAGTGGTTTGAGAAGTTTCTTGGTAATATTGACATTTTGGCCAAATGTCAATACTTCTCTGCTGTGGGGCTGTCTATGCACTGGAAGACATTTAGCAGCACCCTGGCCTCTGCTCACTAGAAGCCAATAGCTGCAGGTAACTGTCATACTCAAAGTCAATAAAATTATTGGTGAAAATAAAAAATATGTCTTATTTTATGAAAAAAACTAAATGGACTGTTTGGCTAACCCAATAGCTAAGAGAAACTCACACTAAGTATTTATCTAATGTGTCAGTCAACTGGAATGACAATTATTTACAGATATTTCAGTAAAGTTTCCCATACCCTTTTAGAATCATAAGTTTTCAAATGTATCACATCATAATCAGTAAATGCTTTCCATGTGTCAGAGAACAGGTCACCGTATCCATAGGAGCTCTAAAAGTGGAAATAAAATAAGTTAGAGCAATAAAGTCATTCAACATGGCTTTTCAAGAATGCAAACATGTACTTGAATTACCTTGTTAGAGCAAAGAACTAATGATCCTAAACAAGTCCATAAAATCCATAGAAGAAAAACAGATTTTTCACTTTGGGTCTTATTTGATGTAATTTCATCAAAAATAATCATCACAATTATAATCTTAGTCTGCTAAAAGTGGTTCGTCTTTCCACCCTAACCCTTTGTATTTTCATGTCTGAAACTAGTTATGGGTTTTTTTTCTCTAAGTTTCTATCCAAATTACAGATGCACACAACACATACATACACCATCATTAAAACACTCTGATATTTGGGTAATTTCTTTGGAAAGAAATTTCAGAACAAGGAAATGCCTTGAAATATAATACATGTGTAACTGTATGAAATCATCTACCCACTGCCTAATACTTAATAATTCCCCATTAATAAAAAGAGTAAAATAATAATCATCATAATAATAGCATTTTGCATGTTCTTTTGTTCCAGGCATTATTCTAAGCACTTGACATTACTTAATACATTAAACCACCTTACAAATTTAATGAGCTATATAATATCATTACCCACTTTTTACAGATAAGGAAACTAAGACACAAATTTAAGTACTTTGCCTAAATCATAGAGCTGGTGTGTTTGCAGGGTTGGGATTAATCCAGTCTGTGTGGCTCCAGACTCCATGCTCGCAACCTCTGCACAGCAGTTGCCTCTCAGAGGGAACTAGTTCCTTCCAGTACATTAACCAAATGCATTGATTTTTGAAAAGCAGAAATTAATTACATGCTTCATCAGCTAAAGGAGATCAATTTATTTTATTTTATTTTTCAAACTATAAGAATAATTTATTTTAAAATGGTATAACTTAGATTGAAAAATTCAGCCAATAGAAATAAGAAATATTAAAGCCTCGGTTATAGATTATGATTATGTTTATGCCTTTTTATTTTTATAGCACTTTTTTCAGATCATGAAAATTTTACATCATACGTTTTAGAGTTATTTCAAAATTACAGAGAATTGTTAAGTATGGTGATAAAAAAAATGGTTCCTTCAGGATCTCTCCAGTGCCATTTGAAGAAAGGGCCCTGTCAACACCACCAGAAGTGCAGTGTCCCGGGTCTGGCTCAATAATAAATAAAGGGCAATTAAAAGAAGTAACTAGACAGTTTCTTGAGATAAAATACCTCAGAAAAAATAAGATACCTTTGAAAGGAAAATTTAATAATAAAATACAGAAATCCGACTCATCCCTTCTCCAGGGAATCATGTAACATTCAGTAATAACCACCTCTAAAAGTTGCTTTGCCATGTCCCTCACATTCAAATTCTCTGCCACAGGGAAAGGAAACACTTTTTTCTAGTCTCACAGTGACATATCTTCCTGTATTTGTCTCAAATCTAAACATACACATAACCTGTAACTTAGAATTTCTACTTACAAGAATCTGTCCTGCAGAAATGCTAGGCTGAGGTATACGGGCATGTGTCCATGGGAAAGATTTTCACTGTAGCATTTCAGTAAACAGCAAAGAATTGGAAACAAACATCACATGATCCAGGTGGGGACAGAGATGAATGCATGTACTGAAGCATGCAATCAACAAAATACCAATGAAAAATGATAACCTTAAATGTCCATGACATATTAAGTTAATATGAGAGAGTGTATTTCCTATAAAGATATATTTACATTTATTCAAATAAAATAAGTCTTACAAGGCATTCTCATGTGTTAACAGCGATTACCTTTAGGGGAAATGGAATTAGAGAAGAGGAAGAATTTTTTTAATCATTACATATTCCTGTGTTGTTTGAACTCTTTATAACCAGATACTATTTGCCTAATTAAAAATAATAATAAAGCTGCATTACTTCTCAGCACAAGAAAATAGGGAAATCCTGCAGCAATCTCCTCTTTTATTCATTCTGTTAATAAGAGCAACCCTGTTATGCCCAGAAATTCTTCTGCAGAAGTGTCCCTTAATGCCTCTCAGGAGGTTGGTGGCCTTACCCATCCCACAGAGGAAACCATGTGACTCAAGGGAGAGGCCAAACTGCTAAATTTTGCAAGGACAAGAGGGAAGTCCTCACAGGGCTTCTTTATGAGAAGTTTGTAAAAGGTCAGAAGGATCTGAAGTGTAGCCACAGCCACCACTCTGCTCCTTCCCTGGGCACAGCAATCGTTCCAAGGCCTCCAGGACTGCTCTCAGCATCGTCCTCTGTCAGGGCTTCGAGTCACAGTCAGCCTGGGCCACAATGTGGCTTCACTCAAGGCCTCACCAGAAAAGAGAAGCATCAGTGGCCACACACCACCTTACAACTGTCCCCAGGAAACCTCCAGTACTTTGTGGGCCTCAATTCTGCAGCAACCCACAGATTGTCTGTCCTAGGAATCTGAATGAGCAACTAGCAAAGGCCTCACTGATGAAGAAAGCAAGTTTAAAATGGATGCACAGAGAGCAGCAAAGGAGGGAGGTAACATCAGGGCACACAACATGCTGGGCCAGGCAGGTCCCAGTCTGAATGCCCTGCCACACGTGCCCAGTGACCTGAGTGACCAAGAAGCTTCTGGTGGCTTAACAGCCTACTCCTCCCAGCAGGACACAGAGAAGGGCAGGTGGGAGAAGTCAGCTCAGCTTAATTCAGTCTACTTGAGGAAGGAACAGAAAAGCATACAAGATACAAGGAAGCTTCTGGGAAGTATCTGGAAAACTTCCATCCATTAGCAGGTTCTGTGGGGAACTCTAGGGAAGCAGTAAAGCACTGCAGTTTCTGGGGACAGATCTGGGGTCCACCGGCCTGCACAGGAACCCTGACTCCACCTCTTGCTGACTGTGTTCTTGGAGGACAGCTACCAGCTGTTTGGATCCTTGGCTTCCCTATCTATGAAATAAGCTAATAAAGCCCTCGTCCACCAAGGGTTGTGAGCATTAGGTTAGATAACAACAGGTATAATTTTTTTAAAAAGCACCACCCTGAATTAACCATTCAGGGCTACTGATGCCCAGTGATTGTGGCCTAGAAGCACACAAAAAGAGGAAAAGAAAGAGACTATGTGCCCTTTGCTCACAGAAACATTTTCAGGAAATGAAACTGGTGGCAGCAAAACTGAAGACACGAAAAACGTAAATCTATGCAAGAAGGAAGCTAAAGACAGCATTCACATCCAAGAACAAAAAAAATGACTCATCAAACTTCACATCAAACCACAGGTCTCTCACAGTGATAATGAAACCTTTCCTACTCAGCTCGACTATGAGCTTTATCATATAAATGAAAAACATGTCAGGAAAACAATTTCCCTTCTGCACAAGAAATGGAACTGCAATCAGCTGTCTAGCTCTGCTCTATGAAAATGAATCTAGCATGCTGTGCTTCTACATAACACTGCCTATAATTTAAAAAAAGATGCTTAATAGGTAAATCGCATCTAGACTGGGAAAAGGTATTAATGACTCTCATAATTGGCTGTTCTCTCTTCTGAGGGTTCTGGGGGCTTTGCCAATGCAGTTGTCCCAGGAGACATTAGGGACATCCTGTGTGGTATAGGAGGCACCTCTACCTGCCCCAAGTGGATCCCTAGTCCTTGCACCTGAGCTATACTGTGCGAGCTGCTAGAAAGACCCTTTCCAGAGAAAATACCTGAGGCTGTCCTACCAGCAAGCTATGGTTCCCCTGGAAGATCGTTCTAAACAGACTTGTGCCAACAGTGGGGCCAATGGTGTCCTGTGAGTTGGAATGGTTAGTTGAAACTTACATGACTTCTCAGTTGGTATTTCAACTTCCCAGTTTAGGCAGACTTTCTCATGTGTATTATTGGATTAACCAAAAAGTCCATGTGCTTTTTTCCATAAAAGAAAAGGCACAGTTTTCATTTTCACCAATAACTTTATTGATTTAGACATTTTGAGTATGTTGGCTATTTCACGTGTGGTATAATGTTGATTATTCTCAATTAATGTGTCAATTTGATCACTATCAACTTCCACTGGTCTACCTGACCAGTTGGATAGCATCATACAGCAAGAAATCTCCAGCATGAAACTTCGTTAACCACTGTTGACACATTCAGTCAGTCATAGCACCTTCTTCATATACCACACAAATCTTTTTTTGCATTTCAGTTGTATTTTTATCTTTCTTGAAATAATAAAGCAAAATACCAAAAATGTTGCATATTTTTCTATATTCAATATTAAAATAGCGCACGGGCCTGCGAACCATACAATCGAGGTTCGATTCCCAGTCAGGGCACATGCCTGGGTTGCAGGCCAGTTCCCTGCAGGCCAGTTCCCAGCAGGGGATGCACGAGGGGCAACCATACATTGATGTTTCTCTCCCTCTCTCCTTCCCTTCCCCTCTAAAGATAAATAAATAAAATATTTAAAAAATATATACTAAAAGAGCTACACAAAAATTTACCAATCTTGATAAGTTTTTTTAATACATCTGATATGACAGCTGTTATACTACTATCAAACAAAATTGTTTTGAATGATGTTAAAGACATCATGTGGAAAAACCAGAGCCATCTTGTGGAAAAACCAAACAAACTTTTTGGCCAACATGATATAAACCACATGTTGGCATCATTGTCTTTGTCACAGCAACATTCAAAGCACATGTGCTATGTGTCAAGCATCTGACTATTCATATACTATATGGTTTATTCTCAAAATGACACTCAACTAGAGACTACAATTGTCCCATTTCACAGTTGTGTGTACTTGGGCAATTCAGGCGGAGGTGGGTTACCTTGGCAGGTAGATAGGCCAGTATTGAAAGAAACAGAGAAAAGGAAGGATGAAAAAGAAAAAAAAAACAGCGCTGAAAACAAATAAGCAAATAGCAGGTACAGTATTTATGGGTACCCCCAGGACTGGCCATGTGCAGTGAGTGCATCCACACAGCACCCTGTCGTAAAGCAGGCAGCAAGAGGAAACTGCAGGTAGGCAAAGTCAAATGGTAAAGACAAGGGTGCTCCCCATGAGGGTCATACAGGGGCCACAGGGGTCGAAGGAACGACAGTCTTCTTATGCCTGCCTCAGAGAAACACAAAGGATGAGACTTTGGTCTTTGGAGATTCACCTGCCCAAAGGTGCAAAGAAATCTTCCATGGCCTCACTCTGAAGTTCATAGAATGAAAGTATAAACTTATATATGTATTGGGTTGGCCAAAAAGTTCATTTAGTTTTTTCCATACAATGGCTTTAGTCGTGCTTAGTTGTCTTTAACTTCACTCAAAACAATTTCTTACACTGTACTGTGACAGCTATCCTATCAGATGCATTTAAAAAATGTTATCAAAATTGGTGAATTTTTGTGTAGCCATTTTAATATTGAAGATGGAAGAAAATATGCAACATTCTCAGCATATTATGCTTTATCATTTCAAGAAAGATCAAAATGCAACAAAAATGCAGAAAAAGATTTGTACAGTGTATGGAGAAGGTGCTATGACTGATCGAATGTGTCAGAAGTGGTTTGCTATGTTTCTTGGTACTATTGATACTTTAGCCAAATAATTCTTTGCTGTGGGGCTCTTATACATTGGAAGATGTTTAGCAGCACCCCAGCCTCTACTCACTAGAAGCTAATAATGAGAGACAACCAATCTACTCAAAATATCCAAATCAATAGTTATTCGTGAAAATGAATAACATGACTTTTATTTTACAGAAAAAACTAAGTGGATTTTTTGGCCAACCCAGCATCTCCCCATGTGTACATGTACATGTACATACACATAGACACATCCCACTTATCTGCACATGCATAGATGTATGTGTGAGTCTTTAAGTGTGTGTGTCTTAGAAAATTCCATTTCACCACATCAGAGTCACAGATTCACTGAGCAAGGACAGAGCTGAAGCAGAGAGCAGTCCTACTCACCGTGTCCCACATCACAATGTACACATCTGTAGTAAAGGAATTGTTGACGTGCTGAGTGATGTAAAGATTGACAAAGTCACAGAAGTGATGATACATGTTAACACCTAGCACCGTGAAAAGAAGTCTATGTTAATTAACCCTGAAGAACAAATAATTATACAATTTTTATTCTACCCCATCTATTTATCCTGTGATGGGCTTTTAGCTGAAATAAATGAGAAAAAAAAGTTTTTCCAAATGTGAAATAATCTACACTCAGGTAATCCTCAATTTACAGATGAAATGGGTTCAAAAATTCACTTTAAAATTGGTTATTTAGCCCTGGCTGGTGTGGCTCAGTAGATTGAATGCCAGTCTGCAAACCAAAAGGTCACCTGTTCAATTCCAAGTCTAGGGAGCATGCCTGGGTTGCAGACCAGGTCCCCAGTGAAGGGGCCCATAAGAGGCAAGCACACATTGATGTTTCTCCCATTCTCTCCCCTTCCCATCCCCTCTTTCTAAAAATAAATACATAAAAATCTTCAAAAAAATAAAATTGGTTATTTAGAAATCAGGAATGGACTTCCCCATATACACTAACTAACAATTGATCATTAATTTTCCAGAACAAAAAATGACAGAAGTCTATTTAGCTCAGAATTAGGCAGAACTATAGGACCATGAAGACTAATTATTATTTTTTTACGATCATTTATTTTAAAAAATAAATTAGGCAAGAGCTGTTCATCATAGAATTACTGAAAATGACAGCAACTATTAACATTTTGGCATTTTTTTCATTCCTGTCTTTTCTTCCTACTTAACTACCACTTATCATGTGGTTCTTGAGAAAATAACAGGGTCTGGCACAAATAACACTCCTGTTTTATTACAAAATCATAAGCATGTAATTCTGTATAATAACAATATCATACTCAAGCACACCATATGACATTTTAAGTGAAATGTTCAAATTAAAACTATAAATTAATACACCCATACTATTGCCCTACCAACCACACTCAAGCAGGAATCTTCTGCTAGACCTTGTATTAGCCAACTATTGTTTAAAAGGGCTGAATGGGTATTTAGGAACTTCTAGCCAAGATGAAGGTGTAGGTAGATACACTTTGCCTTCTTGAACAACCAAAAGGACAACAAATTTAAAATAAAAAAATAACCAGAACTGCCAGAAAATAGAACTGTATGGAAGTCCAAAAACCAAGGAGTTAAAGGAGAAACCAGACCAGTAGGAGGGACAGAGGCCAGCAGCTGGGGTGTAGAGGACTCACGGCAAGGCAGCCGCTGACAGATAGGGCAGTCCCACATTTGCGTGGGGATAAACCAGGAGGAGCAACTGGGGAGCAAGACAAAAAACACAACCCAGGTTTCCAGTGTGGGAGAATAAAGCCTCAAAACATCTGGCTGAAAAAAACCAATGGGTGTTGAGGCAGAAAAAAAAAATCCCAGGTTCACAGGAGTGGTCATTAAGGAGACCTACAGAGTCCTAGAATGTCACAAAACCACTCACCTGGGAATCAGCACCAGAAGAGCCCAATTTGCTTGTGAGTAGTGGAGGAAGTGACTGAAAGCCAGCTGAGAGCTGAGCAAGTGGCATTGTTCCCTCCCAAATCCCTCCGCCACACACAGTGCCAGAATTCAGCAACGTGGGTTGCCCAGCCCTGGCAAATACCTAAGGCCTTGCCCCTTACTATTTAACAGGCACACCTAGGCAAAAAAAATATGCCCCAAATGAAAGAACAGATCAAAGCTCCAGAAAGAATACAATTGAGCAATGAACAGATAGCCAACCTATCAGACAGAGTTCAAAAAACTGGTAATCAGGATGGTCACAGAAATGGCTGAGTATGGTTGCAAAATAGAGAAAAAAGTGAAGGCTATGAAAAGTCAAATAAAGGAAAATGTACAGGGAACCAACAGTGACAGAAAGGAAACCAGGACTCAAATCAATGGTTTAGATCACAAGAAAAATATAAGCATTTGACCAGAACAGAATGAAGAAAAAAGAATTCAAAAAAATGAGGAGAGGCTTAGGAACCTCCAGACAACTTTAAACATTCCAACATCTGAATTGTGGGGGTGCCAGAAGAAGAGGAAGAGTAGGAAATTGAAAATTTATTTGAAAAAATAATGAAGGAGAACTTCCCCAATCTGGTGAGGAAAGATTTTTAGGAAGTCCAGGAAGCTCAGAGAGTCCTAAAGAAGGTGGACCCAAGGAGGATCGCACCACGGCACATCATGCTCACATTAGCAAAGATTAAAGATAAGGAGAGAATCTTAAAAGCAGCAAGAGAAAAAGAGACAGTTAACTACAAAGGAGTTCCCATTAGACTATCAGTTGATTTCTCAATCAGCTGCAAGAAACCTTGCAGGCAAGAAGGGGCTGGAAAGAAGAATTCAAAGTCATGAAAGGCAAGGACCTACATCCAAGATTGCTCAATCCAGCAAAGCTTTCATTTAGAATGGAAGGGCAGACAAAGTGCTTCTCAGATAAGGTCAAGTTAAAGGAGTTCGCCATCACCCATCCCTTAATATATGAAATGTTAAAAGTACTTATCTGAGAAAAAGAAGATAAAAAATATGTATAGTAAAATGACAGCAAACTCACAATTCTAACAACCACACCTAAAACAAAAACAAACTAAGGAAACAACTAGAACAGGAACAAAACCACAGAAATGGAGATCACATGGAGGGGTAGCAACAGGGGAGTGGGAGGAGGAGAAGAGGGGGAAAAGGTACAGAGAATAAGTAGCATAGATGGTACACAGAAAATAGGGAAGGGCAAGAATAGTATGGAAAATGTAAAAGCTAAAGAACTTAAGACACATGGACATGATCTAAAGGGGGGAATGTGGGTGGGAGAGGGTGTGCAGGGTGGAGGGGAATGAAGGAGGGGAAATGGGAAAACTGTAATAGCATAACAATAAAATATATTTAAAAGAAAAAGAGAGAGGACCCAAGTAAACATACTCAGAAATGAAAGAGGAGATATTACAACTGACACCACAGAAATAGAAAGGATTGTAAGAATTTATTATGAAGAACTATATGCCAAGAAATTTGAAAACCTAAGTGAAGTGGAAAAATTTCTAGAAAAATACAATTTTCCAAAACTCAGTGAAGAAGAAGCAGAAAGCCTGAAAAGACCAGTAACAGCTGATGAAATCAAAGCAATAATCAAAAAACTCACAGCACACAAAAGCACTGGACTGAACAGTTTCACAGAGTTTTACAAAATATTTAAGGAAGAGCTAACCCCCATCCTTCACAGACTTTTCCAAAAAATCCAATAAGACTGAAGACTCCCAAACTCTTCTTATGAAGCCAGCATCATCCTAATCCCAAAATCAGATAAAGACACAAGAAAGAAAGAAAAATGCAGGCCAATAATCCTGATGAACATAGATACTAAAATTCTCAACCAAAAATTGGCAAACCACATCCAGGAATACATTAAAAAGATCACACACCATGACCAGGGATTCAAGGATGGTACAATATTTGCAAATCAATACACATAATACATCACATAAACAAAAGCAAAGACAAAACTCACATGATCGTATCAATAGATGCAGAAAAAAGCATTTGATAAAGTACAGGACACAGTTATGATAAAAAACACTCAGCAAAGTGGGAATAGAGGGAACATTCCTCAACATAATAAAGGCCATATATCAGAGACCTAGAGCCAACATCATACTCAAGGTGCAAAAACTAAAATCTTTCCCACTAATATCAGGAACAAGACAAGGATGTTCACTTTCACCACTTCTCTTCAGTATAGTATTGGGAGTCCTAGCCACAGCAATCAAACAAGAAGAAGAAATAAAAGGCATCCAAACTGGAAAGGAGGAAGCAAAGCAGTCACTGTTTGCAGATGACATGATAGTGTACATAGAAAACCCTATAGACTCCACCAAAACCCTACTCAATCTAATAAGTGAATATGGGAAAACGGTGGGATACAAAATCAATATTCATAAATTGAAGGCATTTTTATACACCAACAATGAAATATCAGAAACAGAAATCAGGAAAAAGATCTCATTTGCTATAAGAAAAAAAAATACCTGGGAATAAACCTAACCAAGGAGGTAAAAGACCTATACTCAGAAAACTATACAACACTGAAGAAAGAAATTGAGGAAGACACAAACAAATGGAAGCATATACCATGTTCATGAATTGAAAAATTAACATCATCAAAATGTCCATACTACCCAAAGCAATTTATAGATTCAACACAATCTCTATGAAAATACCAAGGACATATTTCACAGATATAGAACAAACACTTCAAAAATTTATATGGAACCATAAACAACCTGAAATAGCTGCAGGAATTTTGAGCAAAAAGAAGGAAATAGGTGGGATCACCATACCTGACATCAAACTATATTCTAAGACCACTATAATCAAAACAGTCTGGTACTGGCATAAGAACAGACACATAGACCAATGGAACAGAATACGAGACCAAAAATAAACCTTGAGTCTCTGTGGTCAATTAATACTCGACAAAGGAGGCAGAAACAAAATTGAATAAAAATATCCTCTTCAACAAATGGTGTTGGGACATCTGGACATCTACAAGCAAAAAAATGAAACTCAACCTCCAACTTACAGCATACACAAAAATAAATTCAAGATGGATAAAAGACTTAAATATAAGTTGTGATACCATAAAAGTCCTAGAAAAGAAGACAGGCAGGAAAATCTCAGATATTCTACGAAGCAGTATTTTCACTGATATGTCCCCTAGAGCAAGGGACTTAAAGGAAAGAGTAAATGAAGGGGACTTAATTAAAATAAAAAGCTTCTGCACAGCTAAATAAAACATTAGCAAAATGAAAAGAGAACCAACTGTAAGGGAAAACATATTTGCCCATGAATATCTTGGGCAAGGGTTTGATATCCAAAATATATGAAGAACTCACATGACTCCACACCAGGAAGACAAACAATCCAATTAAAAAATGGGCATAGGACCTGAACAGACACTTTTCCAAAGAGGACATAGAGAGGGTCTGGAGACATTTGAAAGGATATTCAGCATCACTAGCTATCAGAGAGATGCAAATTAAAACTATAATGAGATACCACTTCACACCTGTCAGAATGCCCATCACAAACAAATCAACAAATGATAAGTGTTAGAGAGGTCTCAGAGAAAAGGGAATCCTATTGCACTGTTGGTGGGAATGTAAACTGGTGCACCCTCTGTGGAAAACAATATGAAATTTCCTTGAGAAAGTAAAAATGGAATTGCCTTTTGACCCAGCAATTCCACTACTGTGTTTATACCCTAAGAATCCTGAAACACTGTTTGAAAAGAATCTATGCATCCCAATGTTCATAGCTGCACAATTTACGATAGGCAAGTGCTGGAAGCAGCCTACGTGCCTATCGGTAAATGAGGAGATCAATAAACTATGGTACATTTACATATGGAATGCTATGTAACAGAAACAAAGAGGGAGCACCTACTCTTTGAGACAACATGTATGGAACTGGAGAGCATTATGCTAAATGAAGTAAGCCAAGTGGTGAAAGACAAATACCATATGATCTCACCTGTAAGTGGAACCTAATTATCAAAACAAAATGGCAAGCAAAATATAGCCAGAGACATTGAAATTGACAACAAACTGACAGTAACCAGAGGGAGGGGAGAGGGAAATAATGTGGGGAAGAATGAAAAGGGAACTAAATGAACATGAATGAGGGACCCAAGGACGGAGTCAAGGTGGGATGGGATTGAGGGTGGGAGGTGGGCATGGGTAGGGTGGTGGAAAGTGGTAGTGGAAAAATGGAGAAAACTATATTCGAACATCAACTAAAAAAGAAAATAAATAAATAAATAATAAAACAAAATAAAGTATTAGCCATGGCTGGTATGGCTCAGTGCATTGAATGCCAGCCTGCAAAACAAAGGGTCGCCAGTTCTATTCCCAGTCAGGCACATACCTGGGTTGTGGGCCAGGTTCCCAGCTGGGGGCATGTGAAAGGCAATCACACACTAATGTTCTCTCACTCTTTCTCCCTCCCTTCCCCTTTCTCTAAAAATAAATAGATAAATATTTTTAAAAAATACTCAAGTATTAAATGAAGTGAAATTCAAACAAATTCACTTCTTTAGAGAAGAAATGAGAAAGCAAATTCATTGTTTAATGTCATAGTGCTTCCCAAAAAGTCACAGGAAATCACCACATATGTGTATCAAAAAAGGAACAAAGCCTCATTAATAAATTATAGGCTTGGCTGGTGTGGCTCAGTGGATTGAGCGTGGGGCTGGGAACCAAAGGGTTGCCAGTTCCATTCCCAGTGAGGGCACATGCCTGCATTATGGGCCAAGTCCCCAGTAGGGCGTGCAGCACAAGAGGAAACCACACATTGATGTTTTCCTCTCTCTTTCTCCCTCCCTTCCCCTCTGTCTAAAAATAAATAAAATCTTTAGAAAAATAAAATAAATAAATTATAGGCAAATTAACTTCTCACCTGCATCCAATTTCATGAAGTAGGTTGGTTTTTCAATAACAATGTCACATTTACCATCTTCTATAGGTCTGAAGTTGAGCTGAGTATAGCTCTGGAGCTCCGCAAACCTGAAAGTATGAATTGGGAGATACTTTCAAAGTGACTCTCCTGAACATCCTACTGTATTGTCACTTAAGATCTGTTCATTAGGGCAATTTTATTTCTAGAATAGTCACTTAGGAAGACATGTGGAACTTCTTAAACTTACCAACACTTACCTAACTTATATTGATTTTAACATTGAGATAAAGAACAAAAATGATTTTAAATTTCAGTGTAAGACACATTGGTAACTTTCTAACAAACTGGTAACAAAGAAGAAATTTATACATTAAGTTGGCTAAATAATCTACCAGTACAGTGGGAAGATTCAAAAAGGTTTCCTGGAGTCTGATGATGAATCTCAGAAGTAACATTGACCCAGAGGCTTTCTTGGCATAGACTTCTTGGATTCTGAGAAAGATAGCATTCCAAGAACTATCCAGTATAAAAGAGGGAATAGAGGGAGCATACCTCAACATAACAAAGGCCATATAGAAAAAACCTGCAGCCAATATCATATTAAATGGAAAAAAACTTTAAAAATTCCCTTAAGATCAGGAACAAGACAGGGATGTTCACTTTCACCTCTCTTGTTCAACATAGTACTGGAAGTTCTGGCCACAGTGATCAGACAAGAAGACATAAAAGGCATCCATATTGGAAAGGAGGGAGTAAAACTGCCATATTTGTGGATGACATGATAGTGTATATAGAAAACTCTACAGGCTCCACCAAAAAACTATCAGATCCAATAAATGAATTTGGCAAAGTAAATGGATACAAAGTCAATACTCAGAAATCAATGGCATTTTCATACACCAATAATGAACAATCAGAAAGAGAAACTAAGAAAACAATCCCATTTACTATTGCAACAACAACAAAAATAAAGTACTTAGGAATAAGTTTAACCGAGGAGACAAAAGACCTGCACTCAGAAAACTATATGACACAGAAGAAGGAAACTGAATAAAACACAAATAAGTGGAAGCATATATCATGTTCATGGACTGGAAGAATTAATATCACTAAAATGTCCATACTACCCAAAGCAATCTATAGATTCAATGCAATTCCTATTAAAATATCAATGGCATACTTCACAGAGCAAGAACAAATATTCTAAAAATTCATATGGGACCAAAAATGACCAGGAATAGCCTCAGCAATTTTGAGAAAGACAAACAAGGTTTGAGGGATCACAGTACCTTATATCAATCTGTACTACAAGGCCACTGTAATCAAAACAGTCTGGTACTGGCATAAGAGCACACATATAGATCAATGGAACAAAATAGAGAGACCAGAAATATACCCATATCCTTATGGTCAATTAATATTTGACAAAAGAGGCAAGAGCATACAATGAAGTAAAGACAGTCTCTTCAAAAAGAGAGAGAGCCCTGGCTGCTGTAGCTCAGTGGATTGAGCGCAGGTCCGTGGACCAAAGGATCGTGGTTTGATTCCCAGTCAGGGCACATGCCTGGGTTGCAGGCCAGTTCCCAGCAGGGGATGCACAAGAGACAACCACACATTGATATTTCTCTCCCTTTCTCCTTCCCTTACCCTCTAAAAATAAATAAATACATAAAAATCTTAAAAAGAGAGAGAGATGGTCTCTTCAATAAATGGTGTTGGGAGAACTGGACACTAATACATGCCAAAAAATAAAATTAGACCACTATGTTATACCATACATCAGAATAAAGGAAAAATGGATAAAGACAAATATAAGTCACAATACCATAAAAATCCTGAAGGAAAACATAAGCAGTAAAATTTCACCTATCTCACGTAGCAATATTTTTGCTGACAAATCTCCTAGGGCAAGGGAAACAAAGGAAATAATAAGCAAATGGGACTGCATCGAATTAAAAAGCTTCTGCATAGCTAAAGAAACCATCATCAAAATGAAAAGGGAACCCACTATATGGAAGAACATATGTGCCAATGATACACTGGACAAAAGTTTAATCTCCAAAATATATAAAGGACTTATATGACTCAACACCAGAAGACAAACAATCCAATTAAAAAATTGGCAAAGGACCTGAATAGACACTTCTCCAAGGAGGACATAAAGAGGGCTCATAGACATATAAAAAAAAATGCTAGATATCACTGGCCATCAGAGACATGAAAATTAAAACTACAATGAGATATCACCTCACACCTGTCAGAATGGCCATCATTAATAAATCAACAAACAATGGGTGCTAAGGATGTGGATAAAAGGGAACCCTAGCCTTGGCTAGTGTAGCTCAGTGGATTGGGCACAGGCCAGCAAACCAAAAGATTGCATTTCGATTCCCAGTCAGGGCACATGCCTGGGTTGCAGGCCCGTTGCCAGCAGGGGATGCACGAGAAGCAACCATACAGTGACATTTCTCTCCCTGTTTCCTTCCCTTCCCTTCTGAAGATAAATAAATAAAATCTTTTTTAAAAAAGGGAACCCTAGTTTGCTGATGGTAGGAATGCATACTAGTGCAGCCACTGTGCAAAACAGTATGGAATTTAATCAAAAAATTAAGGATGGAAATGGGTTTTGATCCAGCAATCCCACTTCTGGGAATATATCCTAAGAATCCCAATTTCAAAGAATATATGCACCTCTATGCACTAGCCAAGATTTGGAAATAGCCTAAGTGCCCATCAGTAAAATGGGTGGATAAAAAAACAGTGGTACATTTACACAGTGGAATTCCAGGGAGCAGTAAAAAAGAAGGAATTCTTAACTTTTGAAACAGAATAGATGGAACTGTAGAATATTATGCTAAGTGAAATAAGCCAGTCATTGGAAGACAAATACCATATGATCTCACTTACAAGTGGAATCTAATGAACAAAATAAACTAAAGAGCAAAACAGAACCGGAGGCATAGAAACATAGAACAACAACAAAAAAAGATACAGAACAGGGCAGGGCACATGCCTGGGTTGTGGGCTGGGTCCCCAGTTAAGGGCCCATGAGAGGGACCATACATCAATGTTTCCCTCTCTCTTCTTCCTTTCCCCTCTCTCTAAAGATAAATTAATAAAATATTATTTTAAAAAGATACAGAACAGAATGAAAGATAGAACATAGAAACATAGAACAGCTGTAAGAGGGAAGCAGCAGGAGGGGAGGGCTGGTTGGAAAAAAGTGAAGGGATTAGTCAAAAAATATTTATGAATGACCCACAGACATGAACAATGGCGTGGGGACTGACTGTGGGAGTGGGGGATGGGCTGGACAGAGGTGAACAAAAGGAGAAAAATTGGGACAACGGTAACAGCACAAACAATAAAACATTCAGCACAAACAATAAAACATTTAAATTTAAAATTAAAAAAAGAATTATGCAGTGTTTTGGAAAGATAGCAGACAGGTACGTTTCCCAGAAAAAAGGAAAGCCTTTTTCTTAGGAAACATCATAGAAAGCCACATGGCACAGGTTTCCTCCATGTAAAAGGAGACAATCACAAGCATGTGACAAGAGATATTTAGAGTTGCCCTGGCTGGTGTGGCTCAGTGAATTGAGTGCTGGCCTGCAAACCAAAGGGTTGCCCATTTGACTCCCAGTCTAGGGCAGATGCCTGCATTGTAGGCCAGGTCCCAGGTGGGGGGGGTGTAAAAGAGGCAACACTGATGTTTCTCTCCCTCTCTTTCTCCTTCCTTTCTCCCCTCTAAAACTAAATAAATAAAATCTTTAAATAAATATATATATATATATATATATATATATATATTTAGAGTTAACTTAAAGATCATTTGTAGCACTTCATCTTTGAAACCACAGCTGATGTAAAACAGATATCAAACAGATCCTTTTAAAATACACCATGCTAAAATACTGTGATTTCAAAAATATGTCCACAAATTCTTTGATACTTTTCCCTTCAAGAGGTGGAGTTTAATTCCCTCCCCTTGAGTGTGGGCTGGACTTAGGGATTCACTTCTAATGAACTCAATGTGGCAGAAGTGATGGTGTGTCACTTCTGAGATCGGGGCGTACGAAGACTAAGACCTCCACTGGGCATGCTGCCTCTCTGTTTCTCCCCCTCCCCTCCTCTTCTCTTCTCCTCTCTCTCTCTCTCTCTCTCTCTCTCTCTCTATATATATATATATATATATATATATACACACACATATATATGCATGTATGTATGTGTATGTTTCACCAAGGGCTCTCTTGGGGATCCTGGCTGCCAAGCCGTGAGTAGCACTTGGAAGAGGCCCACATGGCAAAGAAATAACACCTCCTAACAGCAGCCAGAGAAAAACTAAAACTTATTCAAAGATTAGTCAACAAAAAGCTCATTTAAATTTGAGTTAAGAAGGCCTGTAGGGGGTAGTTTTCATGTCCTACCACTCTGATCAATCATCCCAAACAGGAAAAGATATACTGTCCATCTCCATAGGAACATGTTCTACTAGCTATTACTACAACAGTAAGAAGGATTTTCTCACTTAGGAACCCACTCAACCAATGAAAGATGGTTACAACTCAGCCAATGAAAAGCTGCTACACTTTGAACTCCCAGTTTCTTCCAATGGTCTCTTTGTTTACAACAACCCCTATAAACTCCTTTTCTCTATAAAATAATGTTCCTCTCCTTTGTTCTCTAGGCTTGGGCATGGGTCACCATTAGACTGGATGTCCTTAATTACAATTTTTTAAATTCCCAAATAAACCTATTTTGCTGGAGAAATATCAAGCTATTTGTTAGCATTTACAACAATGTGACTGAGCTTAGAAACAGATTCTCTAGGTCCAGCTCAATCTAGAGATGACTGCAGCCCTTGCCAACCACCGAACTGGAACCTTGTAGGAGACCATGAACCAGAACCACCTGGCTTGGCTGCCTCCAAATCTTGACCATCAGAAACTTCATGAGAAAATGAATGTTTGTTATCTTAAACTGCTCCATTTTGGAGTAATGTGTCAGACAGCAATAAATAATAAATACAAATATACTCTAGGGAAGGCATATTTTGGAGTAAAATATTGCACAGTAATAAATAACTGATACAAAGACACCATAGAAAACTACCATGTGGAATTAGATATCAAAATGGCTAGGAATAAAAATGCCTGCTAGAATACAGGAACTCGTATGCAAAACCCTGTAAGTCAAAGAAGATACTGCGTTGTGGACTATAAAATGCTATACAAATGTATAGTAGATTATGGCCCTCAAGGATTTGCTTACAATAAATGTTTGACCTCAGAAGTTAACATAAGAGTATTCTATGTGACTTATGATATTGTGATCTATAATATTACAACATTAGGTCTTACTCTCCATTTCTGGCACAGAGCTCATAAAACCGTTTCGATTTCTAAGGTGCTGAGAGCCATACAGGTGTCTTTTGTTATGTTAATTAGGTAGCTTTTAGACCACCCTTAAGTTGGGGGCTGATTTCCAGAAGAACCAATGGTGTGATTAGAAGTTTAGAATGTTCAGTCCCAAATCCCGACCATTGGGAAAAGAAGAAGGTTAGAGGTTGAGTCAATGAGTGGTCAATGATTTAATTGACAAAGCCTATATAATAAAGCCTGCATAAAAAAACTAAAAGAGCTTCTAGGTAGGGGAATACTTAGAGATTTGGAGAGACTGGCATGTCTGGAGAGGTCGAGGAAGCTCTGCACCCTTCCCCATACCTTGCCCTATGCACCTCTTCCGTCTGACTGTTCCTCAGCTATATTCTTTAATAATAAACTGCTTAATAAGAAAAATGTTTCTCAAAGTTCTATGAACTGCTCTAGCAAACTAAACCCAAGAAGGGGATCATTAGAACCTCCAATCTATTGCTGATTAGTCAGAAGTACAAGTGACAAACCTGGCCTTGAGACTGGGGCCTGAAAAGGGAGCTGCAGTCTTGTGGGACTGAGCCCTTAACCTGTGGGACAGTGTATCAGAATTGAATTGAACTGTAAGACACCCAGATGGTTTCAAAGACTTGCTTGGTGATTTGTGGAAACCACCCCCACACAGCAAAACTGACTGCTCAGAACCTCTGACTACAAAGAAGTGGCGTGAGAGTTTCTTTGGGATATCCTGATGGTGGTAGTGGTTACACGCACCTAGACAAGTGACATAAATTTCACAGAACTAGATATCCAAAAAGAAAAATGAGAGCATATATAAGCACCGGTAAAATCCAAATGTGTTCACTATTAACACTGTACCAATGTGATTTTCATGGTTTTGATCATTGAGCTACGTAAGATGTCATCATTAGAGGAAGTCAGGATAAGGGTACAATGGGAACTCCTTGTATTAGGTTTAAACTTCTATGGGTCTATAAGTATTTTAAATAAGTTGTTTTAAATTACCCTTATTCCTTAATTTCTAGAGATGGTAATTGCCTGATAGACTATAGAAATAGTTTAATTTTAAAAATGTCTTAAATCAAAATGTATTCTCCAGTTTATATAAAGTTCAAAAGGCTGATCAATCAGTATTGAAAGTCAGGATGCATTTGCCTTTGGACAGGAGGATGGAGTTGTGACTAGAAGAGAACCTGGGGTGTGATGAGGGTCTATTTGTGACCTGGGTAACAGTAACACAGGTAGGTTCATTCATTCATAATCCAGCTGTACACTTCTCTACACGCCTGTTACATACTTCAATAAATGTGTATTTCTTTTTTAAAAAAGTATATTCCCCAAAACACATATAGTAATAATGAGGAATTAATAAAAATTCATTTTTAAACTAATTTTTCTTTCATTAGCCATCAGTAAGCACTATATCATACTTCCTAGTATTTTATAAACATATAATACTACACAGCAGTAAATAATGAATTCTTATCTTTGCAACAGCATGGATGGAACTGGAGTCTATTATGCTAAGTGAAATAAGTCAATGAAAGGCAAATACTATATGATCTCATTTATAGGTGGAATCTAATGAACAAAACTAATGACCAAAATAGAATCAGAGACATAGAAACATGGTACAGACTGACAGCTATAAGAGGGGAGGGGGATTTAGAGACTGGTCGAAAAAAGGTGAAAGGATTAATCAAAGAACATATATGCATGACCCATGGAAACAGAAAACGGTGAGGGGACTGACTGTGGGAATAGGGGGCAGGATGGGTGGAAGGGGCAAAACAGAAAAAATTAGTACAACTGTAATAACATAAACAATGAAATATTTAAAAGAAAAAATAAAAACATAAAGAAAAAATGTAAACAGAACAGAAAAAAAACATTTGATTCAGATCTAACTGGCAGATTCACCCTGTAGCCTCCACTCCCCAAATTCATGCCAAATTATTCACAAATAAGTAAAATTTTCCATTTGAAAGACCTTACCAAAATCTGCAAGTGCCAGAAATAAAGGCAAATATTTTACGAACATAATAAAAACAAAACAAAACAAAAAGAACCTCACCAAGACTGTAGAGGGCTTTTGCGCTGATCTTCAGACATCAATGTATGAGTGTCAAGTTTACAGTGTCCTCCAATTTCACCAGTCTGGAGAAAATCTTCCTTAAATCTGATGGGTAACAAAAAATGTAATTGAGTTTGGAAAATTTTTTCATGACTCACGCTCATGAGTTGTAACCAAAGTCATTTACCAATTTCCAAAACTGGTTTTCCATTAGAATTTAACTCTTTATAATAAAACATTTCAAATATATACAAAAGTAGCAGAATGGCATAGGAAGCTGATGGACCTGTAATTCAGCTTCACGATGGTCAACTCATAGCCAATACAGTCTTCCATCCTCCACCTGTCCTCAACCTCACTGCCGTACGAAGCAAATACAAGGTATATCCCTGGACTTGAAAATATTACAGAATTTCCACTAGATTTTAACATCAACCACTTAAATACCTGTCATGGTTTCTCTTGATGTTTCTTAAATCAAGATAGAGATTGGCTGCTCTGCAATACTGAAGGTAACGGGAACATACCAAACTTGAGTCATTCTAAAATAAGATTGGGAAAAAAAAAACATTTTGAGGACACACTCATACTTGCCAGACATGTTGAAGGCATGTGTACCTTCAAGTTCACACCACATAGTGTGGTGAGAGAAGCTTCCCAAAGACTGCTTCTATTTAAAGACTTGTCCCCTTCCCAGCAGGCCTTGGCCGAGCATAGGTTTGAAAATTTTCATACTTGTGGGTCACTAAAAACTCCTAAATGTTCTATTTATGTCACCTCAAATTTTAAAGACAAGAGCTGAATATGTGATTTAGTCCTTTAAGAAAAAAGAAACAAAAGCACCCAGAACCATCACCACAACAGTTGTATGAAAATGCATTTTCCAAAGACGATACAAATGAAACAAAGAAGAATGCACACAAGACATTAAAATAACTAGATTGAAAGGGCAGCATGCCAATATGATAAGAGGTACTCTTCCTGTCTCAACAGTAACATAACGGCACCACTTTCAAAATCACTGAAATAAATGAGCTTAAAATTCAACTATCAGAACCTGTTCCTGTCTCTCCCAATCTGGTTTGTGTTGAGACAGTTTCAATTATTTTATTTATAGATTTAAATACCATTTCATTGTTTTTCCCATAATTCCCATGAACACAAGACCTTTACCTTGATTCCCACAAACACAAGACCTTCACCTTAAACATAAGACCTTCACTTCCAAATGTTTTGGAATCCACGGTTGTTAAGGGATCATACTCTGTAGCACAGAGCATGTGGAGGTGGATCATGGCCAGGAAAGCATTCTACAAACTGCCTGGGAAGAGGTGAGCAAGGTGGGCTGTGGCTCTTCCCTTGCCCTTTCCATTTGAACAACTAGACTCAGGCCAGAGAATTCAACATATAAAACAACATCTGTTAAAGGCAAACTGCAGCAGTGTGGGTTAATGCCATGCTTCCTTGTGAGAATTGCTTAAAGTTCTATTATATGACATCCTCCAAAAGTGCTATAGAGCATATATACAGTTTTATTAATGCAAGTGCATTTTTTATGGGGGTTTTTTTCTGGATTGCCTGGAGATAAAGGAGATGCCTGAGATATCAGAGATTTGGCCAGGGTTCAAAAACAACAAGAGATAAATAGACCTTAATCATAAGTGCTTACAATTCCCTGGACCTTTAAAAATGAACAATGAGCCCTTTACTGGGACCCAGGCTATGCACTGAGCATTTTTATATACAGAATCTCATTTCATTCTTACCACAAGGTCTGAAATAGGAATTGCTAAAAAGCAGAATTGAAATAGGAAAGTTGTCCAAGAATCAGGATCTGAACCCTACAGTACGGACCCTGTCCTTCTACTGACTACCCCATACTGCCTCTGGGCAATGTTTTGTTTTACCAACTGTGTGCAAGTGGCAATGCTGGACAGCACACAGAAGAGCTGCATTCTAATTCTAGATGTATAATTCTATGTAGTAGTTGTGTGGCCTTAGAAAAGTTGGCTAACGTCTCTAAGGACCCTGTTTTCCTCTCTGCTATGCTTGTGGGAATCCAACAAGCTCACAGACGGAACAGCTATTTGCACATTGGAGTGGACCATCTGTCCCAAACTACTTGCAAAGAAATTTGTAGAGATGTAATTTATCAATTTATCTTTTTTCGCATGTATTTGGGGGAAATTCTAAATCTAGTGTTATTTTAACTGCTTCGAAATATGGCCATCCAAAAAAAAATATATGGCCATCTGATGTATGTGTGAAATGAGGACACGGTTTCCAGAGGACACAGAACAACCTATTTTTAGAAGTTAATGCGGGGGGGCGCGCGCACGCGTCTGGGTTAAGGAGGCGGGTTGGCCCGGGTTCCCCAAACATTTCTCTCCTCCCTCTCTTCTCCCCCCTTTAATAAATAAAAAAAAAAAAAAAAAAAAAAAAAAAAAAAAAAAAAAAAAAAAGTTAAATAAAAGTCTAAGCCAATAAATACTTGAGAGCAAGAAGTCTTTTCACAGAGCTGTCTACCTGTCCTTTACATTGTGGTCTAAAGGGCACGAATATATTAAGTGCACATGTTCGTGACTATGAGGCCACCTTACCGTTTGCTCAGGCTGGCAGAGCACATGCAGCTCCCGCAGCCGCGCTCCCGCATATCCAAAGTCAGCTTGCTTCCAGAACGTATCCTGGGCTGACTCCAGACTGTCTGTCCTATTGGAAAACGAAGACATTCTTTTTTTTTTTTACTTTTTCTGAAACTTGAATCTTCTTTCTAAAGGTTAAATTGCTAGCACCTTTTCATTAATCTTTTAGGAAAACTATCATAATTTTCTTAAAATAAATTCTTGCTATGAGAAATTACCAAAGTAAGTTATTTCCAGATGTACTCCCTTATACAAATACACATATAAATGTGTGAAGTGAGTGTCATCTGGAACTAAATAGAATTAAATGTCAATTACTGTATTTTCCTTACTCCATTAACTGTGTATATATTGAAAATAATCATTATACTTAATTTTCCCCTCCAGAATCATGAGGAAAATATCAATTTATCTTCTTAGTGTTTGCTGAGGGAGAACATTTTTTGTGTTTTATATACTGTTTTCTCCCTCTGGCAGAGGAAATGAGATATTCCTGTAAGTGTGTGGAGGGGAGGAGTCAAGCTGAATCCTGATATCTAAAGGAATTACTATCTAAAACAAAAAACGCTTAGCTGAGAATTGAGGCATCAGCATACAGTTCAGAGATAACTTAAAGTGGAGAAATTATTCCATCTGGAAACTTACCATCCCATGTCAACGTAGGTACAAACAGGGTAACCGAACCTGAACTCCGGTCTGCAGGACCCCTCATAGCCCCAGCAGTACTTCAGATTTTCTAAGTGTTTCTGGAACATAAAATGTGCACTTAGACTGGGCTCTATTCTTCTGACTTTTACAGAGAATTCTTAGATTTTTCTATGAAGAAAACAAAGCTTTGTAGAACTATCACTTTTATATTTTGTAATACATACTCATGCAATAAAAATAATTAAATCCTAAAAATAATAAGTAGTCTTAAGTTTCTTAATAATAATATCTTTATGGAAGAATTAACATCATCAAAATGTCCTTACTACCCAAAGCAATTTACAGATTCAATGCAATACCTATTAAAGTACCAATAACATATTTCACAGACATAAAACAAACACTTCAAAAATTTATATAGAACCATAAATGACCCCAAATAGCAGCTGCACTTTTGAGAAAGACGAACAAAGTAGGAGGGATCACAATACCGGATATCAAACTGTATTACAAGGCCACTGTAATCAAAACAGCCTGGTACTGGCATAAACAGGCAGAGACCAATGGAACAGAACAGAGAGCCCAGAAATCAACCCAACTCTCTACAGTCAATTAATATTCAACAAAGGGGGCAGTAACATAAAATGGAGTAAAGATAGCCTCTTCAACAAATGGTGTTGGGAGAACTGGACAGCTACGTGCAAAAAAATGAAACTTGAGCACCAACTTACACCATACACCAAAATAAATCCAAGGTGGAGAAGAGACTTAAATATAAGCCATCACACCATTAAAGTCCTAGAGAAGAACATTGGCAGGGAAATCTCAGATATTTCACGCAGCAACGTTTTTACTGATATGTCCCCTAGAAGAAGGGACATAAAAGAAAGAATAAACAGATGGGATCTCATCAAAATAAAAAGCTTCTGCACGGCTAAAGAAAACAATATTAAAATAAAAAGACAACCAACTGTATGGGAAAACATATTTGCCAATGATTCCTCAGACAAAGGTTTAATCTCCAAAATATACAAAGAACTTACATGACTCCACTCTAAGAAGACAAGCAACCCAATTAAAAAGTGGACAAAGGACTTGAACAGACACTTCTCCAAGGAGGACATACAGAAGATCCAGAGACACATGAACAGATGCTCAATATCACTAGCTATCAGAGAGATGCGAATTAAAACCACAATGAGATACCACTTTATACCAGTCAGAATGGCTATCATAAACAAAGCAACAAACAACAAATGTTGGAGAGGGTGTGGAGAAAAGAGGTCCTTGGTTCACTGTTGGTGGGATTGCAGACTGGTACAACCATTATGGAAAACAGTATGGAATTTTCTCAGAAAACTGAAAATGGACCTGCCTTTTAACCCAGCAATTTCACTGCTGGGATCATATTCTAAGAACCCTGAAACACCAATCCAAAAGAACCTATGCACCCCAATGTTCATAGCAGCACAATTTACAATAGCCAAGAGCTGGAAGCAACCTAGGTGCCCGTCAGTAAATGAATGGATCAAAAAATTATGATACATATACACATTGGAATTCTATGCAGCAGAAAGAAAGAAGGAGCTACTACCCTTTGCAACAACATGGATGGAACTGGAAAGCATTATGCTGAGTGAAATAAGCCAGGTGTTGAAAGACAAATACCATATGATCTCACCTTTAACAGGAAGCTAGCAACAAAACAAACAAACAAGCAAAATAAAAACAAAGACACTGAAATACAAAACCGGGGGACAGTGACCCAGAGGGGAAAGGGGAGGGAATTTGAGGGGAAAAGGGAGAAGAATTTACAGTAACTAGTATAAAGGACACATGGACAACAACTAAGGGGGGTGGAAATGGGAGGGAGGTGGGGAGCACTGGGAAGGTGGGCTGGGATGGGAGTAAAGACAGAAAACTGCACTTGAACAATAATTAAATTAAATAAGTTAAATAAATTAGAAAGAAAAATATCTTTAACCACCACCCCCTGCTCAATCTGTTCCCTAAACAAAAGTCTAGGCTTTACCTAGACTACCAAAGACCACTTGAATTAAAATTTCTGGGGGCAGTTTCATGATCGGCCTATCTCTAGTAAGCAAACTGATTTAAAAATCAGTCTCTTAAGAGTCATCTAACATGAAATTTCTAAGGGGAGAAATAGTAATGAAAAATAAATATAAATAAAAGAAAATGGAATTTCTGTCTCCAAAAGAATCAGAAACTAAATTAAATGGCTCAACAACTTTACTCATCCATCAAGATCAGCAGAGACCCCACAGGCATAGAAAGTCCTGTATCCCATGGGGGACACCTCAGCTGCTGTTGGCCAAAGAGCCTGGAAAGCTTTTGTGTGTAGCCCAGAACCACTGTAGTCTGACTCCCAGGTCTGGGTCCCAAGCCTGCTTCTCAGCAGGCTTCCTGTGTTACCACCATAGGAAAGGAAGTGTCTCATCTGCCCAGCTTTGATCTCTAGGGCCAAGGGCCCTCTTAATGGGCTCCAATTGGAGGCCTTTCCAACAACTCTAAAACAGAAGGAAAGCTGCAGTAGTAACCTTAATTATATGGAGACAGGGTAGTGATGCTATCGAAATTAAGTGCACCTTTTAGGTGCGGTTGAAAGAAAAACGAATTTCACACCTTGAACCAAATATTATCCTTTTGGGCATAAAATCTAACTTGATTCACTTATAGAATATACAAATGGCATTGGTTGCCTACTTATTTTAGTAGTGATTTAGCTTTTAAATCTCACTGCTGTGAGTGGGACATAATTTTAAACAAAGTTTGGTCACTGAGAAGCATTACATGAAATACAATTAATTGACTCACCTACAACCAAAAGATGAAATTCTACCTTCAAGTTATAAAGTAGAATTGGTAAGCTAATCTAAATTGCATACTTCTAACAAATAAAAGGACAAAATAACACTTACCTTATAAGGACAATGGGAGTCTTTCTTACAGACCATAGCAATATGCCCATTATTGTACAAAAAGAAGGGAATGTGCTCCTCTGGCAAGCGGATGCTGGCATAGTTAAACAGAGGTTCACCAGGAATGCCATGGGCCCCTGAAGAAGCTTCATCTTGGCTACTCAGCGGGGTGTCATGAAGCAATATTCCCAAAACAAGCAGCATTAACATAGCAACCTCCAAACCTACAGATCACATCACAAACATGTTCATTAAGACATATCCTCTAAAAATCAAAGGGGTCAAGGACTAAGCATAATTACAATGAACTTTCCTCCATCACTGAGTAATGTTCTTTTGTTCAACAAATATTCATTGTGCACCTGTTATGTGCCAGGTACTGTGTTAGGAGGTCTTACACTAAAATATTTTAACTTCCATGGCTGCAAATCTTTTTATAAGTAAGGTTTTATTAAGCCAAAAATGCTAGCCAAAAAGAAGATGGGTCTTGGGGCATGGAGTCTAAACTCCCAGCAGCATATCTGCCATCCGAGTTTTTTACACATCAAGTAGGGGGAAGAAGGAGGTGGTCTGAAAGGATTTACATGTATAGGGAAAGGGGTGGGGGAAGGGAAGCACCAATTCAGAGCAGGCAGATCCCATAGGAAGAAATGCCAGCTCCTAGGGATTGGCTGGGATGGGTATGGAAAGCCCACGTGTAAACAAGCGAGGCTCCTGGGGTTCGATGGTGCCTGGCTGAAATAATCTGCAGAATAACCACCTGGAAATTAATCCAAAATCCCAACAGACAAAACAGGAATGTGAACAGTCCATTGTTAGCTGGCACACAGCCATTCACAGACTAACGGGTCTGTCTCTTTCTCTCACTTTCTGGCCCCTATAATTTAATTGAGAACATCTCAGATTTTTTTTTCGTATCAGAGCTAAGATAGAGGATAACAAAGCACGAAATACCCCTGTTCTCATGGAGCCTATAACGTAGTGCAAGAGACACAAAATAAACAATCAAACCAACAACTTCAGATGATGACATGGGCTGTTATTCGAATAAACCAGAAGCTGTAAAACTTTTTCTGGAGAGGGCCAAGGAGTAAAATATTTTTGACTGTGCAGGCTGTACAGTCTCTATGACAACTATTGAACAGCACCTTTGTCAGGAAAGCAGCCACGGCCTGTGCTAAAGGAGTTTGGTGGGAGTGGGGCTGTGTTCTAATAAAACTTTATTTACAAAAATAGGAGGAAGGCCTTAATATGATCCAGTTTGTTGATGCCTGAACGAAGACTTTAAAACTAGATTAATTAGGTTTGAATCCAGCTGCAGCTCCCTGAGCTGTATGACTTTGACCAAGTTATTTAACCTTTCTGTGCCTCAGCTTTTTCACCTGTAAAAATGGAATTTATATTAAATCTTCCTCATAGGGTTGTTCTGAGTTAAATATTGGTAAAGTGTTCCAATATTTAGAATGTTTAGATGTTCCTGCCATGTTAAATTCAATGTGTTTACTGAATAAATATTTAAAGCCATGCTGGATGGGGTGTGGGGTGCTCAGTAACGTTTGAGCTGAGACCTGAATAACGTGGAGCAGGGAAAACATGCCAGGAAGACAGAAGAAAAAGGAAGTGTCATGGCTCTGAGCAAGTGTGTATGTGCTGAATAAAACTAATACTCACAAGTAGTGTGTGAGAATATACTATGTGCCCAGTACTCTAAATAACAAGGATGCAGCAATGAACATGCAGTCAAGAACTAAACTCCTTGCCCTTGTGAAGTTTGCCTTCTGGTGTGTATAATGATAATCTATGATAATAATAGCTAAGACTTAGAAAGCCTAGGCATGAAATCCAGGCAGTCCACCTCAGAGACTGGATCCTTAACTCTCCCTGTCCTGCTTTAGAATTGTAAAGAGATAATGGTCATTGACCTTAGTATATTTGTAACTCACCCCATAAAGATTAAATCTCTTGGACCAGATTTCCCCTACATATGATAGACAATAATCACAGTATCATAGACAATATATAATAGACAATAATCACCCTTGGTTCACTTTAGTGTTATCTCTTCTCTATAAAGAAAAAAAGAAACTTTCTGACCAGTATAGCTCAGTTGATTGGGCATCATCCTGCAAAATGAAAGTGATTCCCCATCAGGGCACATGCCAGGGATGCAGGTTCAGTCCCTGGACAGGGTGCATTTGAGAGGCAACTGATAGTCGTTTCTTTTGCGCATCTATGTTTCTCTCCCTCTGTTCTCCTTCCCTTTCCCTCTCTCTAAGAATAAAAAAATTAAATCTAAAAAACAAAAAGGTTTGCCATTGAAGCAACATTTTTTAAAAATTAAAAAATAAAAGTGTTCTTTCCAGAAGGTGACACAGCCCTATTACAGCTTAGCTGCTTTCCAGCACAGTCTGCTGTCACTGGAGCAAACTGAAAAACCAAACTTTCAAAATCAGTGCTCATTAGCTAGGTGCAGGGGTATGCAAACTTTTGGCATCTCTGCACCACACTGAAAGAAGAAGAGTTGTCTTGGGCCACACATTAAATACAATGTGACATGTAATCACAAAAAAACACACTACATAATGTTTTAAGTAAATTTACGATTTTGTACTGGGCCACATTCACAGCCCTCCTGGGCTGCATGCCCAGGGGTGACACAGGTTGGACACCCCTGTTGGGGCAGTAAAGATGGGCAGTTGGGGGCTTTTAGGAACATACTGTTATGTTCCATTAAGCCTCAAGTTCCAAGACCAACAGATCATCACTAACCAATGGGAACACCAAGAAGAAATCCTTTCCCCTCGAGAGTGGTAAATATAATGGTTTTACATTTAGGTGAAACTAAAGAGTATACTGTTATCTGTTGTAAAAGTGATCTGAATTAATCTTTTTGGCTAGAACTTTTACTAAACAGTCAGTTGACAGCAATTTTATAAAATTTAAAAATACATTTTAATATAGTAACAGTATCTTATAGTGAAAATATTTACCTCTTTAATACTCAGAACCACTCAGAAGCTGTTGTAATGTTTCAGATACACAAAACCTGTCAGAAATGAAACATATTACCTTAAAAAAGATGAAGCAGATTTTACTCTCCATGTGATATTTTGAATTAATGGAAATGTTAAGATAAAAAATAATTTATGAGATAGCCTATACACAAAAGACCTGGCATTTAATAACATAAGGCCTAGCTTGGCTCCTGGTACCCTTTCTTTGCCTTAATAAATACCAAGCTGCAGAGTTACAGGAACCATCCTCAGCCAGACTCTAATGCTGAGCAGGAATGAGGCAGACAATTTTATGCAGGCATCAACTGGTACAGGCAGGTAAAACATTCCTAGGAACAAACAACTTACAGGTAGTAAACCCACACTACTATTTGCGCCTCACTGTTCAACCGACAGGACATCCTTTCCTTTGACTCATCCTCCCCAGAAACAAAGTCATTGTTATGACCAAGTCCGCCTGCCCTTTGGTTATCCAAGTTCCTTGTCCTGGACGGAGCTATGGCCTTAACTAAAGTCACAGATTCATGAAGGCATAACGTAACGCATACGTTACGTTAAAGACATAAAAATCTAAGGACTCAGAACAGAAACCTGGTTTCTGCAGAGGACTCCTCCCCACTTGCATAAATTACAAGCAGATAGCTGCTGGTACAAGATATCACACCCCCGGGGTCTGGCAGAGGCCTTTGTGGTGCCAAATCCTCCTGCAAGTCCCCTGGGGGGAGGGGTGGGGCCCTTCTCCAGCAGATAGAAGTTTTACCAGATGAGGTACTTTTTCCTTCAGCACAAAGCAGCTGGCTCCCTCCACTCCTGCATCCCTTGACTGTATTCCCAGAGGCCTAAAAGGGAGTAGACAAAAGGAAAACGCCTGAAAGATGATGAGAGGTGAAAAGCCGCTGCCGATGGGGACCACAGTGGGTGAGATAGAGCACTGCTCTGTGACAGACGTGGGAAAGCTTAAAGAAGGCAATAGACTAGTGAAAAGCTACACACATCACAGACTCACAACGATTCCCAAACAGCTTGCCCCGCGGTACCATAATCCTCCTGGCCTTTCCACCGCTAGGGGTGAAGGGGCTTGGCTGCCTGGGGGGGGGGGGGGGGGGGTGTACCAGCTCGGCTAGAACGTCAGTGGAGGAACCAGCACTACGGAGTCAGCCACGAGCGCCCTTCCGCTGCCACCAAGCTTCCACCAGGTTCTTCACCCCAAGCACTGCCCAAGCTGCCTCAAGGGACACAGATCCCAGGGGCCACCCACACCCTACACCCCTGCTCCACACCCCGCACCTTCCTACCCTAGTCCCCAGCACGCCTAAGAGGGGCCTGGGAAACCGGGATCACGCGGCATAGGTCGGGAACCGGAAATCTTCCCCGCTACTCTTACCGTGAAGGGGCCGAGCGCAGGGGCCCAGCGGGTGGCTGCAGCCCACCAGAGAGCCGCACCAGGAGCAGTCAGGAGCACCCACGAGCACCCACGGTAAGCAGGAGTGAAGGAGGCGTACGCAGCTGGACCACCGCCTGAAGGGGATGGTGAAGGCACCGCGGTTCACGGGGCAAGTCCCACCTGAAACACGGGGGTCAGGCAAAGCCGGCCGAGACTGTAGGTGCTCCGGAGGAGGGAGTCGTCCTGTACAGCTACAGAGGCTCACCGGAAACCTACCCCGCAGAGCTAGACCAGAGGGCGCCAGGGAGCCACAGAACCTTTGCCAGCTAGCCGCAGGAGGAGGAGGCGGGGCGAAAGCCAGGTCGCAGAGCGTACCGGGTGCTGCGCCAGCTTGAGGGGCTGGGCGAGCGAGCCCACGGTCCCTGCACTCTCCGCTGGGGTATGGGTGCAAGCCTCTGCAGAGCTGGAAAGTGCAGCAGGACTTGAAGAAGCCCAACTGTCCTCTCGGATGCCGGATGCCGTCGGAGGACAAAGGATAGGGTGGTGAGAAACCCGACCCTCCATTCTGATTGAGTTGCAGTGAGGCAAATTTTCATTGTTTTCTTAATTGGGGCAGAAGCCGCCCTAACTGTCAAATCTGGAGCACTTTCTGATGAGGTTTCTTTGGAGTCCACGAACATTATATAACTAGTGTTCTTGCCTCTCCGTGCTATCCAAAAACTCATCAAATTCAAATGCTACTTCATGGAGTTTATTTTTTATCATTTTATTTTATAATTATTAAATTCTAATTGTTTTATTATTTTGTTATAATAGTTTGCCCATCTCCCACACAGTCTCGTATACAGCATACTGGAGTTGATCATTCAATGCTGATTTAACTAGAACAGATTTGCACGAAGGTTGATACAATTGAAATAAACTTAAGCTCACACACAGAGTCACCAGCATTAATGATAGAATTATAAGGAAACACGACACTTTACTTCCAAAGGCTTACATTCTTTTAAAATGTTTTTAGATGCTATTATGAGAATTGCTAAGAGTTCTGTTAGCAACCTTACAAATTAAGATTGTTATCTAGATTTCTTCCAAATAAAGCAAATATGGTATTTGACGTACACCAGTCATTGTTCTGAAGCATTTTACGGTACTAACTCCTTTACTCTTTATGTAAAAGACTTTGTCTACTTCATACTCTGCCCACCCCATACATATAACAGTAATTTTCAAAAATTATTTTCTTGGCTTATTTGCCACCACCCTATTTTGGTCATATACAAGAAATGCAGCTTTCCTGTTAACTGATTTTAAATGAAGTCATTAAAAAAAATTTTAACAGGCTGATTTGCCACTGAGTTAAGTAAAATAGAAACTATATATGTATACATATAGATTATTAATATATAGTTTTAAAAAAATACACCAGAAAGGCTTATAACAAATAGTCTGGACTCCTTATAAGGACATTCGAGCCCATTAAATTGCTGTGACATGCATATACCACTATTTTAAATGAATACATATTAAGCTGTGGTCATTCAGACTCAGGAAACATGATGGGGATTTAAGAACATTAAATTGAGTTCTGTATTACTCCAACAGCCATTCTCAACATAGAATTCCCCCCTAAAATATCCACGTGAAACTTTAATTTTAAACTTTCTTCAAATTAACATTATGGTAAACTCAAATGTCTGTGAATAGGAGACTGATTGAATAAACTATGGCATATCCACACAATGGTGAACTATGCAGTTGTGAAAAAGGATTGAGGAATATCTCTACACATTGCAGGACATATTGAGTGGAAAAGCACAGTGGAAGGGATATGTATATATCATAACTTCTTTGAATATACATTATATAGATGCAACTTTAGAATCATAAGGTCACCGGTTCGACTCCCAGTCAGGGCATGTGCCTGGGTTGTGGGTTTAGTCTCCACTCAGCTCCTGAAGCAGGCAGCCAATCACTGTTTCTCCCTCACATCACTGTTTCTCCCCCTTTCTCCATTTCCCTCTAAAAGTAAATAAATACTTTAAAAAATTAAGATTGTAATTTCAAGAGCCAAATGGGCATAGTGTTGTATAAAACTTCCATTCTCTGCCCATATAGAAGAGACTTTAATATTAAGCAAACAGAAAACCTTCCCATTACTTCTGCTGATGTAAGAACATCCAAACCTACAGACATTTTATGTGTTTATTCAAGTTTATTTCATCGAAACTGAGGACATAACCAAAAGCAAGATCTCAGTGAACTGAGAAAATGGCAGTTCTCATTTTATATATTTAGAATCAAAGAAGTGTAAAGAAGGTTAAATGAAATCCATTCATGGTAGATTATAGAGGTGGGAGAAAGCGAAGCAGGTAGGGGGAATCTCTGGGATTCAACAAAAAGCAAAATGGAGAGATACACACATTGACATCAATGGGTACCAGAGTCAACACTTAACATACAGAAAACAGAGATGGTATTCAGGCAACAAGATTACAACGAGGAGTTCAAGTGCTGCTCCTGTGAGGGTGGTTATACATCCAAGAGGTCTAGAAAAGATTACTCGAGCATTTCAAAGGTATGTTACACTAGATGCACAAGAACAATGGACACTCAACACGAATTTCTCAGCATTCATCCATATTGACACAAATGGCAACATTTCATCATTTTTATGGCTGAGTAGTATTTCCCTGTATATATGTGCCACCTATTCTTTGATCACTAGTCAAAATACACTTAGATTGTTTCCATGTCTTGACTATTGTGAACAGTGCTGCAATGAACATAGGGGTACATATATCTTTATCAATAAGCATTTTCAAATTTTTCAGGTAAATACCCAGAAGGATTGCTGGGTCATAGGTAGCTCTATTGCTAATTTTTTAAGGAACCTCAGTACTGTTTTCCAGAGGCTGCACCCACTAACATGGTGCAAGGGTCTCTTTTCTCCACAACCTCTCTAACACTTGTTATTTCTTGTGTTACTGATAGTAGCCATTTTAACAAGTATGAGGTGGTACTCACTGTGGTTTTAATTTGCATTTCCCATACAGCTAGTTATATTTCACTCATATGTAGGATATAAAACAGAAAGCAACAGATGAACGAACAACACAAACTCATAGACACAGACAACAGTATAGTGATTATCAGAGGGGAAAGAGGGTGAGGGGAGGATGAAGAGGGAAAAGGGTCAAATATATGGTGATGGAAGGAGACTAAATTTTGGGTGGTGAGCACACAATATACAAATGGATGTATTATAAACTTGTATACCTGAAACTTATGTTATTAACCAACATTATGCAAATAAACTTAATTTTAAAAAAGAACAATGTACAAGGCTCACTTTAGGCAAAGATAAAACATTTTATTGAGAGCTATAGGTGTGACTATCCACTGTGACCTACCCAGTTAGGGATTTTGGATCACATCAGCCTGTGCAGTTATCTTGTCATTGGGCTTGTCAGGCCTTCCAAGTAGCCCCCTGAGCTTGTCCAGTTTTCTACATGGCACCTTTTTTGTTCATACTTCTTACTTAGTACTACTTGAGGATTCTAAAATCAAATTTATCTTACTAGGGAATGGGGCAGTGTGATGAATACATTCTGGACAGCACTAAGTGAATTCCCTGCATTGCAAGTGTGGTATATGGAAGCATTTGGGATTTTTGTGTGTTCTGAAAAAAGCATTTAAATATTAAGAAGAAATATACTTTCAATTTCCATTCTGTCTTGTTGAAGGATACTGACTGGTTAGAAGGTAACACGGATGCATGTAAAAGCAATAGCTTAAAGGTACTTTAGGGATCAAGATGCAGAGTTCAATGGTATAAGCTATACAAACTTAAAAATAGAGGATAACATATCTGTAGTTATTTAAATACAGAAATATTATATGACTTTTAGAATACTTTGATACTATTTAAGATTTTAAAAGATACAAATCATCCTTACAATTACCAGTTAGTTACAATCAGTAAGTCTTAAATTGTTTTCCAAACTAAATCTTCATTAGATAAAACTATGCTTAATACTAACAGTCTTAATAACTCATACAAAATTAGGGCTTATACTCATTTTTTTATAATAATAGGCTTTAAAGATTTTATTTATTTTTATAAAGAGGGAAAATGAAGAAGAGGGAAAGATGATGTGTGAGAGAAACAGCAACTGGTTGTCTCTCTCACGTCCCCAAATGGCCCACAACCCAGGCGTGTGGCCCTGACTGGGAATCAAACCAGCAACCTTTTCATCTGAAGGTCCATGCTCAATCTACTGAGCCACACCAGCCAGGGGTATACTCATTTTCTTCAAATATGAATTCCAAACTTATACAAGTTATATTATCTTCATAAAACAATACTACCTCCCTTCAATGGTATTGAACACTTTGTTATAAATGAAATGCATCATTACTATTTTTAAATCTTTATTCAAATTAGATCCATGCTTATTTACATTATTTCATTTAAAATATTTATAATGTCGATCTATAGTTTATATCATACTTTCAGCCCTTTACAAAATATATAGTTTAAAACTAATTGAAAAATTAATTTTAAAAATGAAAATGAAATATGGTACATTAGTAAAATTTATGAGTACTAAACAAATAGTAGTAAAACAAGATTCAAATAGCTACAGTCATTTTCTTTTTTTTTGTTACTTTCTAAAGACTACACATCATATACATTTAATAAACATTTGAATAAAACTCTCAATAAATCAAATGCCAATTGAGGAATCATAAGAAGAAAAATTTTCCTGAACATTCTTTTTACTTACTTAACTACAAAAACTAAAGTTTCCTTAGATCAGAAACTACCCATATTTGGGATATCTTAAATCACAATGTAGATACATTTGATACATACCCATGTGTTAAAAACACTAACACTGGATGTTCTCAAAAAAGAGGCAAAGGAAAAGAAAGAATTGGTATTCTCAAATTCACTTTACAAGAGTTGGAAGGATAACTATTGTATGTGCTTAGATGTCTATACATTAAAAAAAAGTTCATATCTCTTTTACTTTTATCCGTATTTTTGAAATTAAGATTTATAGTATCTGTTTTCTCCCCAAAATGGAAACCTCTCACTGCAAACTATATTATCTATTAAAATGTAAATATTGCTTTATTAAAATTTGCAGAGAAGTCTTAATGACAAAGCGAGATATGGCAACCAATATTTTTTAAATATGTATTCTGTTACTAAATGGAGCTTTATTAATGTAAAAAACTAAGAGAAGAGAATGTTTAGTATTATAATTGGAAGTTACAGGAATTTTATTTCAATCTTTTCTTCACAACTAAAAGGTTCTTTTCCTCCTCACTAATGGATATTTTAAAAGCACAATTTCATAATTCCTAAACTTCCAAGTTTCAAACCCTTGACAGAATTTTGAAAATTAAGTTTCCTATATCTTCTAAGTCTGTACATTTATTATTGCTATCAGTCTTGTCACTACCTGTCAACCCCTGATATTAAAAAATAATAAGGTGGCAAAATGCTATTTTACCACTAAAATACAGAAAATTAATTTTATGAATTTGGCTCACACTGAAAAAATACTGAATAATGCTAAACATTAAAGATCCAGCAGCAGAAATACTGCCTGGAATACAAAAAGAAAAAGAAAAACAGTAACTTCAAATGCTCTGAAAAGCATTCAAACTCTTCAAGATGATTTAATTAATACTACATAGTTCTAGCGCTGAAAATTTAACAAAAAATTAAATGAGAGTTTTTATTTGCAAATAAAGGTAGCTAAATGACTTGCAGTAATAAAAAGTATTAAAATATTTCACAAATATAAAACACGGCCTGGTTTACCTTTGAACAAAATAACATTTAAAAGAAGGCATAGCTATTTTTTTAAGCTATCCTGCACTACTTTTTGTTTTTAAAGGTTCGAGAAAAAAATAACAAATTACATAGAATTGCAAGTGCCAAATTTAAATTAACTCCTATAATTTCTCTATTTTTTAATGAATGTTCTGTAATATCAAACATTCATTTTTATATGCCAAAAATAAGGCTTTACGAAATGTAAAAAAATTTGAACAGATTATGTTAATAATTTTATTACTTTGATTCATTTTACAGGGTATTAAAAACAAAACCTGTTCAAAAACAATTGTTACTGATGCCATCACAAATCATGTTTTTTTAAAGACTTTATTTATTTTCAGACAGAAGGGAAGGGAGGGAGAAAGTGAAGAAGAGAAACATCAATGTGTAGTTGCCTCTTGCACAACCCCTGCTGGGGACCTGGCCTGCAACCCAGGCATGTCCCCAGACTGGGAATTGAACCAGTGACCCTTTGGTTTGAAGGCTGGCATGCAACCCACTGAGCCACACATGCCAGGGCCCATCATAAATCTTTATAAGCACATTTTTTTTCATTATGTAACCATGCCTAGATAATTTTGAATAATTACAGCTTTCTCCAGACAGGTAACAAATTTGTACAGACTTAATTATAGTATCTGGGTGAAATAAGGGTCCAGACCACAAAAGTTTTTAAGTTCAAATTATTCACCCTTTAAACTTCTAAGTCAGTGTGACTTCTACTTTAAAGAAAAAAAAATTAGTTCAAAATTTAGTAACTAGAAGTTTAATAATTTTTATACTTGGACACTTAATGCCCATTTTGATAAGTAGTAATTAGAAATGCTGAAGATTTAAGTATGAAAGATTTCAAAGTATCACTATGTTAATAATCACTCATTAAATGTTCTCACTATATACAAACACATATAAATTATAGATACAATTAGTTATTTATCTATAATACAATGTATGAACACCATTCTCCTTCCTTAATCATATTGATATAAGGATAAAGTAATAAATCTCTGTGCTATTCATGGCAAAAAATGCTTTAAAAATAAATCTTTAAAGATAGTTTAAAAAATAAAGTTCAAATATTGCACAAAATAATTTAACTGCAAATATTACTGTATATTATAAAACAAATTCTTTTTTTCAATTTTTGACATCTGCAATAAATTCCACTTTCTAATTATAAGAGAATTTATTGGAAGTTGGCATTTAGCTATTAAATATTTATATTCAGTTTGATGGGAATGTAACTTTCAGAATTTAACTGAGCCTTTGTCTTAGAAGTTCATCTATTTGAGTCTTATACATATTTTTTACATCTTCAAGATCTAATCGAAGTTCTTCTGCCTCTTCTGCTTTTTCTCCATACATCTGCAGAATAGTATTGTATCTTTGATCCAAATCCTACAAAATACATTTGTTTACAATTTGTAAAATAACTCTATACAATGTCTTGATTATATTTATATTATCATAAACAAGTCACCAATAAACACATTATAATCTAAATAAAAGTATATAGTCAGCTCTTATAAAAATCAAACTCATACTCCAGCAGGTTGGAATAAATAGGAAGTAAAGGAATTACAAAAAAAAAAACCCTATGCCAAATTGCTATCAATCTTATATCTTTCCACTAAACTGTAATTTCCCCCTTATATAGCTTAATCAGTGCTTTTTCTCATTAATTTAAGCACATTTGATAAAATTTAGTCATTCTGCCTCATTGTGGTATTTACCTGGCATTTACCTTACTGGAAAAATAAAGAACAAAAATGTCATATATGGCTTAACAGTGACTACTAATACAAAAATACAGTATTATAAATGAGCCTTGACCAAATAAAATCTACTCATTTTCCTATATGAGATTAAAAATGATTGTGAAAAATATTTTGATGTATAATGTGATAAGCAAAAAAGATTTACCTTTAAAATTCTTTACTCAAACACTAACATTGTAATTTTCAGAGAAATCATTAACAGATATATCTTTTTATGTACACTATAAAAATAAAATTTAGTAACTGGATTACAATATCATAGATTCATCTTTAAGTGAAGAATACTTACTCTTAGCTGAGTTCGAAGTTTGGGTATCTCCTTTACTTTCTCTTCGAGTTCATCATTTTGATTTGTTAATTTAACTAGCTCTTCAGCCATTATTGAACGTGTTTTTTCTAGATTGCCAATTTCTATCTGTGAAACATTACCAGAAAATAATTTAAATCAAAATATATCTTGCTTAATGAATCAACATATAACCACGAGGTACCCATTCCTTAAATAAAAGGAAATAGTGGCAAAAAGGGGGTTTCAACTTTCTTCAAAAGTATACCATTTATAGAGTTTACTATGAAAGATATAAAGAACTAAAGGGAATTCAGTCATCTGTTTGACCTCTGCAACCCCATTTTTTTTTTTTAAATCTACGGAAACAGCGCATATTTCATTTATTTTAAATTACTACAAAAACCCTGAAAAATAAATCCATATTTTAATGTATCTCCAACTGTGTAGAGAATAATGACAGACTACCAAAGAAGTTTAATTTGGGCCCTCAAGTACAGCATGCTGGGCTATATAAACATAAGTATTAAGATTATTCTAATCTATTTTTTCCTAATTTAAGAACATCTTTGCCCTGGCTGGTATGGCTCAATGGACTGAGCTGACACCTGTGAATTAAAGGGTCGCTGATTTGATTCCCAGTCAGGGCACATGCTCGGGTTGCAGGCCAGGTCCCCAGTAGAGGGTGTACAAAAGGCAACCACACACTGATGTTTCTGTCTCCTTCTCCTTCCCTTCCCCTCTCTTTAAATATAAATAAATAATTTTTTTTTAAAAAGAACATCTTTAATAGAGTACTATGTTCAACTCAAGTCATACACTGGGAAGAAAAGATGAAAGTTTTACATTTGCTTCTATACTTTTTCATTTTTCATTTACTTTTATAGTATACTTAAGTTTTCCAATACCTGTAAATGAGTAATTTCTCCTTCCCTTAGCTTTAGCTGAGACTGTAGATTTTCAATAATGCTGGATCCGGCCCCCATCCTTACAGTATCATAAAGATTGCTTCCATTTGCTGATATAGACATTTGTCCGAGGGAGTGATCAGGAGGCTCATCCTATGTTAATTAAGAAAGCACATAGTTATTCAGTTATTATAAATTGTGTTCTATTATAAGGTTCAAACAAATGATTTAGTCAATTCTTGCTTGAGACAGACAGAGACAGAGACAGAAAGAGAGAGAGAATGAATCACCTGAGACAGAAAAGATGCTTGTAGCCCTGCCATCTCAGCTCCACTTACTGAACTTGATCGTGACATTGTGGGAGTGTTAGAAACAGAAAATGGCTTCCGTTCCTTAAGAGTAAGAAAAAAAAATTCAGTTCAGATTAAAGAGCAAAATGGTAAATAAAAAAACAAGAATGTTTTCTAGGATTAAAGACAGCAAAGACTCATTCTAGCTTCCTCCTAAAGTTATGAATATAATTTCTAAAGTCTTATTCTTGAAAGACAAAATATTTAGCAATTTAAAAGTACAGACAGACTTATCAAATCATCTCAGGATGTATGTACATTGCAACAGCATAATTTGTTTTGTTTTTAATGGAATGAGAATGTTCTTGTTGAAACAATTAATCTGAACTGTTTTTTTACACTGTATAACATAATACCAATTAAACCTATTTCTTTAGAATAAAATTAGAAATGAGTTTTATAAACTGTAAAATTTCTGACTTATCTATTTTTAGTGTATTTTTAAAAATTCCAAGTAAATTCAAAGTATAATTTCAATATACATATAGGTAGTTTTAATATATTAACTACCAAGTCACACCAATCCTTTAAATATAGGAAACTCCCTTTAGAAAAATTACCTTCATTACCCAGAAAGAAAGTGAACAAGTTTTACTCCCAAAATACCTACAAACCAAATGAGGTACATTAATCTCAGTGAGAGACCACAAAATTCATTTCAAAAGAGGTTTTGTAATTCAAATCCTAGAAACCACAGATCTCTATGGATAAACTCAAATTACTTTGGATCCACTCTGAACAGGACACTGATTATCTTACTAGAATTAATGCATCACCCTATTGATTACAGACATAAGAAGTGGTATTTATAACATGTAACTAAAAATTACAAAACAATGAGAGTTACTAACTGGTTACACCAGAAACAAAATGAGACAAAATTCAATACCTTTTCTTTTATTGCTTCTTGAGTAAGAACTGCTTTCTTCCTTTCTTGTTCAACTTTCATTTTCTCCATTTCTAATTGACTATTTAACAGTGTCTAATGGAGAGAAATACAGTTAGATAATTTCTATGATAATAAATCATCATCATACATCAATCTCAAAGTAAGGCATATAAAGTATATACTCCTATTTGTTTTACTACTAAAGACCAAGTTCCAAAAGCAGTAAGCTCACTCATTTCATCTTGTCATCTCTTTAGTTCACGGCCATCCCCAAGCTTTCACTAATGGAAGCCCTAAGAGGTGAGTGAAAACTAACAGCAATACCTTTTCTTTCCTTGTCTCTTCAAGTGTTCTTACATATTCATCTTTCAGGTTTTCTAATTCAACCTGGAACCTATTAAGCCAAAGGGAATGAAACAAAACAAAAAGGATGATTGTACAAATTATTACGAACTCACTTCTTTATTAACTCCACTTATGTATTTAGTAGTCATTTTTATTACCAGATTGATTTTCCAAATATTTTTTTCCAAATGACTTGCATTTTACTCAGAAGCCAAACTACCACTTTTGTGCATTTTATTTATTCATTCTTTGGGTTAAGATTTCATTAAAAAAAATAATTTCCAAAAATACTTTTGAATACCACCATTCTATAGTAGGTTCAGATTCTGCAAAAGCTTGTTAGGGGGTCCTATCAGAATGTTTGAAAAAGTTCAGATATTTTACTTTATAAATCATTTTTACTTGAAAACTTTTTTTAAAAGTAAAATTTCCAATAAAGAACTGAGGGTATCAAAATAAAGTTATGGTTTAAGGGAAAAAAAAGAACTGAGGGTAAAAATACACTAATCATAGCTTCGACATAACCTCAGACAGATGGGTTTTATAGCCTGTGGTTTCCGAAGAACCAGGACATTTATTTAGAAAGATTGAAACATTGCTAAAACCCTTGTAATATAAAAATAACATCAATGAATGGTCTCCAAACTATTTTGCGGTTATAGACTCCCTTAACATATCTGATTAAAATAATGAATCATTTCCCTAGAAAATGCAAATACAAAACATGCCACACAATTTCAAGAATACATGTAAGATTCAATGAATCCAAGTACTATATCTTACTATAATATCCTATTACTAATGGCTCTAACATTAAGTGCTAAAAGTATGTATTTTACAAAGTTCTCAGTGACAAGAAGCTAAAAGCCAACAGCATGTTTTTAAATGCTTTAAAATGTCATGAAGCTACCAAAAATAGAAATCAAGAAATACGCTCACCTATTATTTTCATCTTCCAGTTTTCTTAGCCTATTTTTCTCTGATTCTAGCTGGGCCAGAAATCTACTGTTCTCCTGTCTTAAGAGAGAATTCTGTGACTCTATGGAAGACACCTGAATTTTGTTGGCAAGGAGCTCTTCTGTAGCTGCACGTTCTCTTTCAACTGCTGCTGCCAACAAGGTCTGAGATTCACCTGAACAGAGGATAAAGGAAGAAAAGTCACTTGTGAATATACCCAAGAGGACAAGATACCAAGTCAGTTCTCACTTTTAATAATACAAGTAGCCACACCTAACACTGTAACTGCTTACTGCCTAAGGTTGGACTGCCCACAGAGACAAAGGAACCAATCTTAATTTCTACCTGCTTTCCCCCAAAATATTTTAATGTGAAAGTGGAGTTATATATGAAAAGAGCAATGGCCCATGACACAGTGGACTGAATGCCAGCCTGTGAACCAAAGAGTTGCCAGTTCAATTCCCAGTCACAGCACATGCCTGGGTTGTGGGCCAGGTCCCCAGCTGGGGGCATGCAAGAGGCAACCAAACAATCTCTCTTTGGAACATCACATTTTTCTCCCTCCCTCTCCTTCCCTTACCCTCTTTCTAAATATAAATAAATAAAATCCTTTTTTTAAAAAGGGCAGTGGATCAACAATTGATGCTAGGGCAATTGGACTTGCATCTGTAGACCTACCCCCCACAAAACACCACAAAGAAAACTTCTCACTGTATATGAAAATTAACTGAAAATGGACCATAAAGTTGAGTATAAAACAAAACTACAAAACTTTTAATAAAATATATAAATATTTAGGATCTAGGGATGGTTAAATACTTAGGTCTGACACCAAAAGCAAGAGCCGTAAAAAGAAAAATTAATATTCCCAGACAAGAAAAAAACCCTAAAGGAATTCCCCACCACCAAACTAATATAAGAAATGTTAAAGGGACTTCTTTAAAGGAAGAAAAAATAATAAAAAGTATGAATGAGAAAATATCACAATAAAAAAGTCTCACTGTCAAAGGGAAACAAAATAAAAGCAGCAGATCAACTAACACTAAAGCAAAAGTAGAAAGACCATGTGTAATTACAATAGTAAATTAAAGAATACACGCAAATACACATTCACAAAGAAAAAAATAATGACAGAAACATAAAGGTAAAGGGAGTGCACCAAAACAGTAGTGAGTTTGGAATGTGTTTGAACTTAAGTGGCCATCAACTCAAAACAGACTGCTATAAATGTAGGTTCATGTAAATGAAGCACATAACCACAAACCAACAATCTACAAGTGATATACAAGCAATAAAGAGAAAAGAATCCAAACACAACACTACAGAGAGTCATCAACATATAACAGAAGAGAAAAAGAAAAAACAGAGAAAACTACAAAAATAATCAGAAAACAATTAATAAAATAGCAATACTACATAGCTATCAATAATTACTTTAAATGTAAGTGGATTAAAAGCTCCAATCAAAAGACAAATAGACAGAGGATGTGGTGTGTGTGTGTGTGTGTATACATATGTGTGTGTGTGTAATATTACTCAGCCGTGAAAAAGAATTAAATCTTACCATTTCTGACAACACGGATGGACCTAGAGGGTATTATGCTAAGTGAAATACATCAGACAGAGAAAGACAAATACCATGTGATTTCACTTATATGTGGCATTTAAAAAACAAAATAAATGAACAAACGAAATAGAAACAGACTTGTAAGTGCAGAGAACATTTTGATGGTTACTAGACAGGAGGGAGAAGTGGGGGCCTAAATGAATATGGTGAAGGAACTGAGAAATACAAATTGGTTGTTAAAGAATAGTCATGGGGATGTAAAGTACACAGCACAGGGAACACAGTCAATAGCATTAGGTACATGACTTATTGGGGGATCTCTCTGTAAGATATGTAAATGTTTAACCACTGTAGAACATATGAAAGTAATGTATAGAGACAATGTTAATTGCAACTGAAAACTAAAACAATTTTTTTAAGAAAAATGGAGAAAATTGACTTTCAAATTTTAAAATTTTGCTCTATGTAAACAGGATGAAAGAAAAATACAGACTTGGGGAAAATAAAGGCAAAACCACATTATCTAAATCTATATATCTAGAATATATAAAGAAGTCTCAAAAGTCAACAATGAAAATACAAACTGATTAGAAAATGGGCAAAAGATCTGAATAGACATTTCACTGAAGAGAATGTACAAACAGAAAATAAGCAAATAAAATGATGTTCAACATCATTATTCGTTACAGAAATGCATGTTAAAATCATAATGACATATCACTACACACTGGTCTATGACTAAGATAAAAAACAGGACAACACAAAATCCTGGCAAGGATGTGGAGAAACTAGGTTATTCTCATACATACAGCCACCTGGGAAAATAGTTTGGCATTATCTTTAAAAACAAAATATGCAACTACCTATACAACCTAGCAATTGCATACTTGGGCATTTATCCAGAGAAATGAAAACCTATGTCCACGCTGAGACTTGTACATGAATATTCATAGCAGTTTATCTGTACAAAATCCAGAATCAGTTCATACAGCCTTCATCAAGTGAACAAAATGTGGTGCATACATACAATGAAAAACAGTAATAAAAAATTTAATCACTGACACACACAATAATTTGGATGAATCTCAAAGGAATTATGCCAAGTAAAAAAGCCAACCCCAGAATGTCACATATTATACAATTTTATTTATATAGCATTTTGAAATTCTAAAACCTTCAAAATACAGGACAGATTAGTGGTTGCCCAGGATTTGAGATAGGGGAGGAGGGCCATGAAGGGTGGTTAAATGTGCTCATAAAAGGGCAATATGCAGGATATTTTGGTGTTGCAACTGTTTGATATCTTGGCTATACTGATGAATACATGAACCCACAGATGTGGTAAAATTGTGTAGAAATTAATACACACACAGAGACACACAAACACACACAAACAAGAACCATTAAAACTGGGAAATCTGAATAAGATCAGTAAACACTATCAATGTCAATACTCTGGTTATAATATTATAATTTTGCAAAATGTTAACATCTGGAGATGCTAGAGAAAGTATTATTTCATATAAATGCATGTATATCTACATTAACTCAACAGAATTTTTCGATTAAAAAAAAAGATTAGCTAATCAACAACAACAAAATGAGCAAAATAGAACCAGAGACTTAGAAATAAAGAACAAACTGACAGTGACCAGAGAGGAGGGGGAGGGGGATAACAGGGGAAGGAAGGAGAAGGGGCGAGCAAAGAACCACCAATAGAGGATCATTGGGGGAGCATGGACAATGGGGGAGACTGACTGTGGGAGTGGAGGGGGACAGGGTAGAGGTGAGCAATGGGGGAAAAGGTGGGACAACTATAACTGAATGACAATAAATAAAAAATAAAAAACAACAAAAGATCAGTGGATAAGATTCTGAAATTTAGCCAAGAATTTTTGTATTTCCCCTCAAGAACCAAAGTAGACCTAATAACATTTCTATTATAGATGTTATAGTCTGTTCCACATTGCACCTGTGGTCCTATTAATAGCATTATATAGTATGCCTGTCCTGTGGCTTTGCGTACAGTATATTCCACAATATCACATACCCCCAAGAGTGTGCTGACCGTACTTTAAAAACCACAACATGAGAGCTTCCAGTCTCCACTTACTGCTAAATAGATATCCATTTCAGAGACTGTCATTTTCGGATATCTCATATTACATAACAAATTGGTCTCAAAAATTGTTAGAAATAGCCTTGGCTGGTGTGGCTCAATGGACTGAGTGCCAGCCAAAAGGTCACCAGTTAAGATTCCCAGTCAGGGCACTGCCTGGGTTGAAGGTCAGGTCCCAGTTGGGGGCTTGAGAAAAGCAACTGACTGATGTATCTCTCATACATCAATGCTTCTCTCCCTCTTTCTTCCTCCCTTTCCTCTCTCTAAAAATAAAGTCTTTTTAAAAAATTGTCAGAAATAAATGACAGACCTAAAATGTACACATATAAGTTAAATAATATATGAAGGTTCACCTAGTTCAGTGATTTTCTTTTTAAGCAGATAAATCTTTTTTCAGAGAAAATCCTACATGAAACTTAAAAAAAGACAAAGGAGGCACTACTTTCATTAACACTGCCTGGAGGGAGCCCAGTGCCCTATTTGCAGAGCTTCCCTCTCACCGTAACAGGCAGCCAGCCATGAGACACATCTAATGAGTCTGCTGAAGACTGTGAGAAAGCCACTAACCTAGTTCACCCCTCGGGATTTCCAGTGAGTAGTCCAAAAAAGGGAAGTGACTTGCTCCAGACTACCCGGCTGGATGATTAAAAACAAAACAAACCAAAGCCTTGCTTCCAGGTCTCCTGACACCCACTCAGGTCTGCTTTTATCACTACACCAAATTTTGTATCTGTCAAAGCAATGGTCTTGTTGTTGATGTCTAATTACATGGATTTTTTCATGAATTTGCTAGCTTCTGGGATATCTAGTATTCTACCAGTCTGTGCTTGAATAAATATCTTGGGAAAATAATTTTCTTTTTATTAATAGCACAGAAGGGCAAACTGGGACATTTCTGTAAAGAAGCAGAATATAAAATCTTAAGATTCCATAGCATCTGAATACTCAATTTAACCTTGATCCACCTTAGACCTAGCTCTGCTCTTGGAATTCTGCCATTAACTAGAATCATATCTGGCATCTACCTTTAACATTATTGAAGACAAGCTAAAAAAAGGTCAGATTGAGCAATGAACAAGGAAAAAAATGAGTGCAGTAGTCTGTAAAAATGAATGAAAAAATAACATGGATGTATTTTAGTATCTGATCCATTGTGTTAGGGAAAACAAGTGGTTCTGAGAGTCAATTAAGATATTAGAAAAGAAATATAAAACAGGAGAAGTAAAAATCTACAAGTAAGACAAAATATAGCATCAGATCACTGATTTTCAATTTCAGACCATTACCCTAATTCCATAAACAAGGTTAAAGGGCTTCTGCATTGAGCTTAAAAACTAAAGCAGTTACCCAGCCTATCAGTGAGACTCTTCTCTAACTTCTCCCACGACGATGTCTGGGACCCTAGTGTTGCTTGCAAATTTTCTATCTGTCGAAGCAATGGCCTTGTTGTTGATGAAACATTTTGACTGAGTTCCTGGTTTCGATTCTCTGCTTCCTGGAGTCTCTGAATCATGAAATTCTTAAGTTATTACCACCAACAGCAGCAATAAAAACAGAAAAAAAAACTAGCAAATAAACTTTATGGGAGATTTTTTGAAAAAAAAATTATTTCTCCAAGATAGAATTACTTTTTAAATAAAGTTATTTCCAATTATTCAACCCTTAATTTGCACAGCTGAGTATCTAAATTAGTGTTTCTTTACAAAGAAGCATTTTCTAAGACAAAGAGAGCCTTTGATCATCTTAATGTAAAAATGAATCATCATTCAAACCTCCCTGTAAATTCTTCTCCATCCAAATACTTCTAAGTATTTATAAAAACATAAAGATCAATTTAAGTTGCATTTTCTCTCCCTTTTCTTATGCATGTTCACTTACCAAAAATTAATAAAGCAGTAACATAAAAAATGGGCACTGATTATCTGCCCCACAGTAATCAGACTGATAATTAATAAACTAGATATTACAAATGCAAACAATACTAAATGCACAATAAATCTATCATGATAAAATTATTTTTTCCCAAACCCTCCCAAATTATTTTCTATAAAATAGAATTAAAATTTTTCTTCTACATTTTTAAAGTTCCAACTCTGATTTTATTGACACAAGACACACACAAAAAATCAGCAAATGAAACATATGGTAGTAATCCTCTCAGTTCTATAAGCATTACCTCACTGAGTCATTTTTTATTTCTAAAAAAACACATATTAGATGTATATTCAGGAAAACTGTGACAGCACCTGCTGGAGTTCACTGATCTCATGACGTAAATAATCCTCTTTTCTGGCAGCTGCTTGTTCTGCACGTTGCAGGGCCAGCCTCAGGTCCCCCACCTGTATGAAGAGAACCAAAATACTATCACAATCTTAAGCATTATCTACAAATTCCTGCTAATTACACATTTTGTGTTGTGTTGACTTACAGTTCATGTGTAATACTCTACACTATCCAATGAGTTTTTACATAGGATTATCACACATCCCATACATCAAGCAATTCCAAAACTGTATATATGTTCACTATTTACTGTTAGGCAAACATATATATATATATATATATAGCCCTGGCTAGTGTAGCTCAGTGGATTGAGTGCAGGCCTGCGAACCACACAATCATGGTTCGATTCCTGGTCAGGGCACATGCCTGGGTTGCAGGCCGGTTCCCAGCGGGGCACTCACAGGGGGCAGCTATGCATTGATGTTTTTCTCCTTCCCTTCCTCTCTAAAGATAAATAAATATTTTATACACACACACACACATAAATGTGTACAAGGCCCAACCACTGCCCCACCTCACAAGATAAGAGGAGAGACGATGTATCCATAAATGTCTACAGTGCAAGCAGAATATGATGGCTGTATTATCTATGAAAACTAAACCTAAGATTCACTCTATGGAAGCAGTCTCTATAAACACACAAAGATGTTCCCTACACAGTAGCTAGTTAGCAATAATACACAAAACATGAAAAAGTCTAATTATGCATTAGTAGTTTAATTTTGCAAACCTTAATACAACATGAATATACCCATTAAAAGACATGTATGATTTAATCTTTAGCAGAAATACAAAGGGTATATGGACCATGGCATGATTTTTAATATCAAGGTATTGATTGGTATTAAAAACAACCTAAATATCCATCAATAAGAATTGACTGAATACAATGAAGTTTTTATTATAACTGTAAAAAGAAAACTTAACAAAGCTCTATGTTTTATTGTGAGTATCCAAATAAGTGCTTCTTTCCAAAACATTTTCTTACATAAAGATAGCCTCTGATCATGTCAGGGAGTGATTATCAAGATAATCAATACTTTATTGTTGATTATCAATACTTTATTGTTGAGGACTACTCTGTGGTTTCAGAGACAGTAGCCCCATGAGAAGAAGCCTTGAAAGAGGTCAGTCTCACTGGGAAACCAAGAAATGCAGGTGGCAGGCATAACTCGAGACCAACACCAAGGGTTCCCATGGGAAAATCAGACCTGATAAATAAATACATTGTGTCCTTTGAAGCTTGCTTTGCTTGGAATAGCCCTGTTGACATAAACCGGATATTTAAGTTCAAGGCATAAGGATTAAATTCCTTACCTCATGAAACACCTCTTAAAGACCATCTGGTGTCACCATGACTAATAGACACAAACCCTGAGGCAGATCTCTGTGTTCCTTCGATTGTTATCTATAGATAATATCTGTTTTTCTTTGACTACAGCCTTTTGACACTGACTGATAAGCTATGCATGTATGCTGAATACACCTACACATACCATTCCCAATAAAAGCCCCTTGGGAGAAGGATTCAGGGCATTCTCTTATAGAGGAGAGAGTGGTATCGCCATCCCCTTTCCTGCCAGAACAATAAAACTGTATCCCAGACAACTTATTCTCATCCATGGCAGCCAGTAGAGATCCGTGAACCAGGTTCTACCACACTTTATTTTGCTTTTATAAAGCAAACTATATAAGTAGTAAAACAATATAAGTAGTAAACTGTATTTTATGCAAAAAGGATGAAACACAAATAAATATGTGTATAAGTGTATGGGTATGAAGTATATAGAAAAATATGTATTTCCTTGCATTTACAAATAGAAACATTGAAAAAATAAACCAAGCACCAATAAAATGGTCATTTATAGGCAAATAAAATGAATGGGGAGGGGCTAAGTAAAAAACAAATGTCTCAATATTCTTGTTATATAGGTCTCACTTTAGAATCATGTAAATGCTTTAGATATTGATGGAAAATTAAATCAAAAGTGCATTGGGTCAAAAACACTTTGTGCATCAAAAAGACACTATCAATAAAGTGAAAGACAGCCTATAGAATGGAAGAAAATATTTGCAAATCCTACATTTGATAGGGAGCAGTATGTAGAATGTAAAAAGAACAATAAACGGACAACTCAATTTAAAAGCAATCAATGGATTTAAATATTTGAATAAATTTCTCCAAAAAGGATATATAATGGCCTATAATCACATAAAAAGATGCTCAATGTCATTAGTCACTAAGGAAATGTAAATCAACACCACAATCAGATACTACTTCACATCCACTAAAAGGACTACACTGAAAAAAAAATTGAGAATAACAAATCCTGGAAAAGATGTAGAGAAATTAAAACTCTCATATATTGCTGGTGGGAATGTAAAATAATGAAGCTGCTGCAGAACACTTTGGCAGTTCAACAAAAAGGTTATACAGTTATCATACGACCTGAGGGTATATATCTGAAAGAATTTAAAATACAGATGCATACAAAAACCATAAATGAAGGTTTAAAGCAGCATTTTTCAAATTAACAAAAAATGTAAAATGCATAAATATCCATTAACTGATGATTCTATAACACAAAGTGACAAATTTTGAAATTCTTCCTTCCTCTCAGGTCCATGAAGTTACATAGATTCTCCTTAAATTATATGCAATGTTTAGTATTTATCTGCATTTGTGCATTTCTCGGTTATAGGGTTCTTAGCTTTCATAACATTTATTCTGAAATTCACAAAAAATTAAGCAATATTGGCATAAAGTAAACATAATTTAACAACAGTTTTAAAAAACACACAATTAGCCCTGGCTGGTGTAGCTCAGTGGACTGAATGCAGGCCTGCGAACCAGAGGATCGGGGTTCGATTCTCAGTCAGGGCACGTGCCTGGATTGCAGGCCAGTTCCCAGCAGGGGATGCATGAGAGGCAACCATACATTGATATTTCTCTCCCTCTCTCCTTCCCTTCCCCTCTAAAGATAAGTAAAATCGTAAGATATATATTTTTTAAAAAAACAATTAATTTTGCCAATAAGATTATAAAGGAAATATAACACATGCACCACTAAATAAGGTTTGACTAAAACTAACTAATGGATTCTTTAATCTGCACAAGCACAAAGATTTAAAAGACAAATTTAATTCATATTCATTGCTTACTTGAATGGCTAATGCTTCTTGCTGCTGACGGGCTTCTTCTTGGACCTTCTCTAATGCTGCAGAAAGTTCTTCTTTAGCTTTGATTTCGTGACTCAAAGCAGCTTCCTGTGCCTCACTATCCTTTGCAGCATTGGCTTTGTGGAGATCAGTAAGTTCTCTTAAAAAATCAGATTGATAAGTTTTATTTAAAAAAATATGCAGCCCTGACTAGTGTGACTCAGTGAGTTGAGTGTCGTCCTGCAAACCGAAAGGTTGCTGGTTCAATTCCCAACCAGGGCAGGTGCCTGGGTTGCAGGCTGGGTCCCCAGTTGGGGGCGTGCAAGATGCAACGGATTAACATTTCTCTTGCACATTGATGTTTCTCTCCCTATTTTTCTCCCTCTCTTCCCCACTCTCTAAAATAAATATTTAAAATAATATACAGTAAATTACATGGCCATGGTTACAAAGTTTCCATGTAGATTTCTATGAAATTTATAGAATGAGGGAGCATTCATACATAATCAAGTGACTGCAGTAAGTACTCTCTCTGTTGAACTTGCTTTGAACAGTTACAAATTCATTTTCAGTTAAATTTATGTGCTGTGAGTGATCAAACAATAGAAAAAAAAGGATTCCTTCAATATCCTGCATTTAAATGATTTTAAATGAGTTTAATCTTTATTCATTTTCTTACTTGTATGCACTGTCAAGAGCAGCCTGAATACTTCGGTTCTTTTCTTCAAGTTCATCCATGTCTACCTGAAGTCGGCCAAGATCCTTCTCTTGGTGTTCGACCACAGAATTTAGCTTTTTAATATTTTCTCTATGTTGTTTCTCAACTTCTTCTTTGCCATCAAGGATCTGTATTATAGAAACAGGCAAAAATATTCTTCAATAAATAACATCATGGTAAATAATTGTATTCAAATAATTGTATTGAATCTCGAGTGTATAATAACAAAGAATAACCTTAACATTCATTTATTAAATTGTGAAAAAATCCTTTCCCATGTGATATACCCCAATAAATCATTCCAAATGTTTTATAAACCACAGCCAACTGTTCATACAGTAATAACAATTTATATGTAGACAATGATTAACATTCACCTGTTTTAAATGTTGCAACTCTTCTTCTAGCTCTTTAACTTTTTTCTTCAGCTTTGCAATAATATTTTCATTTTCTTTGTCTTTAGCTCTTAATTTCTTAATGATGTTAGAACTATGCAGCTGCTGTTTTGAGAGTTTTTCTCCTGGCAATGGCAAAAAAAGTATAAATTCAAATAATGATGATTTCCTTAGAATCTAAACAGAATATTTATCTAACCAGTATAATAAAATGATGGAATATTTTTTAAAAATCACAATGTTGTAACCACCAATGTTAAATTGATTTGGACAAGAATTACTAGGTGGAAGGGTGGTGGGGAACAAGATATTTACAGTCTTAAAGAAGCATTCCCACATATTACATATAAGTTACGAAGGGAAAGATGTACTTCTACAACAACAAAGTTCTGTCACTAACCACCTTAACCATTCAGTTTTGGCATCAGTGGTTGTGGTACAGCTTGACATTATGTGTCTACTGATGTGAAGCAGTAAGTGCACAGTATCACAATATTTCTTATTAGAAATTTGATCTGAGTCTAATCATGAATAAAGCAACAAATTCCTGAATATATAGTATTCTGCAGGACAACTGGCCTGGACTCTACAGTCTTCAACATGAAGACAAAACTATCCTAGACTAAAAAACAAGTGAACTATATGCAATCCTATCAAAACTCCAGGGGCAGTTTTCACAAAAATAAAATTTTTTAAATCTTAAAATTCAGATGTAACCATAAAAGATCTCAAATGCCAAAAGCAATCTCAAGCAAGTACAAAGCCAGAGATGTTAATTTCTTAATTGCAAAACATATTACAAAACTACCATAATAAACACAGTATGATACTGGCATAAAAACAGACATACCAATGAAACAGAAAAGAGAGCTTAAAAATAAATCCACACATTTACAGCCAACTGCTTTTCAACAAGGATACCAAGAACACACAATGGGGAAAGGACAGTCTCACTAAATGGTATTGAGAAACTGAATTTCCATGTGCAGAAGAATGAAATTGGACCTTATCACACACCAAATATAAAAATTAACAGAAAACAGGTTAAAGACTTAAATGTTAAGACCTGCAACTATAAAACTACTAGAGGAAAAGACAAGAAAAAAGGTTTTTGACATTGGTCTTGGCAATGATTTTTTGGATATGATACCAAAAGCACAGACTACAAAAATAATAATAGGCAAGTGTGATTGCATCAAACTAAAAAGTACTACACAGCAAACAAAGAAAACAATCAGCAGAGTGAAGAAATAATCTACGTATGGAAATAGCTGCTCTTTGGTGTCTAGCTTATTTCACTTGGTATGTTTCCCAGATTCATCCATGTTGTAGATTGTACCAAAATGTCATTATTTTTTTTTGGCTCAGTAATATTCCAATGTATGGACATACCACTTTTGGTTTATTTATTCATCTGTTTAGGAACATTACGGTTTGTTTCCATCTGTTGGCTATTGTGACTAATGCTTCAGTGAACATTCATTTACAAATATCTGTCTGACTAGGGACAATTCCTTTGGGTATATACTTAGGAGTAGGATTGCTGAGTCATATGATAATTATATTTTCAGCTTTTCAGGAACCTCCAAACTTTCCCATAGTGGCTGCATCATTTTATATTCATACCAGCAATGTTATGAAGGTTCCAACTTTCCATGTCCTCACCAATATTTATTTTGTTTTTGTATTATTTTTAATTGAATTTATTGGGGTAACATTGTTTAATAAGATCATATAGGTTTCAGGTTTATAATTCTATATTATCTGTATAGTGAATTGTGGGTTTACCACCCCAAGTCTTTTATAAAAAATTATCGCTTATTGAGTATGCAATTACAGTTGCCTTTATCTTCAGTTGCCTTTTGCTCTGCTATTCCCTCAGGCAATCTGCCCACTGTTGTTCATGTCCATGGGCCATGCATATAAGTTCTTTGGCTATTCCATTTCCTATACTATACTACATCCCCATGGCTATTCTGTAACTACCTACTTGTATTTCTTAATCCTCTCACCTCTTCACCCATTCTCTCCTTCCCCCATCCCATCCGGCAACCATCTAATAACTAACTACTTTTCTCTTGCCACTTTTAAGATTCTCTCTTTATTTTTAACCTTTGGCATTTTAATTATGATGTATCTTGGAGTGGGCCTCTTTGCATCCAACATAACTGGGACTCTCTGTGCTTCCTGGACTTCTATATCTATTTCTGTACCAAATTAGGAAAGTTTTCTTTCACTATTTCTTCAGATAAATTTCCAGTTGCTTGCTCCTTCTCTTCTCCTTCCGACACCACCCTGATACAACTCTTGGACCTCTTCAAGGTGTCCCAGAGGCTGTTTATACTACCCTCATTTTTTTGGATTCTTCTTTCTTGGTATTCTGATTGGCTGTTTTTTGCTTCCTTATGTCCCACATCATTGATCTGATTCTCGATTTCATCCACTCTACTGCTGTTTCCCTGTAAATTGTTCTTTATTTTAATTAGGGTATCCTTCATTTCTGACTAATCTTTTTTATGCTGTTGAGACCTTCACTAAGTTCCTTGAGCATACTGGTTCTTTATAACCAGTGTTTTGAATTCTGCATTAGAGAGATTGCTTGTCTCCATTTTGTCTTTGTTTTTTTTTTCTGAAGTTTTGAATAGTTCTTTCATTTGGGCCATGTTTGTCTTCTCCTCATTTTGGCAGCCTCCCTGTGTTTGTTTCTATGTATTAGGTAGAGATGCTCTGACTCTGTGTCTTGGTAGTGTGGCCTAATGTAGAAGGTGTCCTGCAGGGTCCGGTAGCACAGCTTCCCCTTTCACCCAAGCTGGGTACTCAAGGTGCACCCTTGTGTGGGCTAAGTACACCTTCCTGCTGTAGTTGAGCCTTGGTTGCTGTTTGCAGATCAATGGGAGGGATTTACCCAGGTCAGTCAGGTGTGAGGACTGACTGTGACCACTGACCTCCAACCACTACCACCCATAGAGGATCAACTGTGCAGGGGCAGGATAGTGGTGTTCCAACATGGACTGCAGCTGTCTACTGGGTGCACTGGCCCTGGGGTTTCCTGGGTGGTGTAGGCCAATGTCAGCCCCCACCTTTGTTATGCCCAGGGCACCCTGCCTGAGCTGTAAAGCAATGTGATATGGCTGCTACCTGAGTTGAGCTTAGAGATACCCAGGCAAAGCCATGCTGTGAATATAATCTGGCTGCTGCTAGGGCTCACTGAAGACACATCTTACTTGTCTGATAGGATTTAGGAGCCAAGACCAGGCACTGATAAGGAAAAGTAGCTTGGGCGAGCCCATAAGCTGGGTAGTGCATAGCCTCTGGGGATCTCCAAGATGGATCAAACAGTGTTAGCCAGGTTGATAGAATCTCAGATATGGCACCAGATTATAGGCTCTGTTGGGGGGAGGTTTTAGCAAACGGACAATGGCTTCTGCTCACTTTGACGCCAGACACTACAGTTTCTCCCTGTATACCACTGGTGCATTTCAAGCTGTTACCCCAGTGCTGGAGCTCAGAGGAGTGAGTCTGAGTAGGTGATTCCATGTGTGGGTTCTTTAAGAGGAACTGCTTGGGGCTCCAGCAGTTTCTTCCACCAACTGAGTCCTCACTGATTTTTGCAGCCATAATTTGTGAGGACTTATCTTCCTGGCACTGAAATCCTGGGCTGGAGGGCCTGGTATGGGACTGGGACTCCTTGCTCCCAAGGTATGCTTCTCAAATTTTTACCCACATGGGTTTTGGACCAGCTCATTAGGTGCCTGTGTCCCTCTGAGCTATCTATCCAGATTGTGTCCCTACCAATTTGGATAGATACAGTTTCTTTAATTCCATAGTTGTCGGACTTTCATTCAGCTCCATTTCTGACATTCCTAAGTAATGGCTGTTCTAAATTTTGTTGTAATTTTGATTTGGTTGTACAAAGAGGAAAACCATGTTTGCCTGTACCGCCATCTTGACAGGCAGTCTCAAATCTCTTTCCATTACTATTTATCCCCCACTTTACCCTCTTTTACCTCCCCCCTCCTCTCCCTCTGATAATCACCATACTATTGTCTGTGTCTATGACTTGGTTTTCTTTTTTTTTTGCTTAATCCCTGCACCTTCTTGAACCAGGTCCCCAACCATACTCCCATCTGACAGATGTCAGTCTGTTCTCTGAATCTATGAGTCTGTTCCTATTTTGTGAGTTTATTTTGTTCATTAGATTCCACATATAAGTGAAATCAGTATTTGAATATCTATAATAGCAAATTAATAGAGACGGAAAATAGATTAGAGGTTATCCATGACTAGAGGTAAGGAAAAATGGGGATTATTGCCTAATTGTTACAATTTCTGTTTGGGGTGATGAGAAAGTTTTGGATAGTGGTGATGTTCGCACAACACTGTGAACATAATTGTACACTTAAAAATTAAAATGGCAGGGGAGCAAGGGGTGGGGGAGGCTGGGATGGGAGAAATAGACAAAAAAACTGTACTTGAAAAATAACTAAATAAAATTTTTTAAAAATTAAAATGGCAAATTTTGTTATTTTTCACCACAATTAAAAATAATATATGAAAAATTTGAATTATACACTTTAAATGGGTAAAGTATATATTGTAATAACTATGTATGGTATCGGGTAGGTATTAGACTTATTAGAGAGATCACTTCACAAATTATATAAATGTCTAACCACTATGCTGTATTATCTAAAACTAATATAATCATAAACATCAACTGTAAGTGAAAAAGAAATTTTAAAAGGGCAAAAAGAAAACAATCTATAGAATAGAAGAAAATATTTGCAAGCCATAAATCAGATAAGAGATTAATATCCAAAATATATAAAGAATTCATACAACTCAACAGCCAAAAAACAAATAAGCCAATTTAAAAAATGGGGAAAAGACATGGATAAACATTTCTTGAAAGGAGACAAAAATGGTCAACACACATATGAAAAAGTGATCAACACCACAAATAATCAGGGAAACGCAAATCAAAACTACAATAAAATATAACCTCACACCTGTCAGGATAGCTATTATGAAAAAGGCAAAAGATACATATTGGCAAGAATATGGATAAAAGAGAACACTTGTACACCACTGTAGAAATGTAAATTGGTATAGCAACTACTGAAAATAGTGTAAAGATTCCTCAAAAAATTAAAAACAGAACTACCCCATAATCTAGCAATTCCACTTCTAAGTATATAACCAAATGAAATGAAATCAATATTTCAAAGAGATAACTGCACTCCCATGTTTAATGCAACATTATTCATAATAGCTGAGATACGGAAAATATCAGGCTGTCAATGGATGAATGGATAAAGATGTGGTATGTAAACTTAATTTTACTTAGCTTTAAAAAAGAAAAAAGCCCTGCCATTTGCAACAACATAGATGAACCTAGAGTATGAAATAAAACAAATGAGGCACAGATACTGCATGATCTCACTCATATGTGGAATCTAAAAACTTGAATTCATAGAAACAGAATACAATGGTGGTTAGCAAGAGGTAGATAGTGGGGGAAATGAGGAGATGTTGTCCAAGAGTACCAAGATTCTGTTATGCACAGTAAGTTCTTGAGATCTAATGTACAGCAGGATGACTAAAGTTAAAAATATTATATTGTACACTTGAAATGTGCTAAAAAGACAGACCTTAACCACAAAAGGTGAGTGATATGTTAATTAACTTGATTATGTAATCATTTCACAATGTATACATATATCAAAATATCATGCTGTAGGCCTGAGTGGTGTGGGTCAGTGGGTTGGGTGTCATCCTGCAAACCAAAGGTCGCCACTTCAACTGCAGGCCAGGCCCCCAATTGGGGGCATGCCAGGGCAACCAATCAATGTTTCTCTCTCTTCCTCCCTTCCTTCCCCTCTCCCTAAAAGTAAATAAATAAAATCTTTTTTTTAAATCATGTTGTATACCTTAAATGTATACAATTTTTATTTGTCCATTATACCTCAGTAAAGCTGAAGAAAAGAATTTAGGAGTGGAATGTCATGATATGTCACCTATTTTCAAATGGTTTGGCAATATGCAGAAAGATATGAGGGTATGACTAGATGTTAGTAGTTCATGAATGGAAGTAATGAAGCAATCTGTTATTCACCATAGTATGCTTTCAGCTTTTTAGCTTTTCAACTGCGAGTTTAAAAATACTTCTGAGGGATACAGAAGCAGTATGTAAATACTCCCAAATAAAGTCATTCTATTTTCTGTACAATGAATTTCATTAAGCTAAAGAAAACACCAAGCTACCCCTGACTAAATTACTAAATTCCAAAATAGTGACATTTGATATTAACATTTTTAATTTCTTAATAAAACCATGCATTTAGCCTTTCCCTCCATCTCTGATATTGTAACATAAGGTAATTAGTGACTTCAAGGTGTTTTTATCAACTCTTCATTCTATTTTAATGCTTAGACTGGGTTTAATAACTATCTTTGTACCTATATTTCCCTTTCCTAAAGGACAGAAAGTGTGTTTACTTATTATTGTACCAAATACATATCTGACAGGCTAACTGATAAAAGTCAGCTTAATATGAGCAAGAACTCCCCCCAAATTGGAATTTATTTATAAAAAATTGTGTATTTGTTCTTACATGTTTAAACTGCAGTCACCTTCAAAGTACTCTCCATTTGATGCAATGCACCTATTGAGACATTTTTTTCCCAATGCTCAAAACATTTTTTTTTAATTCATCAATTTTGATGCCTTTTAGTACTTCTTTCATTTTTGTTTCACCTCTTCCACACTGGCAAAACGTTTCCCTTTAAGGGTTTTTTTTTCATCCAGGGAAACAAAAATAAGTTGCTGAGGATAAGGTGAATAGGGAAGGTGGGGCATGCCGGGCGTGCCGTTTTTGGTCAAAAACTGCTTAACAGTCAGCTTGGTGTGGGCGGGTGAGCTTGCAAATCACCCATCATGAAATGGGCAGTTTGAAAGAGTCTTCAAAAAAAACTCACTGAAGCTGAATGCAGCCTCACACCAATGTCGGCTGGTACACTGATACAGATGGGTTCCTAGAACACTCACCTACCAGGGGAAGCCTATACTACAAAGGGCCACCCACCAGAAGATAATTCCATTTTGGGGGAGGGCCTCCCTCATACCTGAAAAGAAAAAATTGGGTAAAGTCTTTTAAATGAGGCAGTTGTTTCCACTTGTTCTCAAACACTTAACTCTGAAAATTCACTTAAGCTTGATAAGTTAATCACGGGAACAGTCATCACACCATAATTTGTAATATTAACATTTTAGAAATAAATGTACAATATTAGAAAAACACTAGACATTTTGTGGTATATCCATATAATGAACTTGAATGTAACCATTAATGATGATATCAAAGTATTTAAGGGCACAGGGTAATGTAAAAGAAGATTGTGAATTGGATATATGCTCTTAATTATGTTTAAAAATAAATTTTAAATGTGTGAAAAAGGTACTAGAACAAATGAACAATTCATTATAAAATTGAATTATGACCTATTTTTTCTCTTACTTCACACGCCTCTTATAACTTCAAAGTTTCTATAAGTAGCATGCATTATTCTTTTAACTAGTAAAATGTTAAGAAAAGTAAAAGGCTCTAGCCCAGTGGCTCAGCTGGTCTGAGTGTGTTGTCCCATACGAGAAAAGGTTGTAGGTTCATCCCCAGTCAGGGCACGTATTTGGAGGCAACCCATCAATGTTCCTCCCCCCCGCCGCCCACTTTCCCTCTCCCTTCCTCTCTTTCTATTAAGCACAGAGTACTTAATAACTGAAAAATTAAAACATGAATATAATGAAAAATTCACCAGCAAATGCCAGAATAATATAATAATACCATACAGTTCCAAGTTAGATATTGAGATACTACATAAGCTCCAGTTATAACCTTAAATATCTTGGTTTAAATAACATGCTCTAAAACGTCTTACAAGCTTTCTTCAGGAAGCACAAACTTCAATTTTTTAGGGAGTTATTTTTATCCCTCCCTAGAAACAAAAAGCTACATATGCATGTATCTGCTGCTATACATCTTGCTCCCCATCCTTCCATAAATTATCTACAATTTCTAAGATTTAAGTTCAATCCTTCCTTGCTTCCAATATTTTTTATTAGGAAGCAGCAGCTAAGTGGCAAGTATTTTTCCTATCTTCACAATATTTTTTATAATCCACTAAGTACATACCTTCTTCCATTAATCCTTGGATCTGCTCATCTTTCTCTTTCAAAAGGTCTGAGGTTTCACTACTATTTAATCTAGTTGCAAGTTCTTCTTTTATACTTTTGATTTCCTAATTAAAAAAATAATGTAAATATCATGAAGAATTACTTTCATTCTAGGCATATTTTTCAATTTTTTCCACATTCAAAGAAGTCATCAATAATCACATTCTTGATAAGAACATCTAAGTTTTGTTCTGTTAATCTGAATTTATTACCTTGGTTTATTAAGACTAAGGAAAACAGCTTTGAAAATAATATAGAACACCTGAATTCACACATAGGTTTTAATATATATTATAATATATAACATAAGTATAATGAGAATAAGTTAAATTTCAATACTCTACATTTTCTACAATATGTGGAATAACATTTCAAACAGTACATGTCTCCACTTGTCACTGTATTTCTTTTCCTTATTAAAACTCATACTAGCATACTGTGAAATGACAGGAAAAACATGATTATATAAAGTATGATCTACTTTAATAAAGCAGAGATTCAGCAGAAACATGTCAAGATAGTTTATCTTTAAAGCTACAATGGAAAAGTACAGTGATGTGCAAAGTGTTCTATTACCCAAAATTTGGTTTTAAGAGATTCTCTGAAATTAAACAATAGCTTAAAATAACTAACATTTACTAGGTATGTAAAGCATACTTTGCATCCAATATCATTTAATCTTCACAAGCCTATGAAAGAGGCACCTGTATTATTCAATTAGAGAAATAATAAAACTAAGACTCAGAAAGACTGGTAAACTTGGAAGGTCTGAGAGCTTTTAAGGTTATAGAATAATGACTTGAAACCAGCTCTGTGAAATGTCAAAGTCCATGCTCTGAATCACCCACAACACTACTGTCCAACTTTCAATTTCCAAATTTCAAATTTGATTCATGTATCAAGGTTTAGTCGAATGTCATGTCTTCCATGAAACCTTCCTCAGTTCCCCTGGTCAGAATTCATCCCCTGTGATATCATTCCAAACTGCTTATTTATCTCTAGAACTTACTTCATTCTGCCTAGTACTACACAGCTGCTTCCATCACTAGAAAAGCAAATTCATCACTAAAGGTAATTCAATTTACCTTTGAATTTCCTATGCCTCCTATGCAGGGGGTTCATACAAGATAGTACACAAAATACATGTTAAAATTCAGGGCCTAAATTTTTTCCACCTATGGTTAATGATTTGGATATATTTTAGATTTATAATTCAAAATGCAGTACACAAAACAACATTATCTAAAATCTAATTTCTTGATTAAACTGGTCCAAATGAAATACAGTAGGGACAAGAGGAGATAAATTGGTTAGGTAGTCTGATGCTGTTATTAGTGTCTGAAATGAGCTAGCTAGTTAAAGCAACTAAGCAAATAGAAGTATATATTACTTTTCTGTAAGAGTATATACAGAAAAATTATAAATACAGTATTAACATTAACACTGGTCAGGAAGGGAGAAAGCAATCGAACTGGGAATGGCAAATAGTGAGGAATGTTATTACTCACAGTTGAGATACAAGCAATAAATACTAACCTTTAAAAGTTTAAATAAATAAATAAATACATACATACATACATACATACTAGCCTTAGCGGATTACCAATTTCTGAAATAGCCAACTGTTCCAAATTTTAAGACTCAGAAGAATGGTCCCCAAACAGGAGCGATTTTGCTCCAAAGGGGACATTTGGCAATGTCTGGCAACATTTTAAATTAGCACAACTGAAGAGAAGGAGGGACTGCAGTAGGGAAGAGTGATACTGTCATCTTGTAAGTAGGGGCCTGGGACCCCGGTTATCACCCTATAATGCATAGGAGAGTCCCATACTACATAAAAGTATGCTCCCAAAATGTCAATAGCACTGATGTTGAGAAGTCCTACATCAGAATAAATGTTATGCGTCCCAAGAGTCACTAACCATTAGAAACACTCTGACCTGAAGAATTATATATACTTGTGTATATGTGTGTGTGTGTGTGTGTGTGTGTGTGTGTGTTTGAAGTGGTGGACAAAAACCAAATGAGAGTAATGATACATTTACTTAGACAGTGTTATTTAGACTTGCGTTATTTTAATGAAATTATCATTTACAAAAATTATTCTAGTAATCCTTGCTATACATCTTCCAAGGACTTATACATAAATTGTATGGACAAGTATGTGCTAAGAATTTTTTAAAGTATCACAATCTATAAGTCTAAAGGTATGGAAAAATTTACAATTTAGGTGTTTTCCATAGTATCCTTTTACTCTTACCTCTCTTTTTTCCAATACCAAAATAGTATGAAGGCACTCCAAAAATCTATTGTCTCTACGTAGTTTAATTAATATTATTTTAAACTTCCATTACCTTTTTAGCAGCATCTCTCTCTTTGCAGGCCAGCTGAACTTTCTTTTCTGCTTCTGCAATTCTTTGAGTAAACTCATCTTTCAAAGAAAAAATGTTGCTGCTTTCTTCTTTCACTCTGAACATTTCACTAAATTTAAAATAATACTGAGAGTAAGGATAGTTGCTTAAACAGTCCAAAGATAACAAGGTTGAGTTCACTTTACAAAAGGAAATTAACATTGTCTTCGATATATACCTTAATAAAATAAATTAGTTTTAGGCATCTTAACGTTCCAGAGGAAAATTACCTGCTTAATTTATTTTAAAGTACCTGAAAGACAACCCATTAGCAATCGAAAATGTCACCAATGTTTGACATGTAAAAAATAATATAAAAGTAAAATTTTTCAGTTTGAGTCTTATGCTACATTCTACCAATCACCTCCTTAAAACAAACCAATACTCAGTATTGTTTTAAACTACAATATCACTTTTTTCTTTAAAGACATCTTTTAAACCTTACCTCTAAAATATTAATAAGGGGAAATAGGTTCCCCCTCCCCGCAAAATGCCTCTCTTCAATACCAAAGGTAATACAGTAAAGATAATGTAAGGAGAAAAGTAATTTCTAAGGTTAGAATTGAAATGCTATTCAAATTTCTAATTATAAACAAGTTAAATTATAAACTATATTGATTTAAAATATATTCTTAAATAATAACCAAGTGTATGGGCCTCTACATAATGTGTAAAATCATTCACATTGTTAGACACTTACTCTTTAAGATTATCGTAAGCTTCTTCTAGAAGTGCTTTTTCTTTACTAAGAGATAATAACTGAGCCTCCCTTTTGTCCAGTTTCTCATTCAAAAATTCAACTCTCTAGAAAAGGAAAATATACAAAAGTCAAACATTTAACTTTAAAAGACCATTTTTACAAGCAGTGATGAGATGCAAAGGTAACTAACCACTATAATCAATAAAACAGCATTATCTCATAAGAATTAAAAATAATATTAAGAACAAAATGAATACATTACAAAAAATACTAATACAAGACTGGTAGGAGAGTATAAATTAGTACAAGCACATAGCAGGTGGGGATATAAATTAGTAAGCCGTTTTCAAAAACAATCGGGAAATATCTACCTCAAAATCTACATACCTTCTGATGTAGATAATTCTACTTTTAGGTCTACCTTAGAGGAGAAACCTGTTGCATGTGTTATTATACAAGAACACGGACTTCCGCCAAGATGGAGGCATAGGTGGATGTGCCGTGCCTTCTCACACAACCAAGTTTAGAGACAACTAAATATAGCAAAGAAAACACAGCCAGAACACGGAAAATTGAACTTTTCAGAAGTCCGTTAACAACAAATTCTTCAGCCTGACCGGTAAGGGGCGAAACCAGCGGCTGGTGAAGCGGGGTTGCACAGGAAAACTCGGCCAGACGGACTCAGGCGCATGGAATCCAGACGCCCGGAATCCAGGCTCAGGGTTGGACCTAGTGAGCGACCCAGCGAGCCACCAGGCGAGCAACCGCAGGGGAGACAGTGGGGCAGCGGGGCTGCGTGTTGACTGTAGTCGCGCATTTGTGCACGGGCGGACAGGCGAGGGAGTGGGCGGTTGGACCGGGCCCGGCGGGTCCGCGGCAAGCGGCAGTGGAGGGCGCCGCCATTTCCCTGCTCTGACCCCACCTCCACATACAGCGTCATAACCCAGCGACTCTGAGTGGCCCGGCCCAGGTGAACCACCTAAGGCGCTGCTCCTCACCCAGCTGTGAGAAACAGCAGAGGGGGCCGCCATTTCCCCGTTCTGACCACGCCCCCACATACAGCGTCACAACCCAGCGACCTGGGAGTCCAAGGTGCTGCTTCTCACACTTAAAGGGCGTGAACAGACCAAAAATGGCGCAAGAAGATCTCAAAGCCCCAGAGCCGATAGATCTAAGTGATGAAGAAATAGCAAAACTCTCAGATGCACAGTTTAAAACATTGGTGATCAGGATCCTCACAGAACTGGTTGATTATAGCCACAAATTAGACAAATAAATGAAGGCGAAACTAATTGAAATGAATGGAATTGCACAGGACACCAATAGCAATGAAAAGGAAACTGGGACTAAAATCAATGGAGTGGACCAGAAGAAAGCAAATAATGGCCAAACAGAAAAGAGTCAAGAAGCAAGAATTCAAAGAAATGAGGAGAGTCTTAGCAACCTCCAGGACATCTTTAAACGCTCCAACATCCGAATTATAGGGGTACCAGAAGGGGGAAAGGAACAGCCACCAGTGGAAAACTTATTCGAACAAATAATAAAGGAAAATTTCCCCAATCTGGCAAAGGAAATAGACTTTCAGGAAATCCAGGAAGCTCAGAGAGTCCCAAAGAAGTTGGACCCAAGAAGAAACACACCAAGGCACATCATAATTACATTAGCCAAAATTAAAATGAAGCAGAGAATCCTAGAAGAAGCAAGAGCTAAGGGGACAGTCACCTACAAAGGAGTCCCCATCAGACTGTCAGCAGATTTCTCAAAAGAGACCTTACAGGCAAGAAGGGGCTGGAAAGAGGTATTCCAAGTCATGAAATCCAAAGACCTACAACCAAGATTGCTCTATCCAGCAAAACTTTCATTTAGAATGGAAGGGCAGATAAAGTGCTTCTCAGATAAGGTCAAATTCAAGGAGTTCATCATCACCAAGCCCTTATTATATGAAATGTTAAAGGGACTTATCTAAGAAAAAGAAGTTAAAGAAACATGAACAGTGAAAGGACAAACTCACAGTTATTAACAACCACACCTAAAAGGAAAGCAAACTAAAAGGACAGCTAGATCAGGAGTGGAAACATAGAAATGAAGATCTCAAGGAGGGTTAGCAACAGGGGAGTGGGAGGAGGAGAAGGGGGGAGAAGGTACAGAAAATAAGTAGCATAGACAGTAGATAGAAAATAGATGGGGGGCAAGAATAGCATGGGAAATATAGAATCTAAAGGACTTGAGACACATGGTCATAAACTAAAGGTGGGTAATGGTGGGGATGGGGGGGTAGGGTGGAGGGGAATGAAGGGGGGAATAGAACAACTGTAACAGCATAATCAATCAATCAATCAATCAATAAAATAAAATAAAATAAAAAAATAAAAAAAGAACACTTACAGAGGTCCGTAACAGCAAAAACTTGGGAAGTATGTGCATATCCCACCAAAAGAGGAAGACAGATAGAAACAATAAAAAAATAAAAGAGGGGCTTCAAAGCCTCTAATAATGTTCTGTATCTTAACTGGGTAGTGAATATACAAGTATATGTTTTTCCATATTACTCTTTAATCCAAACATGTAACATGTAACTATTTCAGTATGATACCTTGCACTTAAAAAGTAACTTTAGAAAATCCATGGTACGCAATTTTAAAAATCTCCAAAATATATCAGAATAAAGCTAAACAAAAAGGAGTGGTTAAAATATACTTTTTATTAGGTCCTGCTGAAGCAGTGATAAACTTGTATTTGAAGGTAGAAGAATGGTGCCTTTTGTGCAAAAATAAATAAATAATAAGTCTTACTTGATTCAGGTCTAGATTAATTTAGAAATCACCTTCTGAAAACAGTTAAAAATATCTTATTGATAAAAAAAGTATTGGTTCCTAGGAATTCAAACTGCTAGTAAAGCTATAGCATCATATTTCATTTGTAAATTATACTAAATCCAAGTAAGAGAATCTGGCATATTTTTATTTGCCAGATAGACTTTAGTAGACTTTAATAGACTCAGAGAAGTCTATTAAAGATGCCAGATCTAAGTCAATTTCTGTATCTAAAAATCACAGAAAACCCAAAACTGTGACTTAATGTTAGTTAAAGATTTTATAGCACTTTCCTTTTACATGTTTTAGGTAGAAGTAATTTGACATCCCTAAGCAATGCCTTTGTTCTTTGGACATTTCCCCTTCTTATTCATATCAGATGGCTATTAATTAGAAATATCAAAAATAACATAAGAGAGAAAAAACAAACTAATGCAATTAATAACAGAATACATCAATTATTAATCTTAAAGCCCTGGCCAAGTAGCTCAGTTGGTTAGATTAACATCCTGATTCACCAAGGTTGCAGGTTTGATCCCAGGTCAGGGCACATACAAGAAACAACCTATGAATGCATAAATAAATGGAACAACAGCAATGTTTCTCTCTCTCAAGTCAATAAACTTAAAAAAAAATAATTAACCTAAAAATAATTTTTCATTTAAGATTTGCTACAAATAATGTGAACATGTAAAAAATGTTTTGATGCTATGAAAAACCATTTAATATTTTAGATTTGTTTTAGCTCTATCTGCAAGGAGTTCAAATATATGTTAACTTACAAAGATACTCCTTTACGGACTAACAAATTAATGAGCATCATATAAGAGAATTCTAAGGTGATGAGGAGGACTCAACAGCAAAGTCATAAAAGGAAAACATTTTTATGCTGTTATACTGAAATATCAACTTATGCTACTATCATATTTGCCATAGAGAAATTTCAAATAACTTATTGTGAATAATTCTTCAATGTTAAGGCCTTAATGCCACATTTAAATGGCAAAATACCTTTTTTAAATCAGTAAAAATCATTATGCATCATTAAATATTAAAATAAACACATTATTTAATCTCTAAAAGGCATGTCCAAAATTCTAGAATTACCTTGCAAATATCTTCCTTCTCAGAAAGTGCCTCTAACTGACTTTCAGCAGCTTCACACTGCTCAGCTACCTTGTCTGAAACAGAATGTCCTTCATTTACTGGTGTTGAAGAAACCAAGATATCAGGCTGTTCACAGTTCACAGGAGTTGCACTTCGTCCACTTTCTTCCATTTCTGTTTCCTCAGTGGGTATAATTAATGTTTCATTTACTTCTTCAGATTTTCTTTCAACAGGTTCAACTATTTTTGTCTTTGGAGTTGAAGAATTAACTATAATGGGTACTAAAGCATAACCCTTGCCTGACAATTCATCATCTGAATTGATTTCACTTACACTACGACTATCTAATGACTGTACACTAAATGAGTCTATTCTTTCAAAAGCATCCGATGAGCAGCAACTCTCAGTGAGTTTTGGGAAATCATCTAAGCGATTATATTCAGGACAAGCAGATGCTGAGAGAAGCTGAAAAGATGTCTGCATCAAGTGAAGACTAGATTTTGAATCTGTAGTCTCTTGCCTTGAACTTGCTGAGCTCTCACTTATTACACTTTCATGATCTAAAACTTCAATATCACTGGTAGTAGAAGTACCTGATGAGAAGGTACTAACAGGAGGAGAAGGTGTATTACTCTGTCTGTCTTCATGTTTTTGTTCCTTTGCTTCTGAGGCCACGTCCTTTGTTTCTGCTGTGAGAGACTGCATAGACATACTAGATACATTTTCCCTAGCTGTTCTCACATTCACTATATTCTCAGATTTCAAATTTATGGTTGACACCTTCATAGCAGATTCTTTATTAGTGGTTTCTCCATCCTTGCCTTCAGTTTTAGGTGGAAGAGTACTTACTACCAGAGTTTCCGCTGAGGATACACAGGGAGAGTCGTCTTTTACTTTTGATTCAATTGTTTCAGCTGTTCTTGACTGTCCAGTATGCAAGGTTTCCTGTAAGGTGCTTTTCACTTCTTCTTTTGGTCTCTGTGATTTAGCTGGCGGTTTTGATACCACTGGACTCTTCTGAATGGTCTGGACATCGGTTGGAGAGAGAAAGGCACTAAAGAAATTTTCAGATTCATCTACCACCGTTCTCCGAACTGGTTTCGTAATTGCTTTAGGAGAGGCTACTGGTTGATTCTGAGGTTCAGTGTTTGATTTCATCCCCCAGGTTGAAGTATCCCATCCTCCACTGAGAGGGGGACTTATTCCTTTGACAAAAAATACATATATATATATTAAAATATATATTACATTAATATTATAATCATTATTATGTCAATATAAATGTTTTTTAAAAAAGAAAATCTATGGAATTCAATCTGTAATTTGCACCTGTTAAACTCCTTGTTTGCTATATAATTAATTAGTTCACAGGTTACCTTTGGCCCTTAAAGAGGAAAACTGGTGTGAATCTGCTCAAGAGGAACTAGGAACAAAGATAAAAGACTGGACTGGGTCTGGACTACCAGAAGAAAATTTGTTATTCCCACCCACAACAAATTAAGAACGTAATGGCATGTCCTAAAACCCATGCTAAGTCCTAGATATATATGATGTATTTCATAATAATGGGCAATATCTTCACTTAAAGGTCATGTGTGGTCATGGCAAATCAATCCTACTTTCTATTCAGTTAGTTTCATATTAATTTTATTCTTGTACTATCAATAATAAAATATAGTTATGAGCTAGAGAAGAGGGCAACAGTAAAAAAGTGAACCAAGATACTGGTGACAAATGTCCTTTTCCAAAGACCAAAGTAAACTGATGGGAACAGTGTCTTCTAGAGGAAAATTCATTTTCATCCACTTAATGACAAGCACATTCTCCAAGTCCCACTCTCCAAACCCACTCTATGCGAAAGTTTTGCTCGCTTCCTAAATTCCAAATTATGTCAGCAAATAGTACAGGTTGTATGAATTTCAAAAATGTGTTTTTATTAAAATTATTGCTTTTTTGATATAGATGGTAATTTATACCAGGATTTTTAAAAACATGCCAGAGAAAATATCCTGTGTTTTAAAAAAAACATAATTGTATTTATTAGTCATAGAAATATGTGCTACCAAAACACCCTACAGTAAACAAAACATGGCATATTCTCTAAAATATTTAAAGCATTTGTTCTTCTTAAAAAATCTGCCTTTTCAAAATTCAAAAGAAGCTGAGAATTATCACAAATTACACATAATTAGAAGTTGGTGGCCAGAACACCGACGAAGTGTTTTTAGGTCAAATAACCTAAAAACTCCTAAAAACTACCAAATCCTACATAAAGTCTATATCCTTTAATGTGGCTTTAGAGGTATGCAAGAAACTTCAGTTTAGGGACATAGTTTTACATCCATTTGTTCAGCATATGAAAACAATGTTAAAAGGCAAAAACCAAAATTAAAGATATAAATGAATAAGCAGATAAAGATAATTAGTAAATTAATTTAAAAGATAATTAATAATTAGTAAGTTAATTTAACTTATTAAGTCATCTTAATGAATTACAGAAGTCAAATTTGCCTCTTGGGGAACGTTTTATATAAAGCCCAGGTTTCTCTGATATCCACTTAAATTAGTTCATTTTGAACACTGATAATGTCATAATGATGGCAATATAAAAGAAAACACAAGTGATCAATAAACATTTATGGCATTTCACTCAAGTCTGAATGTATTCTGGATAACCTATTTTTAAAAATATATAGCAAACAATTCAAGCCCCAGGTTTACTAAAACGAGTATCCTTATATTTAAAACGTATACTGTCTCCTCTAAAATTCCGTAATTCAAAATGTGGGGTGCCTATGAAAAAAGAAGTTAAGCTACTCAAACAAGGTCTAACATCTTGGAAAACAGTAAGATCATGATATAGGCATGGGCAAAAAAAAAATCTTAAAATGTGATACCTCAAATTTAGGTCCTGACTTTCCAACGACATAAAATTAAAAACCCAGAAAGTAGTCAAGAATAACATCCTTTTCCACTGAGATCACACACACCTCAAACCTGCAAATCTTTGTCCCCACACTGTTCCTTATACTCAGAGACAAAAATAATGAAGATCCCTGACGAATCTGACAAAGAGAAACAGCCACCTGAAAATAAACCGCCAAATCTTGGGCCCCGGGCCCCAGGGTCCGTGGAACGTATCAGCAGCACACTCCGCCCCCTCCCGCCAAGTGGCCTGGAAAAGTCGCTTGGCCTGAGACTCGTTTTCCTCCGGGTGAAACACTGACAACGTGCGACCGGAACCCGAGGAGCTAGTCTTAAGTGAAGGAAACCAGAGACACCCATTCGCGGCAGAAGCGCTCGCCCAACGTGGGCGACTATCCCTGAGTTCCAGTGAAGGACTCCGGACTTCGGATTCGAAAAGTCTCCCAAGCCCCACAACTTGGGGAAGGTTGTGCTCGGAGTCCGATCACGTGACGCCAGCAGGACACGCCCCCAGAGCCACAAGCGAGGAGGAACGCGGAGCCGGATTTTCCCCCTAAAAAGTGCAAGACCAACTCCAGACCAAATAAGCCCGAGGACCAGGCCTGCCTCCGCTTCACCTGTGGGCCCAGCCCGCCGCCGCTCCCTTACCCGGCTCTCCATAAGGAATGGTCTCCGCCCAGGCGCCCGGCTCCTCTTCCTGAATGTCCAGGACCCTGTCAATGGATTTCTGAGCCTGGGACAGGGCCTGCTTAGCAAAGCTAGAGAGCTGGGAAGCGTTGAACCAGCTCATCCTCCTCCTCGGCGGACAGTGCTGGCGGTAGCTCCAGGTGGGAAGGCCGAGGGCCAAGCCAACCGGCGAAGGCTCAGGGGAGAGTGCGACGGAACAACTTCGCCCACTTCTCCACTCGGCGGGACCTGTCAGGGGGTGCCCATGACCTCAGGTCTCCCCCGAGCCCGGGGATATAACCCTCAGTCCTTCCCACATCCTAGACGACTGAGCCGACTGCGCATGCGCAGGCCAATACCACGTACACAACCCTCAAACGGTGGAGGCCGGAGTTCCGTCCGTGGAGACAAATAGGAGAAACGTTTACGTCATATCCGGTAGCCAAGGGTTGCCATTAGTTACCGAGGAACGCGGAACGGCTTCCACAGACAGTGATTCAGGGCATTGGGTAGGAATTCTTAGCAGAAAGGGGCCTATTCCTCTGAAACCGGTGACTTTTCATGTAGGCTCCTTCCTACAAAGTAACCGTACTAAGAGCTAGTGCCTTGCCAGCAATAATTGTAGACAAAAGAAAGTTTGGGAAATGTACTTGTCTTAGCGATTTGTCTCAAATAATTACTTCCGTGTGAACTTGACCTTAAAGAGAAACCCTGGGTTTGGGTTTCGGCCTAAACACACTGGACAATGCCTAAAAACCTGCCCCAGCCCACCTGATGGAAGTATAAAGCCATTTTCCACAATGAGTTACAGGCTTGAATAAGGGTACAGAGGGCACAACCTCTCCCTCACAATACAGGTCCACTCTCGCCCCAGTCAAAACAAACCTGGGAAGCACCAAGCCTATTACTCTATTAATATGTCCTGTGCATATTATTTAAAATACTATTTTTTCTGCATGCACTCTTCAGACATTTAGCTATACGAGGAAATCTAATTCGTGGCCTTCCTAATCTAATCAGTGGCTATGTTTGGTTTGGCACCTATAAAAATAAAATCCTACCAACATTTAAAAGCCAAATTTCATATAAAAATCCAAATTTCCCATTGATTTTGAAAAATAAGAATACCAACATGGAAGACTCACCTGGTATGGTTGCCCCTTTTGACAATTTTCACTCCATTTTACCACAGACCTCACTAATATTACATTCTCTTAACACCCTCCCTTGCTATGATTATTTATCTTACCTGTCCATCCTTTCCCTATATTTGAGAATTTTACCCCACTGCAAGGAACTAAGCAAGCCATAAGGAACTATTTTTCTTCAAAAATCCCTCTTCCACGACTTCTAATTGTACAGTTTTGGATAAATGACCTAACCTTTCTACAACTATTTATTCCGCTTTCGGATGGAAATACTACCACATTTGCACAAGTCTACTTTGAGAATTATTATTGTACCTGTATAAAGTGCTAAATGTTTTAGTTCCTTTACTTTCAAAAATTTATACTGAATCTATAATTTTTTTAGAGAAATTTATCAAATGATTTTATAATTAAACAAATTATTTGTCAACATGGAACTAGAAAGAATTAATAAAAACTTAACCCAGTGATATGTAATTACAAAACCTCTGTAAAGAAAATTGACATATAAGTCAAAGAGAGAGGACATATACTACATGTTCTCATGCTGAGATACTTAAAATTCATTTTTCAGTACTTATGCTTGATTTTCTCTTAAGACTTAGTCTTATGTTTATTTTTGCAGGGTTTGGGAGGAGGCATTTTTTAAGAGATCTTAATATAAAAATATAGTTACTCCATTTTTATTATAGTATTATGTTCAATAAAATTAAAACAACAGATATTTACTGTGGCAAAAGAATTAATTCATGGGCCATAAAAATTTTGTTTTAGTAATTTTGCTACACATTTTAAAACTATTCTAAAATACTACAGAACTATTTACTATCCTTAATATATTTTTAAAAGTTTCAGTGAGAAAAGTAGACAATATATGATTTTATTAATAAATAGTGCAAAAGCATCAGTGATAACTGCTTAAACATTAAATTATTTTAAACATCCATGTCTTGGCTTTAATGTTGTGCATATTGGCCTCTATAGCACTGCAAGTAAACACATGAAAATATTTCCCATTTCCATGCACAGGTATTCAGTTCTAACACTATTTACAAATTGTTATGGACAAGGTAACCTTTGCAAAAATTAATATTCATCTGGACAGCCACCATTAAATGAATATTAAACAAGCAAAATGTAGGCTATGTTCAGTATACTCAAGATGTCAAGTTATAACTCTTAATGTTATTTAAAACTTAATTTTCTTATTTTCCTTAAAGGGACATCCTTTGTATATGTGGGTGCTCAAATGAAAACTGAAGAATGCATTCTTTGACCATAAGAACAAAATTCACACAGAAGAGTGTGTTTGCCTCCTCTAAAAGAAGCAATGCAACTGTTCATAATCTCTCTCTCCAGGCATCATTTCCCATATTAATGAAAATGCTTGCAAGCACCAACTCCAAATTTTGTCTTCAAAAAGAGTGGTTCATTATATTCAAACAAAAAAAGTCAAATTCCAGCAACACTAATGCTAACAATAAATCATTTAACTTTTTTTAGCATTCAGAAAGTATAACATTTCCATCAATTTTCTATTATATGCAGATTTATTTTCCTTAAGAGGTAAAATGAAGTTTGAATAGTACAGTCTGTGGTGTGGTGACATCAGCAACCGCCAGTTCTTGCCCATCAACAAGTCCCAATTCTAAAACAGAAAAAGAATAATTAAGCCAAGCCACAAAATAACAAAAATCTCAACAAAAATGATAACACACAGATAACAAAAATTATAGAATATTATGGTTGAGATAAACATCAAAATTCAGTTCTCTTTAGTCACGGCAATATTATACTTGATTGTTTAGAAATGTTTATGCATTCTACTAAAAGAGCGATTTAATCATTATTTCTAAAAATATAAGTAATTATGATGATGTCATTTGAAGGTATTAAGAACAAATCTAAAAGGATTTGTTACTTCCACAAAAAATGTTGATTAGTAAATATACTCCTTTAAAATACCTTTCAATGTCTTGGAGAGATTTGGCCTTGTTCGTTCTTCAATAGAAGTTACTGACTATAAAGCAAAATTATTTTAATGTAAAACACATTAAATGAAATTAAACTTATAATATAATTGTGAAAGAAATACAAATAGAACACTTATCACCTGTAAGTAAAGTGTTCTATTTTTTCCCTCTAATGTGGCTGTGATGGCTGGAGATTTCATCTGCCTAAATATAATTATGAGAAAAAAATCAAAGATCACTTTTAAAAAATCTAGTTTTAAAAGTTTTAAAATCTCAAAAGTTATTTTTACAACCTAACAGAAGTGCAGAATACTTACAGAGAAGCACTATTGGTTAGATAATCCAAAACTTCCTGTAGTTTAGCTGATGGAGAAAACTGAATATTTTGTGGAAGCTGGCTACAAGCTGGGCAATTTTCCTAAATATATAAAACACAAATCATAGCAGTAATGCACCAATTACAGTCTCTTTATAATAATGAAATAAAAATGAAGTTGTTTTATAACTACGCATACTAAACAAATGTTTTAGAATCTATGCATTTCATAATGGGCCATTTTTCCTAAATTATTTTGCTATATAGTATTTATTTTAGACTATACTACAAAAGATATATAGTGAATAGGATTCTGGAAATTAGAAAATACTTAGGATATGAGCAATTTCAGTTATATTTCTAACCAATTAATATTTAAAAATCAAGGTATGCATGATCAAAAAAATTTTTATTAGTATACTAACCTTTCTCTCGGCTTCAAATGTGTATGTGTACAGTCCATCTACATCATTGAATACCAAGTAATTATTAAGGGGAATATATGCACTGTAATGAAAAAAATGTCCATTATTTATATAACTGAGCCAGAACAAAACAGATTTACATACATGTTAAAAATAAAACACATTACCTTGTGGCTATTTTAAAAACCTCAGTGGCACACACAGCTGAAAAGGGGAGGAAATAAAGGTGCTTTAACTCAATGATAATTAGACATTTAAAATTAGAAGTATGTTAGAAAGTCAGTTGTAATTCAGAACAGATAAATTTACAGGTTATGATTAAAAATATATTAAAATAGCCCTGGCTGGTGTGGCTCAGTGGATTGAGTGCGGGCCTGTGAACCAAAGGATCGCTGGTTTGATTCCCGGTTAGTGCACATGCCTGGGTTGCAGGCCAAGTCCCCAGTAGAGGACACAGGAGAGATAACCACACATTGATGTTTCTCTCCCCCTCTTTCTCCTTCCCTTCCCCTCTCTCTAAAAATAAATAAATAAAATATTTTAAAAATACACGTATATATTACAATACATATACTAATGTTAGAAAACTGAAAAAGTAACAAATTTTATATTCGTTTTGTATAATCCATGTGATAGAGTAACATTACATGTTTTCCTTCCTCTTCTTCAAATTAATTAGCAGCCTGTTACAGTGATTAAAAAGAAATGGTATGTATGAAAATGTCTGCTTACTACAGAGCACTTTGTGATATGAAATACCTTATCCTTTTTTGGATAGCTTAATTATACCACCCACCCAAGAAGATACCAAATTCCTGTAACACCAGTTTTCTGATATCAGGTAGCTGCAGAAATATCAATTCAGATACTGAATCAAAAACTAAAGAAAAAAAAATTAAGTAATAGCCTTTTTTCCTCACCTGCAATGACTGCATTTGTAGAAGCTACTGCAGGAATGATTCGTTTCACTACCCCTGAAAAAATATACTAATTAAAACATGATAATTTCTTTTAAAAAATAGGTATCTTAAGTTAAACAACATGATTTATTAAATACCATTTTCCAGATTTTTCGGGCTTTCAAGTCACAAAAAAGACTTAATTTTAACCATGAAGCAATCTTCTTCCATATTCCCATAATTTTTGTAGCATGTTCAGAATCTTAAGGAAGTTACAGTAGCAAAGAAAGGTAAACCCTTCTGTAAACTTCATATAAAGATGAGACCATAATATCATAATAGCTAACAACTAGATGTTTATTGTGTTCCAGGCACATTGTGAAATTTAAATAGATATTATTGAATTTTGTTAGTCTTATGTTAGTCTTATTACTCCAATTTTAAAGACAAGGAAAATGAGGTTGAAAGAAATTAAATCACAATTCCACCTATACACCTAATAAGTGGTAACAATGGTATATGAAACCCAGATCGACCCAAAGTGCATAATCTTAACTGATACATTATATAATGCCATATTCAATAAGGCTTGAGTAAAGTACAAAAAGTAAGAGTTACATTATTTTTCCTCATATAATTTCAGCCATTTGATTCATCAAAGCTTTACAACAAAACAAGGGTCCTCAACTTATCTTCACTTCACTCTACAACTTGTACTACACAAAACAGTAAACATACCTCTCTATTTCTACCCTACTTTTTACATCAGTATTCACATTATAAATGAACAAAACTCTAAACAATTTGGCGGGCAATTTTTAGCATTTTTATTGTATTTTTCCATTACCATTGATTGAACCCCCTTATACCTCTCTCCCTCCACAATACCTTAAACAATCTTTAAGTACAAAATAAACATTCTAATTTATAACTATATTTAAATTATTCATTTTAGAAAACAAAAACTTCAAAGGAAAGTAGCCATATTAATTATCTTGGAGTATGAGGGAACACTGAAAGAGGTAACTTACAAACTTCAGAAAAAAAGGCAGATATCTAAGAAGACAGGAAAGGAAGTTGGTTAAGTCTGGAAAGCTGTTTTTAAAAAGTTAATCTGACCATATGATTAAGTATAACTTCAGAGCAGGAAAAGAGGGAGAAGCTAACCTCATGATGGTTAAACTGGATGTTCACCAGTGAGCCACATATAATAAGATGTTCTGAGAGGAGGAACAGGTAGTCACAAACAGTGAGGAGTAGAGGGGACACTGCCCAGTAAGAGCCCTGTGGAAATGATAAAGACTCCCCGTACTCCCAACCCCTCAAAAAAAGCTGAACTTCACTTCTCATTTTGCTTCAGTACTTCTTGTCAAGGCCCTCAATTGTCAGGATACAAAGCATACAACCTGCTCAAAGGTATGGAAAGATAAATGAGACTACATATGGAAATGAATTTCCATTTCTGATCAGGACAAACTGAATTCATTTGTTAATTCAGACAATTACCAAATGTGTACCATATGCCTAATATTGTTCTAGGTGTTACGCACAAAAAAAAAATTACCTGCTCTTATAGAGATTTCATTCTGGTGTGGGAGATAACACTCACAAGTAAGAACATTAGAAAATTTCAGATACTAAAGAGTTCTACAAAGAAAGTAAAACAATGTATTTGTTACAGTTGACAATGCTAGGATGGTCAGGGAAGACGTCTCTAAGGAAGCAATAATTTGAGTTGAAACCTAAACCTTAAGACCCAGTGAAGCAATAACCTATGGAAAGTGCACTTCTGTAGAATAAACAGCCAGGACAACGGCCCCAGGGCAGAGATGATACACGAGAGCGTAAGTACGAAATATTCCTTGCATAAAAAAATAGACTAACATTAGTTTTAGGCAGTTATAAAAAAGGTAAAATGGTGAATGGCTAGGATGTCATTTTCAGTTGAATCATCAGAATAACTGGCTAGTTGAGACCTGAGGGACAAGCAGCCATACTTGAGGGGAGCCAAGGAAGACCAGTACAGACATAAGAATTAGGAATATTGGAGCTCTAAGGTAGGAATGAGTTTAGTTTGTTAAAGGTACCCAAAGCAGGTCAAAATGGGGGGAGTACAGGGAGCAACAAGGAGTAAGAGTGGAATTTTCAAATGATATTAATAGAACATCGGTAAATATAAAAAATAATCACAGAAGAGAAATAGCAGGTTTTCAAAAAAAGACAAAGTTCTTTCTTGGGAACTTGGCGATGACCTTGGATAAAATTCTATAAAGGATCAACTGTGAGTATCTAGAATAGGAAGCACTGATCACTAGGACTGAGCATTATATTATGATTGTTTACTAAGACCAGACATATTGGACTTTTCTCACTTACGTCCTATGACTAGCTTAGCAACCCAAGTAGTAAAACATCTGTAATGGCCTTTCGTAACATCTTGTGAACAAGACACAGAAATATGAAGTATTCAAAAAGGTCTGATCAACAAAATGAGATAAAACCTAAAATTAAGAACCAGATCAGAAGTATGATTCAGATGTCAATTCTCTGCCAGTTCAGTCTTATTAAATTTTTTAATTAATTATGTGGAAAAAAGATAAAGGATGTGATTATCAAAACAACAGCTGAAATGAAATTGAATAGATAGGTTGGCAGGCATAAAAGAATATATGAGAGAATAACAGGTTGAATTTAAGAATAAATTGGTAAGAACCTATACTTGAGTACAAAATTAACAAAACTACCAACCCCAAAACTACCACTTCTTTAACAGGCAGATGTGGCTCAGGAATTAATATGTGGAAAAGGACTCTAGATTTTAGTAGACGATTATCTCAAAAAGTCAAAAATATAGGATCAATGTAAACAACAATCAACAAAAAAAATCCTACTCTCCTCTAAAACTGTATCAATTACCAGAGTTATCAGAAGGCTATTATCTAAAATAAGAGTATTTTAGACATTCTATGCTGCATTCTAACCATATTAAGGGAATACAGATAACCAAAATATGGTTAGAGAAAAACAACATAATAGGGACTTAAAGTCCTGCAACATGTCTGAGGATTAAAGGAATTAGGGAGGTCATGGAAGTGATAAAGATTTAGAAGGAATGTGCTCACTGTTCTCAATTTGTTAAGTGCTATTACTTAAAAGGAAATTACATTTATACATATATGATATACCCTAGGACAATAAATACTCTGACCAAACTAAAGATGGATATTTCTGCTTAATATATAGAATAACTGTGTAACACCCTTGTCCACACGTGGAACAGACTGCCCCAAGAGAAATAAATTGCTCTTCAATGAAAGATAAAAGTGCATGAGTTGACTTGGATGCATTAAGTTCTTTTCCAAAAAGTAAACAAGATTCAATGATTTTATTAAAGTCCTCCTCCTAGCTAAGTAGTAGGACAGACTCTGCTGAACTCATTTGCCTACTACCAACTTTGGGGTACCTGAAAACTATTATTTCCATGGTACCTTTACTGAACTTCAAATGGATGGTACTGTCTAAAATCACTTATCAATTACTTTCTCCAAAGCATCTCCAGCCAGTAAAAAAAGGATCATCCCAAGATTATCATTCAATCATTCATGATAACTCACAAACTTACCTTGAGTGAGTCTATATGTAACACCCTTAATACTATATTGTGATGCTCTGTCTAGGGATTTTTGAAAAATCCACTGAATATGATCAGGATCATCTCCATCTAATGGAACCCCTTCTGTTAGGAGAAAAAAAAGAAGAGGAAGACAGAAACATTTAAACATGAATCAACTTGTTTTTAATGTAATTATCCAAATGAATAATATAGACAAACTTTATGTAATTCTAGATTATGAAATTAGGTTCATTACCTCCAAAAGGTTGCTCCTTAGGCCACTGCAATATCCTTACATACTCAATACAGTGTTCTGGTAGCCTGGGCATAGATGCAATGGTGCACATGGGAAAATTGACCTAAAACCACAGTTTGCCCTTTTTAATGGTTTTAAAACAATGAATTATTTTCAAATATAACTTCTAGCTATGATCTAGTTTGCAGCAGTTTGTTATCATCCATCATAGCCTTCCACTTACAGAAACAAAATTTTTATACCATTAATATTTCTCAAAGCATCTGAGTCACTTCACTCAGGTTGATCTACCTATAAATTAGGTTTACCCTATGTAAGTTTAATTTTGTTAGGATGTGAAAAAAAGTGCTGAATAATTTCTAAAGTATAAGCACTTTGTTATGTTTATCTAATTTAAATCTGAATGTATAAAACAAAAGCAAAATCAAGTAATTTCAAGTAAATATTCATAAAATTATTTATACTTATAAATCAAAATTTCAGCTGTCCTTTAAAGTAGGTATGCAGATGAAAGAGTCCCATCTTTGGAAAGGTCATTTTCATCCCTCTTATCTTTATTTCTCTGAAACAATCACAGGCAAAGACCAAAGGAAACAGATTATACCTCTATCCAACATACAGTTTTAAAATTGATCTCTTGAGCACAGCACCCATTTATGATAAAAACACTCAGCAAAGCAGGAGTAGAGGGAACATACCTCAACACAATAAAGGCCATATATGAGAAACCTACAGCCAACATCATTCTCAATGGGCAAAAACTGAAGGCTTTCTCCCTAAGAACCGGCACAAGACAAGGGTGCCCGCTTTCACCCACTTCTAATCAACATATTATTGAAAGTTCTATGACAGCAATTAGACGAGAAAGAAATAAAAGGCATCCAAATTGGAAGGAAGTAAAATTGTCATTGTTTGCAGATGACATGATAGTGTACATGGAAAACCCTACAGGCTCCACCAAAAAATGAATTGAACTAATAAGTGAATTTGGCAAAATAGCAAGATACAAAATCATTATTCAGAAATCAAACATGTTTTTATACACCAACAACAAAATATCAGAAACAAAAATCAGGAAAAAAATGCCATTTGCAACAAAAAGATAAAGTACCTATGAATAAACTTAACCAAGGAGAAAAGATCTGTACTCAGAAAACTACAGAACACTGAAGAAAAAAATCAAGGAAGACCAATAAATGGAAGCATATACTATGTGGAAGAATCAACATCAAAATGGTCATACTACCCAAAGCAATTTATAGATTCACTGCAATCCCTATTAAAATACCAAGGACATATTTCACAGATATAGAACAAACATTTCAAAAATTTATGGAACCATAATAGCCTCAACAATTTTGAGAAAGAAGGACAACGTAGGAGGGATCACAATACCTGATATCAAACTATATTACAAGGCCACCATAATCAAAACAGTCTGGTACCAGCATAAGAACAGACACATAGATTAATGGAACAGAATAGAGAGCCCAGAAAAAAAACCCATGTCTCTATGGTCAATAAATATTTGACAAAGGAGGCAGGAGCATAAAATGGAGAACAAAATAGCCTCTTCAACAAATGGTGTCAGGAGATATGGACAGTTACATGCAAAAAAATGTAAGTAGACCACCAACTTACACCATACACAAAAACAAATTCAAGAGGGATAAATGACTTAAATATAAGTCATGACACCATAAAATCTAGAGGAAAACACAGGCAGTAAAATTTCAGATATTCCACACAGCAGTATTTTCACTGACATATCTCCTAGGTCAAGGAATATAAAGGAAAGGATAAACAAATAGAACTACATCAAATTAAAAAGCTTCTGCATGGGTAAAGAAAACAGCAACAAAATGAAAAGGGAACTAAACATATGGGAAAATATATTTGCCAATGACACTTCCCACAATGGTTTGATCTCCAAAATATATAAAAACTCATACAACTCAACAACAGGAATATAAACAATCCAATTAAAAAATGGACAAAGGACCTGAACAGGCACTTCTCCAAGGAGGACATACAGAGGGCCCAGAAACTTATGAAAGGATGCTCAACATCACTAGCCATCAGAGATGCAAATTAAAACCACAAAGAGATACCACTTCATAGTGGTCAGAATGGCCATCATTAATAAATCAACAAACAACAAGGGCTGGCAAGGATGTGGAGAAAAGGGAACCTGAGTCCACTGTTGGTGGGAATGCAGACTGCTATAGTGACTGTGGAAAACAGTATAGAATTTCCTCAGAAAACTAAAAATGGAAATGCTTTTCCATCCAGCAATTCCACTGCTGGTATTAAGAATCCTGAAATACCAATTCAGAAGAACTTATGCACACCAATGCTCATAACAGCGTTATTTACAATAGCCAAGTGCTGGATGGAAACATCCTAAGTGCCCATCAGTAAATGAGTGGATGAAAAAACTGCAGTATATTCACAGTAGAAATACTACTGTGAACTCACAGTATTCACAGTAATACTACACAGTAGAAAGAAAGAAGGAACTCATACCCTTTGTGACAGATTAGATGGAACTGGAGAGCAATATGCTAAGTGAAATAAACCAGGTGGCAAAAGACAAATACCATATGATCTCACCTGTAAGTGGAACCTAATGAACAAAACAAACAAGCAAAACAGAACCAGAGACATGAAAATAAGGAACAAACTGACAGTGACCATAGGGGCCATAGGAGTGAGGTAACAGGGGAAAGGGGAAGGGTATAGTCAAGGAATATGTGTAAATGACCCACGAACATGGACAACAGGATAGGGATTGAGTGTGGGAATGGGGTAGGGTAGAGCAACAAGGGAAGAACTGGGGCAACTGTTATTAAACAACAATAAAAAATAAATATAGTAAAACAAAATCACAAAACTACGTTGATCCCTTGATCCCTACTCTTTAAGTAGAGAATTAATACAAGTAAATTATAAAGCAATAGTATAAAAGTATGATATTCAGTCCATACCTTTTCTCAAACACAGAATTTCTTATTTTATCGTTTTTCTCTTTACACGATTTGAAAAATATAGTTAACCCTAATTAAAAATCATAAATATTAAATAAACAATATTTCAACACTAATTCCATCCTAATAAACTATAAAACAAATGCAGGTGCTTTCTGGGTTACCTGTGGTGGATAAAGTTCCAGTGTGCATTCAATGCAAGCAGTCATTCCAGGCAGAATCACCCGGGCATTCCCTTTAAAACCTTCTGTCCCCCCATCTATCAAAGGGACAATGGAGCTTGGATCTAATGCACCATCTTCATAATTTAGGAGAGATATCTAGGAAAATTATTTAAAGGGTTTAAAAGGAGAGAGGGATAAGAATTCAAAAGAAAAAGCATGCTGTCAAGTAATTCCATGTCAATAGCATGACTGAGTACTAACACATCAAATCAAGGGATAATATTAGTAATTTGTAGCCTCACCTTAAGATTAATAACTAGTAATAAACAATGAAGTCTATGAACTTAATGAAAATTAAATAAGCTGATTTTCAAAAATATGATATGCAATTCTAATTTTCAGTGTATTAAGAGCAACAGCAAAAAATCTTTACCAGCATGCCATTTATCCATCTTCTGGCTATGATAGAGTCTAGTCCACATACAATTATATGAAATTCTAAGAGAAAAAAAACATTCAAGTTTAGTTTTTTAAATGCCACAGTATAACATAATTTACACCTTCTAAGAAAACACACACAAAAATACACTTTTTACTATAACACATACGCATACACAAACACACGCACATACACACACACCTCCCAATCCCTGAATAATCCCTACTCAGGTCAGCACAGAAAAATGCAGATAATGGTCTCAAGTAAGATTTAAAACAGTATCACTCTCTTTTCAATCCATCAACAACCCTATTGAAAAGCCAACACCAAGAGATGAAAAACAACTGAACAGCCTTCAAATTAGCAGTTAAAAATAGCAAGATTTTAATTTCAAGTGAACAACTTACGTCGATAGAAAGTGTCATTAAAATCCTGGATCTTGTTGAAATGTCTGCATATAAGTAAAGGAATTGGAACTGCTGAATGTGACAATACCATAAGAACAAACTTACACATATATATTTAAAACAAGAAATAGATCTCAAATATTCAAAGTAGTGGAATTCAAGGAATCTGACAAAATGAATACAACCCATTTTTTGACAAAACCTCTTTTCTAACACTCCTCCTAACAACTTAGTCTCATCCCTGAACTCCCAAATCATTATATTTATGACTCTGATTACACTTTCTGCTCTGCTTTAAGTTTTGTATAAAAGCATAAGCCTGGGAAAGCAGAATATGTGTGTTGTCCACCATCAGCATCAAGCCAAGAGGCAATAAACATTTGTTGAGTGAAGGGAATGAACACATCAGAGTTCCTATTGATCTGGGTCATTTTAAGGGTTACTGAATAGCTAATTAAAAACAAAGCAAAACAAAACAAAACAAAACAAACTCCAAGAGTTTCCAAAAAAACTTCTTCAGTTACCAATGATTTGTTACTGTCGGTTTTTTGGAGGGAGGTGGTGATGAGAGGTATGAATTCTTCCTCTCAGTTACTCAGTTTTCCAAGTCTCTCTCTCTTATCCAATCAAGCCCTATCAGCAATCTTCTCCTGCCTGGAGGCTGCAAAAGGAATCCCATTCAAAATTGGATGGGTATGAATCACTTTTAGCACTTAATATTTTAACAGCATATATGTGTGCAAAACACTTAAATTTTTCTAACAGAGCAATTTAATGTTTAATAATATATAAATTATACTCCTCTAAAATTACAATAAATAAGCCACCATACGTGTATTTTAAAAGCAAAACAGAAAAAAGAGAAACAATATACAATTGCTCTAGAATTTTTTATACTGGCCTGTAAATACTGCTACAAAAAATAAATACAATACTAGCCCTTGCACATTCAGCCCTCTACTCCTTTCGAAGGTAGGCAAACAGGGGGCAAAAGCTGAAACTAAACAGAAAGGTCAAGAGAACTCAAGCAAACACCAGAGGAACAATAGAGGAGAAAACCAAGGAGCCAGACCAAAATATACCATCTCCTGGATTTCTATAAAATACTCAGTTTCCCAGATATTAAAAAAATGGAGATAAACACAGTGGTTTTTCTCCCTAACAGGGGCCTGTATTTACCTCTTTATACTTTTTATTTTGAAATAATAAATTCACAGGCAGTTTCGAGATGGTGCAGATAAGTCCTATGTTTTTTACCAGGTGTCCCTCAACTGTTGTATCTTACAATATCAAAACCACAAATGTGACATTGGTACAAGTATGTCTCATTCTGTCATTTAAACATGTATAAATTTGTGTAATTACCACCCTACACAAACAACATCAATCAGCACAAGATCTCCCTCCTGCTACCCATTTTCAGTCACACCTTCCCTCCCACTAACAATGCCTAACTTCTGGCAATTACTGATTTGTTCTCCATTTTGTCATTTGAAGAAGGTAATATAATTAAAAATCATACAATATATGATCTTTTCAGACTGGCATTTTTCATACAGCATAATTCCCTTAATATCCATTGAAGGTGTTAACATTTTGTTATTTGGTGCATTTTTATTGCTCAGTATTATTCCATAGTACAGTTTTATCACAGTTAAACAATTCACCTATTGCCTGATGTTTTTCTTGTTTCCAGTTCTGAGCTACTACAAATAAAACTGTTATAAACAATCAAGAACAAGTTTTCATGCAGACTTCAGTATTCACTTCTCTGGGATAAACGTCCAGGAAAAAAACTGCTGGCAAATACGGAAAATATATGCTTAGATTTTTAATAAACAGCCCTGGACATGTAGCTCAGTTGGTTAGAGCATTGTCCCAATACCCCAAGGTTGCGGTTTCAATCCCTGTCAGGGCACATACGAGAATCAACCAATGGGACTTCCACCAAGATGGAGGCGTAGGTGGAGGCACTGCACCTTCTCACACAACCAAGTTTGAAAACAACAAAGTTTTAGCAACAAAAACGCAGCCAAACCACAGAAAATTGACCTACACGGAAGTCTGACAACAACGAACCCTTCAGCCAAACCGGTAAGAGGGGCAGAGCCAGCAGCAGAGCAGGGTCGGGCAGGAAATATCCACCAGACCCAACCGGGCACACAACCCAGGCATGCTGGCAGCTGTGGGCGGATCCCAGGTGTGGAGAAGCGGGCCAACCTACTGAGGGCGAACCGTGGTCACACATTCGGGAGCAGATAAACCAGTGAAGGAGCTAGCGGTGGTGAGACAGACCACACAGGCCCCAGCAGCGGAAAGCGGCAGAGAGAACCTCCATTGTCCCTCTCTGACCCTGCCCCCACCTACAGTGTCACAAACCAGTGACCTGGGTGGCCTCTCTCTGACCTGCCCCCACATACAACATTATAAACCAGCGACCTGGGTGGCCCCGTCCTGGTGAACAACTAAGGCTCTGCTCCTCATAATTAACTGGCGTGAACAGACCAAAACATGGCTTAAGAACAACTCAGAGCCCCAGAGCCAATAAATCTAAGTGATTAAGAAATAGCCAAACTTTCAGATGCACAGTTCAAAACACTGGTGATCAGGATGCTCACAGAACTGGTTGATTTCAGTCACAAATTAGAGGAACATATGGAAGCTAAACTAATTAAAATGAAGGGAAATACACAGGAAACCAATAGTAATGGAAAGGAAACTGGGACTCAAATCAAAGGAGTAGACCACAAGGAGGGAAAAAACGACCAAACAGAAAAGGATGAAGAAACAAGAATTCAAAAAAATGAGAGGCTTCAGAACCTTCAGGACATCTTTAAACGTTCCAACATCCGAATTATAGGGGTACCAGAAGGGGAAGAGAAACAGCAACAAGTAGAAAACTTATTTGAAAAAATAATGAAGGAGAACTTCCCCAATCTGGCAAAGGAAATAGACTTCCAGGAAATCCAGGAAGCCCAGAGAGTCCCAAAAAAGTTGGACCCAAGGAGGAACACACCAAGGCACATCATAATTACATTAGCCAAGATTAAAATGAAGGAGAGAATCCTAGAAGCAGCAAGAGATAAGGGGATAATCACCTACAAAGGACTTCCCATCAGAGTGTCAGATGATTCTCAAAAGAGACCTTACAGGCAAGAAGGGGCTGCGAAGAAGTATTCAGAGTCATGAAATCCAAACATCTACATCCAAGATTGATCTATCCAGTAAAGCTTTCATTTAGAATGGAAGGACAGATAAAGTGCTTCTCAGATAAGATCAAATTCAAGGAGTTCATCATTACCAAGCCCTTATTATATGAAATGTTAAAGGAACTTACCTAAGAAAAAGAAGATTAAAAAAAGATGAACAGTGAAAGGACAGCAAACTCACAGTTATTAAGAACCACACCTAAAACAAAAGCAAACTAAGAGGACAGCTAGATCAGGAGCAGAACCATAGAAATGAAGATCACATGGAGGGTTAGCAACAGGGGAGTGGGAGAAGAAGGGGGGAGAAGGTACAGAAAATAAGTAGCATGGATGGTAGAACAGGAACAGAATCACAGAAATGGAGATCACATGGAGAGTTATCAAGGAGGAGGGGGAAGAATAGGGGGAAATGTACAGGGAATAGCATAAATGGTAGGAGAACTACCATAGATGGGGGGAGGGCAAGAATAGTATGGGAAATACAGAATCTAAAGAACTTGAGACACGTGGTCATAAACTAAAGGTGGGGAAATGGTGGGGGAGGGGGTGTGCAGGGTGGAGGAGAATGAAGAGGGAAAATAGAACAACTGTAATGGCATAATTAATAAAATATATTTTTTTTAAAAATCAATCAATGAATGCAACCGTAAGTGGAAAAATAAAGCAATGCTTCTCTCTCTCTTTGTAAAAAGAATAAACAAACTGTTTTCAAGATGCCTATAGTGTTTTACATTTTCCATCAGCAATAAATGACCTAGTTCTTCTGTACTACTGCTAGCATTTGCAATTATTTTTTAATGTAATTTATTGGTTATGCTATTATAGTTGTCCCATTTTTTTCCTCTTTTATCCCCCTTTTCCCTGTACCCACCTGCCACCGTCATTCCCCGACTTCAGTTCATGTCCATACATTGTACATATAAGTTCTTTGGCTTCTCCATTTCCCATACTATTCTTGATCTCCTATTTTGTACCTATCATTTATGCTATTCCCTGTACGTTTTCCCCTATTCTTCCCCCTCCTCCTTGATAACTCTCCATGTGATCTCCATTTCTGTGATTCTGTTCCTGTTCTAGTTGTTTGCTTAGTTTGTTTTTGTTTTAGGTTCAGTTGTTGACAGTTGCCATTTTACTGTTCATATTTTTGTTGTTTTTCTTAGATAGTCCCTTTAAGATTTCATATAGTAAGGGCTTAGTGATGATGAACTACTTTAACTTGACCTTATCTGGGAAGCACTTTATCTGCCCTTCCATTCTAAATGATAGCTTTGCAGGATAAAGTAATCTTAGATGTAAGTCCTTGCCTTTCATGACTCTGAATACTTCTTTCCAGCCCCTTCTTGCCTGCAAGGTTTCTTTTGAGAAATGAGCTAATAGTCATATGGAAACTCCTTTGGAGGTAACTGTCTCCTTTTCTTTTGTTGCTTTTAAGATTCTCTCCTTATCTTTAACCTTGGGTAATATAATTATGATGTGCCCTGGTGTGTACTTCCTTGGATCCAACTTTTTAGGGCCTCTCTGAACTTCCTGGACTTCCTAGAAGAAGTCTATTTCCTTTGCCGGATTAGGTAAATTCTCTTTCATTATGTTTTCAATTCCTTGCGCCTGCTCTTCTCCTTCTGGCACCCCTAAGGTTTGCATGTTGAAACATTTAAAGTTGTACTGAAGGTTCCTAAGCCTCTCCTCATTTCATTCTATTGTAGTTGAATGTTTATTTCTTCGTTCTAGTCCCAGACATTTATGTGAGTCCCAGTTTCCTTCCTGTTACTGCTGGTTCCTTTGCTTTTCAGAGCCTTCGCTTTTTCCTCTATTTTGCAACCATATTCAATCACTTCTGTGAGCATCTGATTACCAGTGTTTTGAACTCTGCATCTGATAGGTTAGCTCTTTATCACTTAGCTATATTTTTTTCTGGAGCTTTGACATGTTCATTTGGGCCACATTTTTTTTGTCTCAACACTCCTGTTACATAGTAAGGGGTGGAGCCTTAGGTATTCACCAGGGCAGGGCAACCCTAGTTACTGCATCTTGGCACTGTATGTGGGGGAGAGGTGCAAGAGGGAACAATGCCACCTGCTGAGCTCTCAGAAGCTTTCAGTCACTTCCTCCTCTACCCACAAGCAAATTGGGCCCTTCTGGTGTTGATTCCAGGATGTGGTTTTGTGTAAGTTCTAGGACCCTATGGGTCTCTCCCACAAACCCTCCTGTGAGGCTGGGAGTTTATCCTGCCAACTCAAACCCCACAGGTTTTTTTTAGTCAAGAGGTTTTGGGGCTTTATTTCCTGGCAGTAGTACTCTGGGTTGCAGTCTGTCTCATTCCCCCATTGTTTCTTCTGGCTTATCCACACATAAATGTGAGACTGCCCAGTCTGCCTGCCCCTGCCTCACCCACCCTGGTCCTCCGAAGCTGCAGCATTGCTATGAGTCCTCTCCACCCCACTGCCCGTCTGTACCCCTCCCATCAGTTTGGTTGAGTATTTCTCCAACTCCTTGAGAGTCAGACTTCTTTCCATATAGTTCAATTTCCTGGCAATTCTGGTTATTTTTTGTTTTTAAGTTTGTTATTGTCCTTCTTTTGGTTTTGTGAGGAGGCAAAGTGTATCTACCTATGCCTCCATCTTAATCAGCATTTGCTATTATTCCAATTTTTTATTTTAACTACTCTAATAGGTGAGTGGTAATATCTCAATGTGGTTATAATTCAGATTTCTCTTATAACTAGTGGTGTTGAACATCTTCCCATATGCTTCTTGCCATCTTCTTTGGTAAAATACCCCTTCATTTTTTTTGTTCGTTTTCCAATTGCATTATTTTTATTACTGAGTTACAAAAGTTCTTTATTCTAGATACAAGTCCTTTGTCAGATATCTGCTTTGTATTTTCTAATCTATGGCTTGTCTTTTCATCATTTTAACAGGGCCCTTCACAAAGAAAAGGTTTTAATTTTGGTAAAGTTCAATTTACCCAGTTTTTCTTTTATGTATCATGCTTTTACTCTGGTCAAAGGATAACTCACCAAACCCTAGATACCAGAGATTTTTCTCCTAAATTATCTTCCAAAGTTTTACAGTTTTACATTTGACACTTAAATCTAAGATCCATTTTGAGTTACTTTCTTGTAATTTTGATGTTTAAGTCAAGATTCATTTTTTTACCTACGGATATCCAACGGCTCCACCGAAACTTGTTGAAGAGATTATCCTTCCTCCATTGACTTGTTCATGCACCTTTGTCATGTATTTATTGGCCATACTTGCATGGGGCTATTTCTGGCTTCTCTACACTGTTCTAATCTATGTCTTTCTCTCTGGCAATACTGCACAGTCTTGATTATTGTAGCTATATAATAAGTACTAAAATTAGACAGTAATTCCTTCTGCTTTATTCTTTTTCAGCATTATTTTAGGTATTCTTTTGTCTTCTACCTCAATTTTAGAATAACCTCTGTATTGACAAAATTTCCTGGGGTTTTGGTGGAAACTGTTTTAAAACTGGCCACAAATTTGCACATAAATAACATCTTTACTATGTTGGAACTATCCAGTTCTTGAACATGGAATATTTCTCTGTTTATTTAGATTTTTGATTTCTCTCATTAGCATTTTGCAGTTTTTAGCATAGAAATCTCTTTCTTATTTTATTTACACCTACAGGGTTTTTTTTTTTAATGGTTGTAAATGCCACTGTATTTTAAATTTCATTTTCCACATGTTCACCACTACTATAAAGAAATAAAATTGATTTCTATATGTTGACTTTTTGTATCCTGTGGGATTTTCTACATATCAAGTCCCATCTCCTGAATTTCTATAAAATACTAAATGTTCTCCTGATCTAAAGGTGTGAAAGCCAACAGAGTGTGAATACTTCTTTTTAAAAACATACTTCTATAATATATTGACTCTGACACACCTTCTATCTGGTTAATAATATACCGACTTCTATTCTGTCTGCTACTTTAAAGAGACACAGAGACTAATTGGATCCAGCTTAGGAACTTACAGCCTAGTATATGAGACATGCAACAGATACACAACTTAAAGGCAACAATGCAGAATAAATGACAGCACTGGCTACAGAAGCTTAATTTAAAAATTAGGGCAAAAAAATTATATAGCCTTAAGACTGGAAGGAGATAGAGCAAATTATTATCATCAGTATCTCATAACAACTTACTACTGTTATCTCTTTTACTTTTGCTCATCTATTTTCTCTACATTAAACATGCATTTATAGTTAAGAAAAAAAACAAAAGGCTCAAAAATTAAGCGTTTTTTTTGTCGAAAGGATACGGAACTACATTGCAATTAGGAACTCTGTCATTTAGAAATTCTGCAGCAACTTCGGCTTTAGGTCTTCCAACATCTTTAGGCCTATAGGAAAAATTATACTTAAATTAGCATTCATGATCTAAATGTACATGATCTACATAATTTCAAACATAAAAATGCCCATGATGAGTTTAATTAGAGGATATTTAGAAGAAATATTTTTATCTGAGTATCTGTGATGAATAGTCACTCAATACTAAATGTCAACCCTTTTGGATGTTCCAAATTAAATAGTTACAAATACTGACAAATTAAGTAGTTACAAATACTACCAATTCTAAGTATTCAGGTGAAAAATTCCCCTCAGGTAGAGTATAATTGTAACAGGTTTCCCAGCCATTTCTTACTGTGGCATTTCCCAACGTAAAAAAATTATCCCAGCCCTGGCTGGTGTAGCTCAGTGGATTGAGCCTGGTCCTATGAACTAAGGGATCCAGGTTCAATTCCCAGTCGGGGCACATGCCTGGGATGCAGGCCAGTTCCCAGTGGGGGACACACGAGAGGCAACCACACATTGATGTTTCTCTCCCTCTCTCCTTCCCTTACCCTCTAAAGATAAATGAGTAAAATCTTATATCCCAGACCTAGAGCCTTCTGAGTATCTGTCCTGAATCCCAGAACTTCAAGGTGTTACTATACAGGTCTTGGCTGAAATACACACAATGAAATTAATTCTAGGGATGCAAGAACCTTCATTTATTCCCTAAGTAGTAAATTTTGTGTTCCATAAGAGACCATAACCACATTTTTGAAGAAGGAATAATTCCAAAGGCATTATCCAAAATTGTAAACGTCACCAACATTTTCAAGAAGCTAAAAATATAAGGCCTCAAAAGATCACTCCTAGGTAATAATCATAGCTATATACAGAGGACATTCTCTTTTATTTTCAGTGCAAATGGTATTTTTTACCTTAATATTTCCTCATTCTCCTCACCAAAATCATTCCCTCATACAACATGTTTTTATATGCATAGGTCTATCATACATACTAGCTATGAACACTTAGAAGAAAATTACCATATTTTTATCTCTTTGTATTCCTTCATATCTAAGCATAGAGTAAAAACTTTAAAATTAATGAACATTTTTAAAAAACAATGTGCTTATTAGAAATATCTTATTTAAAATTGCAATATTAAAGAAAATACTTTAACAGGTCATTTTTCTTCTCTTCAATAAAGCAGTGTTCTTTTTTCATTCAAAACTTCTGTTAAGTTTTATTCTCTGTCCTAACTTGCAATAGAAAAGGCTCTACCATACATAAATCAAGGAATCTGATTTCAGTACTGCATTCAACTACAGTAGACACAGAGCTCTTCAGGTATGTAAACAGGATAAATCAGACTCTCAAGAGTCTTTTAAGGTGTGGATTTTATGTGCTTTCATAGTAGATCCAAAACAAAATAACTCCTAGATTGTTTTTGTGGAGATTTTTGCTAATTTACCATTCCAGGATTAGAGAATCATATTGTTCCACCTAAAAATTTCACCTTGAATAAAATGGCTTTTTTTCACGCACACCATCCTTGCAGAACACCTTGGCCTAATTATTTAATCTTGAAAACAAGTATCTACCTTGAAGGTTACTCTGAGATTAAATAAGGGAATATGAAGAACTTGCTTAGAAGTACTTGATACATCCTAAGCAATCAATACATGCTAACTATCATTAAGATCATGATTATTTTAGCCACAAATTAAAGGGCATGATAATTATTACCATAACCAATTAATTCAGTAGTGTTTTTTTTAAACATTTAAACCCCAAAATTTGTCAGACCAACAAGGATGTCCAAACTTTTCTATGGAGAAGGGAAATATCAAGGGTTAAAAGTTTGCACTGCAACAACATTTCATTAATTTGACGTAGTTTAACACATCCTTCAATCTAAGAAATTTCACAAAGATAAAGAGGTTTTATGCCTATCCTGAAAGTTAATTTTATCTTTTCTGCTAACCTAACCTTATCCTACATTCCCAGGACTAATTACTGTTAGTATCCTAATCACTAGAGGAAGGAAAAAAGTTCATTATCTCTCCATATCTGAAATTCTTTAACTGACAGACACTGTTATCTAGCCACTCAAACCCCTAAATGTTATTTGCTGAACTTCACTAATGAACATTTCTCAGATCTGCATAAGTGCACCACTTCCAGTTCCCCAAATTATTGCTAACAAACCATTCCCAGGTGATTTTGTTATTTCATGTTCCATTTTAAATGCTTCTGGTGTTCTCTCCTAAACTCTTCATTTCTTCTCTCCTTACATAAAAAGATCAAACTCCACTACAACTGCATCGTCCCAGAGTCAGCACTCAAATTTTGGCTCAGAATTCCCCCCACCCAATATCACTAGGGCCTAACAGTCCAGCTACTGTTTTCTTATGAAATCCCCAGAAGGTTGAACTCTGTGTCATCAAAGCACAATCACCCCCAAATCACATACTTTTTGGAAATTTGTTAGACATTAAAACTTACCTAAATAAAAACTGCCTATTTAGATTGGAAACATCTATAGTGTCCATGTCTATAACATGAATTTGTCTAAAACCAGACAATGCCTGTGGAAATAGAAAAATCCAATTAAGCAGAAATTTGCTCACATTTAAAAAACAAGATCTGTTTTCAATGTAGTCCTAAAGCTACAAATTCTCAATAATAAATTCTGCATAATCGTATTTGATAAAGAAACTTACAAAGTATATAAATTTTTGTTCCTGGAAAGGTCAAAAGGTGTAACTATTCAATTTTAAATAGTCTATAACCAAAAGAGAACTCAAAATTTCTACAGTTGTTTTATAATCTTATAAACACATTTATAAAGTTTGTTACTTTGCTGCTGCTAGACGGTTTAATTTTATTTGTTTTACTAATTAACTGTACTTAACTATTCTTTTTTCAGAATATTATTAAAAGCAATTTATACAAGCTTTATCTTAGTTTATATAACATTAGGCATGCCATGATTCAGAAATAACAGTTATAAAATACATATCATAAACTAACAACATATAGGTACACTGCACATGTAAAAGAAATACCTTGAAGTACTGAGTCAAGAACAAGCAATCACAACAGCTAGGGAAAACAAACAACTGTTGTGTTTTAATGGTAAGAACAGGCATTTTAACAGTACAACACTGCTCAAATTTACCAGCAGAAGCAAAAGACTGAAAAAAACTAAGTTACATTAATTATGCCTTTCTGGTCTTGGTCAGTTTAAGTGACTGAATAAAGTCACTTGTCAACAATTTCCCAATTTTTCTGCCCTATAGTAAAAAAAGATCCTCAAAAGAGTTGTCCACACTTGCATTCTCAAACGCCCTATTGTGCTCACTCTAAACAAATGTGCACTTGAAAACAACTATTCTCTAAGTCACGAGTGAACTCTACACTGTGTTGCCACATCCAATGACCTTACCCATCTGAGTATTTGGCCCCATGTGGATCAATTCCTCAAAACACGTTCTTCACTTGGTCACTACACTCATGAGAATTTGAACATTTTAAAAATTGGTTTCCTGTTTACCAGTTTCCCTCCTACTTTACTGGCTAGAAATATAGAGTACTCTTATACTTAGTTCTAGTGATCTCGATCTTATAAGCATAGTCCAAAAGACATCGCAAACTCCACAGTTTCCAAAACCAAACTTAACCATCCTTATTTACCAACCACACCAAATCTGTCCTTCTCTCAGTCCCCTCCTGTCAGTGAATGCTAATTCCATCTTTCCAGTTGCTCAGGGCAAAAACATTGTGGTGTTATCCTTGGCTCCTGTCTTTCTCCCTCTTACGTCCCACAACCAGTCCATTGGCAAATCCCGTTGACTCCATCTTCAAAACACACGCATCACCTGACTGCCTCTCACTACCTCCAGTGCTACCACCCTGTCATAGGCCACTGTCCTCTCTGGTCTGGATGACTGCGACTAGCCTCTCAGCTTTCTCCTCTATTCTTCCTTTAGTCTTTTCTCAGCATTATAAGCCACAGTGATCCAGGTTAAAAGTCAGATCAAGTCAACTCATCTGCTTAAATCTCTCCAATGACTTCCTGAATAGGAGTAAAAGACTAAGTTCTTACAGTAACCTCCAAAGCCTTTTGTGATATTCATTTCCAGCCCCTCCACCTCCCAATACCTCTCTGATACCCTCTCTGAAAATGCTGACCCTTAATCCACTTCTGCTTTAGCTATAAGGACCTCCTTGCCATCCTGGAATGTAACAGTCATACACCTACACTACAGCTTTTTCACCTCTGTCTAGAATGTTCTTGTTCACCTCTGTTGAAATAGCACCTTTTAAAAAAAAAAGTCCGTTCCCTTTCCACTTGGCTACCTATCTTTCATCTTTCCTCTCTAAAACATTTATTACCATCTGTCAAACTATGTATTTTACTTGTCCTTTTTCTTCCACTAAAATGTAAGCCCAAAAAACACCTGTCTGTGCTGTTTAATGCTGTAACTGTATCTCTAGCATCTAAAATAGTGCCTGGCATATGGGGTAGGAGGCTCAATAAATATTTACTCAATCAATAATATTAATGTCCCATTCCTTTTTTCAGAATGAGCCTTGGAGGGGTTTACAATCCACTTTGAAAAAGATGTGTATCTCTTATGTACTTATGTCTGTAAAATTGAAAACCCTTAGTTTTCTTCTATTGTGTAAGAGGATATTACAATTCAATAAATAAGAAGACCACCCCTGAAGTTGATAATGACTATTCTTCAGATCTAACCTCTAATTACTTTACCTTTAAAATTAGTATATACCTTAACAGCTTCAAAATGGAAAAAGTCAAACCACCTTTCCCTTCTACAACTTTGGTTCTTACACTGCTAGAGTATTTATATCTGATAAGGTACTGTCATTTTTGGTACCCCCAGAGTATATCATACACATTGCTATTTATTTTGTGTGAGAGTTGTCTCTCCAATGAAACTTCAAATTCATTAAGGACTGAGGTTGTGATAATCTACAATCACCACAGAACCTACCACTTGGTACCATGAAGTATACTGAATTTTTGCAGTTTCACTAGGAGTGACACTAGTACTCCCTAGCAAAATTAATGCAGCTGTTTATATTTAAACTTTAGCCCCATGATTAACTTTTTAGGTTGTTCACCCGATTCTTTTATTCACTTCATTTTTGAAGGAGTCCAATCTAGCATTTCCACTTTTCTACACGCCATTGAGAAGCCTGGCATATATCAGCTCTCAATCAATTCTCCTTCTATCCATCTTTGCTAAATAAACTGTTTTTTTGTTGTTTTTCTTTTTGGAAAAAAAAACTACTTGGGCCCTGGCTTGTGTGGCTCAATGGACTGAGCGCCGGCCTGCAAAACAAAAGGTCGCAGGTTCAATTCCCAGTCAGGGCACATGCCTGGGTTGCAGGACAGTCCCCCAGCAGGAGGCTTGGGAGAGGCAACCACACATTGATGTTTCTCTCCCTCTTTCTCCCTCCCTTCCTCTCTGTCTAAAAATAAATAAATAAAATCTTTAAAAAATTAAAGAAAAAGCTACTTGTTATCAGAAGTCAATGAAACAAATTAACTAAACCACTACTTACGGACAACCAGTATGCCCAATAGTTTCACTAAATACTACCCTCTCTTAAAAGATACTCATTAAAAACAAATTAACCTATGGTTCAGTGAAAAGAACACTTGACTAAGAATTGATGACCTGGATTAGATTCCAGGCCTATCACCAGAAACCAAAAAAGTTAGGTAAATCATTTAACCTCTCTGAACTTCATGTCTCCTTCTATACAAAATAAGTCAAAGCCCCATCTAAGTGGGTTATTTTATGGAACAAAAGAAATAAATTCTTTCAAATTGCTTGTTAAAATATGAATTATCAGTTTTGCTCTTTGAAATTAATGAGCACTTTGCAAGAGAAAGCAGAAAGATTTCTTTGATAAACAGCAAAGAAGTAGTAAGAATTTCTGTCAATGACTTTATAGTTGAGAACTTCAGAATTTAAGACTGTTTGGAATCTGACTTGCTGAACTTATCTAACAAAGGCTCGAGATAGGTTATTAATCATAATTTTAAAATTTCCTAATATGGCAGAAAAGGAAAATTACCACATAAGAGAAAAATACGTATTAAATATATGTGTATATATTACCAGATTTTTCAGGAGCTCACATCCTAAGCCGCCAGCTCCAATGACTAGAACTTTACATGTATCTAACAAAAACTGGAGAGACTGTAAAGAATGAAAAGGCATATTAAAACCTAGTTATAAAAAAACATAAGTTCCATCACTATAACAGGCCATAAAATAGTTTCTGATGTTTCCATGAAAAATGCAAATGAATACCAAGAACACACTTTCTATTTAATAAACTCATAAATTCCAGAAGAACGTAGAGCCAGAAATTCTATAACCCTAATGATTTCAGAGCATTTCAATTTCAATGTTTTTAAATTGAGGTTTATTGTATGAAATTAAAAGGCTATTTCTAAAAAGAAAAACTATGCTACTTAAAAGTTATCTTTTTTTAACCCTGAAAGGGGATGGAAGGCATCAAATTCATTATTTCACTGACTTCCTAAAAAGAGAAAAGTGTAAAAATCCTAATAACGGAGAATCAAACAGTGCACAAAGGGCTTAAAGGTCTTCAGGAAGGAAATAAAAACAGATAAAATTCTTAGAAAACCATATATCAACAGAAATACTATTTGAAACAATCACTTAACAGAATTATCTTAAACAATCAGGCAAAACAAAAATTGGAAGCACAGGAAGATAAGGTGGGTCCACAGAAAGGCAGAATATTGTCAATTCTGTCCAAAGAGACGAAAGGAGAAAAAGTTATTTAGACAAGACACTGGTAAAATCCATGAGCTTATACCTCCAGGAGTAGCACAATATTTCTATTTCAAAGTAGTATCTCTTTATAAAGACAAAATGACATAAAAATTACTATAAAGAATACTTCTTTCTACCTTGTAATAAAGAGTTATATCTAATTGAACACTTGCTTTAAGCCAAACACTACCTGTCCAAAATTCTATTCCTGTTACACAGCAGTCACATAATTTTTTAACATGCAATTAGTTATATTCAATCCTAGGATGCTCATTTAAACTAAATTTCAAAATTTAAACACACATCTATCTTGCTATCAAAATTAATTTCTCAAAACAAAACTAAAAAGGGGAGTGTCTCAGAAATCATTTTAAACTGAAATTCAAAGTGAAGTATAACTTAAGAGTTCTAAATGAGATTACAAAGTTATTTTACTCAAAAAATTTCAACATTACATGAGAAATGTGAAAATGACTCAAATATCAGCCATTCAATCATTAGCCATTGAATATTGCAAATATTCAATTCAGTATTTCAAGATAAATTATACATTTGTATTAGTATTTTTGTTATAAGAGCAGGTGAAAAAAAGCATTTTACTTTCGAAACAAAACTGTAAGAGGAGTTATTTAAAAATAAATGTTTCTCACTTCAGTGCTCGGTTCGAAATCAGGGTGTGTGAAGGGTCCAGATCGCTCGAGGAACTTCTTTACATGGTTCCAGCGACCTTCCCAGTCTCCAATGTCCCCACACCCACCATCAACAGCCATTCTGCACAGAACACAGTAAATTCAGCTGCAAAGGTCAGTATGAAAAAACCACACCTACAACTACTGTGGTTTCCCAAATGAAATAACCACACCAGAGCTGCTCAAATAAAAAGGGTATTACTTAATGTGGTTACACTTATGCTCTTAATTTTTTTCTTAGCTATTACAGAGTTTATTTAAAGTTAAAAACTACACGTGTTTGATTAAATAAATCAGTCTATTTGTTTCTGGGTTCCTACAGCAAGCCAAAATAAAACTTAGGATATTGTTTAATCAGAGAAATGGGTTATAAAAGATTATTGTGAACTTCCCTAAGGTGTTCCTTAAATACACTTGGATCAGGAAATATCAGTTGTAAAAGTAAATATATAACTCCACTTTCAGAACTGTGATGTTTCATATCTAATGTAACTCATCTGTCCTTTCCAAGTTTGAAAGATGTAACTTAAATATCATTTTTGATGAGAGGAACTCTCATACATTTTTATCTGAAAGAGGTCCCAATTTTCAAAAAACAATTTCTTTAAATACTATAAGGTGTTTTTTTTTATTGCCACTGTACACAGGAAGTTTTAGGTTACAATAATACTGCAGGTAAGCATTATTCTCTAGAAATCTAGAGCACACAACTGAGTGAGTTCTAACACTGGACTTCTCTAACATACTAGTAATCCATGTATTTCCCACTCAGTGCAAAATTCATGTTGGGTTGTAATCATTTTTAGTTTTCGTATTTCCTATAACCCCACAACATCTACGTTCAAATGTATTAATATCCATTTTTACAAAGGACCAAGAAGTATTTCCTAGCAATATAGACCTTAGGTTTTGATATGATAGCTGGGTTTGATTCCACAATTAACTGTATTGTAACTGACCTTGAGCAGATTACTTAACAGCCATAAACGTCATCTACAAATTTTTACAGCTACTTAAGGTCAGAATGAAAATATAGTAAGCATTCAAACTTTAACTGTCATTTTAAGCAAAAGCGGAAAGTGAAAGAAAGGCGGGAAATAATGTGAAATTAAGCTTGTCCCGCCAATCCTCTTGGAATTGACATTCAACTTTTGGAGTTTAGGTTTCACCAACCTAGACTAAAGCTCTGCTACAGGGATTTGGTTCAGGAATTACTAACTCACCACACCCACCGCAAGAGTACTTTCGTCCCCTCCCATGTAGGCAGGAGCAAAAATTAAGAACAGTTTACATCAATCTCACCCCATAAAACTAAGAAATAGGGTGTGTAATAAATGGGCAAAATAAGTTCCCTGGAGTCAACACTCCCCTTTAAGAGCCAATTATTCCGCAAAAGCAATTGATGTGCTTAGTCCGATACCATAGAAAGTTCTCACACAAAGTGCAATTAGTCTGTTTGCGTTTTCGGAAGGCCAAAATCGGCCCGGTGTTCCTTTCGTGTGTTCAAGTGAGATTCCCTTTACACAAGGTCACGTCTCTGAGCACTGGGATGTTGGAAGAGGGGGCGCCAGATGGTCCCGCTAGACCTGTGGGTCAAGCACCAGGCGGGCCCGAACGGGACCTGCTGTGGGACCTGGACCTCGGGGCCTGCGCTCCGGGTGCCCCCCTCCCAGCCTCCCGGGCCCGCTGCGGCTGGTCCCCTAGGCCTGGGGTGAGGGGAGGCGGGGGTCCCCGGAGAGGACCCCGGCCTCCCGGCAGCACTAACTTCTCAGCCAGCAGCTCCTCTATTCTCCTTCTTTTCTTCTCCCTAAAAGAAAGAGAGAATAAAAGAAGGGTCAGCATCACGCTACACATTGGGCGCCGCGAGAGGATGGGGGGCGAGGGAACGGGGCGAGGTAGTGGGAGGACCCCGGGTGGTGGCGGCCACCGCCCACTGCCACGCTCTCTCACAACCCAGCCCGGCCCGGCGCGCCTGCAGAGCCCGAGTACTTACGGCTCCTCGCCATCCGCCATATTGTTCTCCGCCTCTTCCCAGGTACCCCCGCGGCAGGAGGGGCCAGGCGATTGTGCGGGCCGCACCGGGCGGGAGGGGCGGAGGCAGGGACTGGGAGTAGGAACTGGGCTGGCGGGGCGGGGCGGGGCGGGGCGGGGCGGGGCGGGGCGGACCTCGCTGATGCTCCCTTGGGGTTTAAAGCCCTGCATTGTAATTATGAACTTGATAAACTACCCTTAATTGCCTAACTCTTATCCAATGTATAACGTTGTTATGCTGCTTGAAAATATTGATGTAATACGTTAGATGTTTATACAATTTCTGTGTTAACTGATTATATAAAATTGTATATTCTATGAGAAAACTCCTGGAAGAGTCAGTCACTTTAATATGCCAGAGCTTCCATCTGAAGAAAAGCACCAGGAGAATTTTCACTTACTGATTTTCAAGACGGTCCCAACAGCTTTGCCTAAAGATACGCACTTAAAGAGTAAAATTTAAATCAGTGTAAGGGTTGGATGAAGATACTGTTTTTCCTTCTTCAATATGGTATCAATGTCAATATAGTATCAATATAGTATCACATTCTGTCAGATAAGAAATTCAGTGGCAGAGGAACAATTGGAGAAACATTTTTCTCTGAGAAAAATATATTCAGATAGAAAAATGTATGAAAAAAAAGCTCAAAAATTAAATAATCATTTAGAACACACATTATCTCAAAGCTTAAATATAAATGATGATAAAATTTTGGTGTATAAATGATGTATTTTCTTCCAGAGTCAAAAACAGATAGATGTGTGTATGACTAGATACAGAGATATAATCATACTAAACTCGAAATAGCTAAATATAAATATAGATAATTCTATATTTTTTCCTTGAAGTGGACAAAAATAAGATTTAGAGTCAGAAATTTTTAACTCTTCACTTATTACCTCTGATATCTTGGGCACATCTGTGTCTTCATTTGTAAACTGGAGATAATATTTGCTTTGTAAGAGTCTGAGATTTTAATGAAATCCACAGTGGTTTTCATAATGTAACTCCTGATCAATCATATCTGCGTCATTTGGGAACTTCTTACAAATGCAAATTTCCAGGCCCGACCTCTAACCTGCAAAACCCTTCATGATTCTGTGCAAATTAAAGCTTGAGAACTGCTTAAATGAAGACTGTCTAAAGCAGGGAAATTCAACCTATTGGCTTCTCCGGGACACACTGAAAGAAAAGTTGTCCTGAGCCACACATTAAATAACACAAACATTAACAAAAACTGATGAGTAAAAAAAAAAGGTCAGTGCCTACTTTTCCTAATATCTGCTGCCACAGATAAGCAAAAAAGCCCTCATTATGATAACCCTAATTATGCAGCAGCCCTTTCAATAATCTTTTAAAATCATCGACTGATGCCAAGTTTGTGATCGCTAATATAGAAAATACAAATACCTAAGTAATGAAATGTCACTGATGTTTTGAAATATTTTATTATAAAAGTAAAAGAGGGAACATAAAATTAGTGGGATGTTTAACATTGTATTTGAGAATATAGTGCATCAATATCTGGTTTGATAGAAGTAGCTGCAATTCTCAGTGAGTTTTCAGGGTACTCATCAGCTATTTTGGTTCTAATTTTACTCTTAATGTGTTTTCATTCTTAAAAATAGTTGCTGGCAAATTAGGTGCTGCCAAGTAGCGATGGCATGAATAAGGTATGATTGTAAAACAAGGGATATTCGTTTCCAGGAAGTTAGGACCTGTAAAAGTCCAGTGAAGAGACACGATCAAATTTTTCTTTAAGTGGAATATTAAATTGCAGCTCTATGCACTCCATTTGAAAATTGGAAGGGAATATATTTTGTTGACTAGAAATAGAGTCGCAAATATAGCAAAATATTGATTATTTTCCTGAAATTTTTGAAATCTGTTTTCAAACTCTTGTATCAAATTTAAAAGTAAGGCTGCATATTTTTCACTGTTCACATTACTGTGTTTAGCTAACATGTCAAAATGCATGAAATTGTTTGCCTTCAGTTGAGCTTGCCATAATTTCAGTTTCATTTGGAACACTGTTGTGCTTTGAAACGTGATACTGAAAAGTTGGTTTTAACCTTGAAGACACATGTTTAACTCATTTAAATGAGCAGTTAAATCCACTAAAAATGCAGAATCAGTAAGCCAGTTTTGATTGTCAAGTGTCAGCACAAATTTGTTTTTTGATATCGTAAACAACTTGATAACATGTTGCAAATCATAAAATCTTTTCAACATTTGGCCTTGACTTAGCCATATTGCTTCAGAAAAGTAAATGATGTTACCATAGTCAGCATCAATACTTTTAAGGAATTCCCAGAATTGGTGATGATTCAATCCCTTGGCCCTTATGAAATTCAATCTTGATGATGATTTGCATGATGTTTTCAATTTTTACAGTTGTGTTTTTTTAGTAGGTGACTTTCCTGAATTTTATTTTATTTTATATTATTTTAAAATTTTACTTTAATTGTTGTTCAAGTACAGTTTTCTGTCTTTTACTCCCATCCCAGGCCACCCACCCAGCCCTCCCCCACCTCCCATTTCTGCCCCCCTAATTTTTGTCCAAGTGTCTTTTATACTTGTTCCTGCAATCCCTTCCCCTTTTCCCCTGAAATTCCCTCCCCTCCCCTCTCTGGACACTGTCAACCTATTCTCTGTTTCAGTGCCTTTGGTTATATTTTGCTTGTATGATTATTTTCTTGTTTAGGTTTCTGTTATAGGCGAGATCATGTGGTATTTGTCTTTCACTGCCTGGCTTATTTCGCTTAGCATAATGCCTTCCAGTTCTATCCATTCTGTTGCAAAGGGTAGGAGCTCCTTCTTTCTTTTTGCTGCATAGAATTCCATTGTGTAAATGTACCATAGTTTTGGGATCCATTCATTTACTTATGAGAGGACACCTAGGTTACTTCCAGCACTTGGCTATTGTAAATTGTGCTGCTATGAACATTGGGGAGCATAAGTTTTTTTGGATTGGTGATGCAGGGTTCTTAGGTTAGAATCGTAGCAGTAGAATTGCTGGGTCAAAAGGCAAATCTATTTTTACTTTTCTGAGAAAATTCCATACTGTTTTCCATAGTGGTTGTACTAGTCAGCAATCCCACCAACAGTAAACTAGGGTTCCCTTTTCTCCACCACCTCCCCAACACTTTTTTGTTGCTTTGTTTATGATGGCCATTCTGACCAGTGTAAAGTTGTATTTCACTGTGGTTTTCATTTCCATCTCTCTGATAGCTAGTGATATTGAGCATCTCTTCATGTGTCTCTGGATCCTTCGTATGTCCTCCTTGGAGAAGTGTCTGTTCAAGTCCTTTGTCCACTTTTTAATTGGGTTGCTTGTCTTCTTAGAGTGGAGTCATGTAAGTTCTTTATATATTTTGGAGATTAAACCCTTGTGTGAGGTATCATTGGCAAATATGTTTTCTGATACAGTTGGTTCTCTTTTTATTTTAATACTGTTTTCTTTAGCCCTGCAGAAGCTTTTTATTTTGATGAGAATCCATTTCTTTATTCTTTCCTTGGTGTTCCTTGATTTAGGGGACATATCAATAAAAATGTTGCTTCGTGAAATATCTGAGATTTTTCCTGCCTATGTTCTCCTCTAGGACTTTAATGGTGTCATGGCTTATATTTAAGTCTTTTATCCACCTTGAATTTATTTTGGTGTATGGTGTAAGTTGGTGCTCAAGTTTCATTTTTTTGCGTGGAGCTGTCCAGTACTCCCAACACTATTTGTTGAAGGGACTATCTTTACTCTATTTTATGTTACTGCCCACTTTGTCAAATATTAATTGACCATTGAGACTTGTGTTTATTTCTGGGCTCTCTGTTCTGTTCCACTGGTCCATGTGTCTGTTTTTATGCCAGTACCAGGCTGTTTTAATTATAGTCTCCTTGTACTACAGGTTAGTATCAAGTATTGTGATCCATCCTACTTTGCTCTTCTTTCTCAAAATTGCAGCTGCTATTTGGGGCTGTTTATGGTTCCATATAAATTTCTGAAGTGTTTGTTCTATGTCTGTGAAATATGCCATTGGTACTTTAATAGGTATTGCATCGAATCTGTTCATTCTTTGGGTAGTATGGACATTTTGATGATATTAATTCTTCCGATCCATGAACATGGTATATGTTTCCATTTGTTTGTGTCTTCCTTGATTTCTTTCTTCAATGTTATGTAGTTTTCTGCATATAGGTCTTTTACCTCCTTGGTTAGGTTTATTACTAGGTATTTTATTTTTCTTTTTGCTATATCGAAAGGGATTGTTTTCCTTGATTTCTGCTTCTGCTGTTTCACTGTTGGTATACAAAAATGCCTTTGATTTCTGGGTAATGACTTTGTATCCCACTGCTTTGCCGAATGCATTTATTAGCTCAAGCAGTTTTGGGGTGGAGTCTATAGGATTTTCTGTGTATACTATCATGTCATTTGCAAACAATGACAGTTTTCTTTCCTCCCTTCTGATTTGGTTGCTTTTTATTTTCTTTTCCTGTCTGATTGCTGTGGCTAGGACTTCCAATACTATATTGAATAGAAGTGATGAAAGTGGACAATCTTGTCTTGTTCCTGATCTTAGTGGAAAAGCTTTTAGTTTTTGCCCATTGAGTATGATGTTGGCTGTAGGTCTCTCATATATGGGCTTTATTATGTTGAGGAATGCTCCCTCTATTCCCACTTTGCTGAGTGTTTTTATCATAAATGTGTGCTGTACCTTATCAAATGCTTTTTCCACATCTATTGATATTATCATGTGTTTTTGGTTTTTGCTTTTGTTTATGTGGTGTATTACATTTACTGATTTGTGAATGTTGAACCATCCTTGCATCCTTGGGATGAATCCCACTTGGTCATGGTGTATCATTTTTTAATGTGTTGCTGGATGTGGTTTGCCAATATTTTGTTGAAGATTTTAGTGTCTATGTTCATCAGCGATATTAACCTGAAGTTTTCTTTCTTTGTTTTGTCTTTATCTGGTTTTGATATTAGTATGATGTTGGCTTCATAAAAAGAGTCTGGGAATCTTCCATCACTTTGGA